GCCCATGTTCAAATACACCTATTAGAGCCTCTTCGGCCTGGTTCTTGTGCAAGGAAATGTTCAGCGCCTACGATTTCGGCCGTTTTGGCCGACAGGTGCCTAGAAGACGCATGAATCCCTACGGGCATAGGGAAAAGCGTTCAACATCTCAGAACTTAGGCAAGGGAAAAGTGGTTGAGTTTAAGTGGGCCTAGGCTTAGTAGCCTAGGCCCAAGGCAATCGAGGTAGATTGTGCCAAGGAGGGAGTCGAGAATGAGAGAAGGATGATGTGTTCACTATAGCACTAGGGTACATATAGCAAACAAAGTGGTGCACCACCTATAAAGTTAATATCTACACTACAGCTAGAACTGCATGCAGGTATAAGAATATAATTCTGACACAACAACCTGAACGTTGTTGCATATTCGAATGGACCATGTTCAAATACAGCTATTAGAGCCTCTTCGGCCTGGTTCTTGTGCAAGGAAAAGTTCGGCGCCTACGATTTCGGTCGTTTTTGCCGACAGGTGCCTACAAGACGCATGAATCTCTACGGACCTAGGGAAAAGCGTTCAACAACCTGAACGTTGTTGCATATTCGAGTGGCCCATGTTCAAATACACCTATTAGAGCCTCTTCGGCCTGGTTCTCGTGCAAGGAAAAGTTCGGCGCCTACGATTTCGGCCGTTTTGGCCGACAGGCGCCTACAAGACGCATGAATCCCTACGGGCGTAGGGAAAAGCGTTCAACAACCTGAACGTTGTTGCATATTCGAGTGGCCCATGTTCAAATACACCTATTAGAGCCTCTTCGGCCTGGTTCTTGTGCAAGGAAAAGTTCGGCGCCTACGATTTCGACCGTTTTTGGTGACCGACAAATGCCTAGAAGACGCATGAATCCCCACGGGTGTAGGGAAAAGCGTTCAACAACCTGAATGTTGTTGCATATTCGAGTGGCCCATGTTCAAATACACCTAAAAACGCCTTTTCGGCCCGGTTCGCGTGCAAAAAAAAAGTTCGGCGCCTACGATTTCGGTCGTTTTTTTCGGCCGACAAGTGCCTAGAACACGCATGAACCCTTACGGGCATAGGGAAAAGAGTTCAACAACCTGAATGTTGTTGTATATTCGAGTGGCCCATGTTCAAACACCATACACCTATAAGATTCTCTTCGGCCTGGTTCTCGTGCAAGGAAAAGTTCGGCGCCTACGATTTCGGTCGTTTTGGCTGACAAATGCCTAGAAGACGCATGCATCCCTATGGGCGTAGGGAAAAGCATTCAACAACATGAATGCTGTTGCATATTCGAGTGACCCATGTTCAAATACACCTACTAGAGCCTTTTCGGCTTGGTTCTTGTGCAAAGAAAAGTTCGGCGCCTATAATTTCGGTTGTTTTTTACAAATGCCTACAAGACGGATGAACCCCTACAGGCATAGGGAAAAACATTCAACAGCCTAAATATGGTTGCATATTCGAGAGGCTCATATTGAAATATACATATTAGAACCTTTTAGCTCAGTTCTTTTGCAAAGAAAAGTTCGGCGCCTATGATTTCGGTTGTTTTGGCCGACAAATGCCTAGACGACGCATGAACCCTTAAGGCGTAGGGAAAAGCATTCAACAACCTGAATGTTATTGCATATTCGAGTGGCTCATGTTCAAATACACCTTAAAAAAAAAAATCAACGCCTATGATTTCGACTGTTTTGGCCGAAAAATGCTTAGAAAACCCATGAACCCCTACAGGCGTAGGGAAAAGCACTCAACGACCTGAATGCTATTGCATATTCGAATGTCCCATATTCAAATACACCTACTATAACCTTTTCGGCTAGGTTCTCGTGCAAAGAGAAGTTCGGTGCATATGATTTTGACTGTTTTATGTCAGAATGTTATGTTTGTCTAGCCTGCAGTGGGGTACTCTATAGTGAGTACAACCCAAACTAGGGTTTCCTATATGTATCCTACCTGCTGCTAGTGCAAAATCCTCCTTCCTGTTTCTATCGTTTGCCTAGCTTTCTCGACCTGCTATCAGAGCAGGTCGACCCTCCTGGGTCGATCCTGTGGGTGGGCCCACCCGATGCTTCCGCTGCTGTTCTGCTTCTCGCGCGCCTCGGGCGCGCGACGTTTTCTGCCTGCCGCGCGCTCGCAAGGCGCGGCGTTTTTAGGGTTTCTACGGTTATCTGCTCGCCGCGCGCACGGAGCGCGCGGCGGTTTTCTTCCTGCCGTGCGCCCCGAGGTGCGCGGCGGTTTTCTGCCCCGTCGACCCGCCGCGCCGCCCCCCCGTCGACGGACGCGTCGCCCCGCAGACCTCCGCGTCGCCCCCCGTCGACCGTCGAAGCGCCTCCCGTCGCCCAACGCGGCCCGCGCGACCTGCGCCAGGCCCGCGCGCGGCCCGTACGGCCTGCGCCAGGCCCGCGCGCGGCCCGGGCAGCCCGCGCGCGGTTCGTCCGGCCTGCGCCAGGCCCGTGCGCGGTCCGGGCAGTCTCCCTTAGTGCCGCGCACCGTCCCCCGAGCTTCTGACCGCGCCCCACCCCCGCTGCTGCCCGCGTTCCTGTGTTAGGGTTTGGGGGTGGAGAGTATGGGGGTGCCGTGTGTGTGAGCCGTCCCCTGCTCCTCCTCCTCCTCCGTCTCCCACTGCTGCAGCTGCCGCTGAGGGGGGTGGATGTGTTGGAGCCGTCGGAGTGGTACGAGGGGGGTGGCGTGTGAGCAGTGCTAGAGGTGCAGCAGGGGGTGTGTGACACGGGTGTGGGACAGCTGGGGGAAGTTTAGTGGAAGCAGTCGTCTTCTCGTCCGCAGCGCCTGAAGTCCAGAGAGCCACGACCCCCTGTGGCCTGAGTAGTCCGGGGCTCTGCGCCCGGTAGCCACAGTGTGAGCACTCCTGGTAGTCCAGAGAGCCACGACCCCCTGTGGCCTGAGTAGTCCGGGGCTCTGCGCCCGGTAGCCACAGTGTGAGCACTCCTGGGAGCACAGCGAGCCAGCTGCGCCTGTCGCCGTGTAGTCCGGGTTTAGCCTGGTAGCGTCAGTGCTGCGCACTCCTGTTGTCCGTGTGTCTGCAGCTTCAGCCGTCGCCTCCCATCTTCTCGCCCCCACAGTTTCTCCTCCTCCTCACTTGCCCTCTGTGATAGTCTCTAGCTTTGTTTATCATTGTGAACTATTGCTATGCCTGCTTGTTGTGCTGATTATACCCCACTTTGACTATGGGGGTGTGTCAGAATGTTATGTTTGTCTAGTCTGCAGTGGGGTACTCTATAGTGAGTACAACCCAAACTAGGGTTTCCTATATGTATCCTACCTGCTGCTAGTGCAAAACCCTTTTATGCACCTATCATAGGCATGTGGTGATATCCAGGGTGGTTTGGTACTACCATTACTATTACCAATACTATTACCATTACCATTATCATTACCACTACCATTACCATTATTATTATTATCCCTTTTATCATTACTATCGCCACTACCATTACCAATACCGTATTACCCCGGATAAAAGCGCGCATGCGCTTATAATAAAACATTGATTTATATGGGGGTGCGCTTATAAATGAGTCACGGGCATAAGCGTATGCGCTTATATAATGACAAATGTCGAAATATGTTTTAAGCGCACTAAAATGTGCATCTTAGTCTTGCAACTCCAGTCGAATTGAAATGTTAGCGCGTCATTGATCAAAGTCGCGCCTGTGCGAATGTCTGCCAGCGCAAGGGTGGGCGAGGACACGTCATTTCGTAGGAGAATGTGTCACCGACCCACTGTTGCGAGGCACAGAATCTGGTCGCTCGGGGGGCAGGAGCACGGTCGAGACCCCCCCCCCCTCCACAATCGTGCTGTCAGTCAGCTTCAGATTCGCGCCGTTTCGGATTTTCGCGAGGCGGAACGGAACAGGCGATTTCGTCGGCCGCTTCTCGTGAGGTTTGTAGGGTAGACTCGCTGCAAAGCGGAAAATCGTTACGGTACTTAATCAGGAATAAGAAATAAAATTATGCATGTGCTTATAAAAAAGTAAAGTTTTTACAGGGGGTGCGCTTCTAATTGAGGATCGGCCATAAGCGCATTGCTCCAGATAGAAGCGCATGCGCTTAACATAGGCCTGCGGTTATATCCGGGGCGATACGGTACCACTATTACTACCATTACCATTACCATTATTATTACTCCGTTGAAGGTTCCTTGTAAATTCCTGCTTTGAGAGCTGGTTGTACGCGATCAGGGTTTTTTCTTCTTTTTCTTCTTCTTTTCCTTTCATTACTCTGATTTAGGTTTTTTTGTTTTTGGAACTCTGAAAACCAGGGTTGATCTGGAGCTTAATTTTTATTTAAACTTATGAAGAAATAACACTAGGCGGTCAGTGTTACTTTTTCAAACACTCTGAATGTCCTCTCAGGTATTGAACTTTTGCGAATAAACAGAATTAATTACCACTGTGCTATATGGCAAAAATGTATCATTAACATATTTCACAAACAAAGCAAGGGAGTATGATCAGATCTTCAGTAGAGAGTAGAATCTATCTCTGGAATAAGAACCCTGAGGCATCAAAGTAGCTGTCAAATCAGAGAAAAACATAATGTCAAAAAAAATACCTGAGGTTTTCAGATAAACAGAGTAATTTACTCTGAAAAGATAGGGCTGTATGCAATTGCTTGAATGATGAGCTTTCTCCTCTGTTTCCCATCCCCCGAATGACCAACCCACCATCTCCTTCACATCGCCTTCACAACTCCTCCTCTGGCTATGGCACGTGCACCACGGCTCGCTTCGACATCACTCAAAATTGGAACCGTAGTTCCTACGATATTATCCACTAGAATTGTTCCATGCCTAAACGTACAGCACATGCATAAAGCATAAGCTTCACCACCCACAGCACAACACTGCATGTGTCGTGCATTCACCTAGGAACGCACACATGCCGCTCCATCATGCTGACTCAGCAACGCATTGCTGCTGCCCCAGACCAGCACACCACCACTCCCATGCTGACTCAGCAGAGCAGCACCACTGCGCCTCCATCACGCTGACTCAGCAAAGCCCACGCGCTCATTCCCAAAATCATACACTGAGTGATACGCCCCCAGGAACGTGTCTCCCAGAATCCTGGCATCGGGAGGATGATGGGTGGGGGAGAGGGAGCGGACGAGGGGGTGGCTTGGCTTGGCAGACAATTGGGGAGCACTGGTGCTGCTGCATAGAAGCAGAGAGTGAGTCAACGAATCGGAGCGGCGTTACAGAAGACTTGTTGGAACGTCAACAGAGACACACACCCCGCACTCACCAGATGGGACCCAGCGGTTCAGGCACGTCGAGGGGCAGGAAGCCGCTGATGCAGAGCTGCTGGCCGGCCTGGCCCGCCTGTAGCACGTACTGCTCCGGCTGTAGCGCAAACTGATTGTCCCCGATGGTGAATGCCACAGCCGGCATCCTGTGCACCTTGCCGCAGTCCACCTGCGCCTGCCCCCCTGGGCTCGGAATGTGCTCACACATCTGAGCAGGTGGAGGGGGGAGGGGAAAATAGTTTATTTTCTACTGCCCGTAGAAACATATTGCTGACCTGGCATGGTGGGATGGCAGAGTGGGGGCATTGGAGGACGGGAGGGTCCAAGGATGGAGAGATGGGAGGATGACACATCTTGTTGAGATGGCTGAACATCTCCGACCGGGTCTTGTTCCGCACCGATTGGTCTGAGTCAACTCATTATGAGACGGATCTAGGGTCCACACATTGTGTGACGAGTATTCAGTCGACTAAGACACGCACCCTGTTGAGATGGCTGATGATCTCGGACCGGGTCTTGTTGCGCGCCAGCTGGTTCTGCACCCAGATCACCAACGCCTCGCACAGCGAGCACTTGGGATCGCCCACTCGCCCGCCGTTGATGCCGCTGCTCCCAGCGCTGCTTGCTTCGTCACCGATGGCATCTGCCACGTCAGCGTGGTCCCCGGGCATCTGGATGATTGGGTCCTCCTCCCACCCGAGCAGGCGACGGCTCATGCTGCACGGGGGAGATGAAGGAAGGAAGGAGCAGAAACAGATATGCTACGGCTCAAAAACCATGGGGAGAATGTAGGAACGAAAGGAGCAGAGAAACCCACAAAAGGGGGAATGGAGGAGAGTGAGAGACGGGGTAAGGGGCATCCAGGGAAAGGAAGGAGAGAGAGGTGGGGCGGGTATGGAAGGAGAGCGAGAGGAGAGGGAGAGGAGAGAGAGGTCACCTGGGCGTGGGCGTGGTGTTAGCGGTGGTTGCCGCCATGTCGTCACAGAGGCCAATGGCATGGCACACGAGAGACGGATCCATCTGATGGCATGGGGAGATGGGGGGAGAGATTGGTAGGGTGCAGAGGCACGATGGGTAAGAAGGGATGCAAGCAAGCATGTTGTGAGAGCGTGATGGCATGGCTGCTCAAAGGTCCTCGATATGGTAGGGCAATGGCTGGCCGGGGCGATAACATCGTGGACGTGTGGTCGATTGAGGCGCCTCAAAGTTGTCTCTTTCCTTGCAATCTTCTGGGGCACCTTTAATGAGTCATCATGGATGTGAGGCGCCATGTGTACCACATCTGCGGTTCACACACCTTCTGTTCCAGCAAGTCGATGATGATAATAGCATAGTCGTGCACCAGCTGCTTGCACGCGATGGCGCACAAAACTAAGCACACAGTGTACCACGCACCTTGTACCTTCCGTCTCACACGCACCTTGGACCTTCCGTCTCACACGCACCTTGGACCTTCCGTCTCACACGCACCTTGGACCTTCCGTCTCACACGCACCTTGGACCTTCCGTCTCACACGCACCTTGGACCTTCCGTCTCACACGCACCTTGTACCTTCCGTCTCACACGCACCTTGTACCTTCCGTCTCACACGCACCTTGTACCTTCCGTCTCACACGCACCTTGTACCTTCCGTCTCACACGCACCTTGTACCTTCCGTCTCACACGCACCTTGTACCTTCCGTCTCACACGCACCTTGTACCTTCCGTCTCACACGCACCTTGTACCTTCCGTCTCACACGCACCTTGTACCTTCCGTCTCACACGCACCTTGTACCTTCCGTCTCACACGCACCTTGTACCTTCCGTCTCACACGCACCTTGTACCTTCCGTCTCACACGCACCTTGTACCTTCCGTCTCACACGCACCTTGTACCTTCCGTCTCACACGCACCTTGTACCTTCCGTCTCACACGCACCTTTTGCTCCAGCAGGTCAATGATGATAACAGCATAGTCGTGCACGAGCTGCTTGCACGCCTCGCTCAGCACGCCCTTGGCTCCGATGGCCGCATTGATCTCCGCTATCACCGCCTGGCACACAATGCGAGGAATAACAGTGTTCAAGGGATAAACACGTTGAAGGAACTCGAATTGGAAGAGGAATCGAAACGTGAGGAGTCTTAAAAAGTGGATGGAATGAAGGGGCACACCCATGCAAGGAATACTGGCAGAGGGAGGAAGTGGCGATATGCAAGGAGATGGATTGGGGCATGAGATAGCAAGGGGAGAGGGCAGGTGAACGGGTGGGAGAAAGGAAGAACCAGGGCAAAAGCGCGTGGAAGAGTTGGGAGTGGAAGCGGGGGGGGAGTGGGAGAAAGGGGACGAGAGGGGACAAGTGGGGAGGGGTTGAGTGGTAGTTCGAGGAAAACATTGGGATGGCCAAGCACTACGGGGAGGAAGGGGGAGCGAGAGTTGAAAGCGAGGAGGAGGAGGAGGGGGGGAGGAGAAGGCGTACCGAAGGGCCTGCAATGAGGGAGGTGCCAGTGTCAGCGATGGCAGCACAGCCATGCTTGCAGATGCCTGGTGGGGCGGAGAGGGCAGGGCAGGCCGGGAGAGAGGAGAGAGGAGCGAGAGAGCGGGGAGGTGAGACGTGAGAGAGAGATGAACGTGCGTGATAGGGCAGGGCAGGGCAGGCGTGGGAGGTGCATGTGGGAGACGGAGGGGAGGAAGAACTCCTGCTGCACACATGAATTGGATTGTCATACATAGCATGTCATGGGGCAAGAGCAATGCGCAAGGCAGCTTGCGATGGGGAAAGGAATGAACACGATGCAGGACGCATGGAGCATGGGGCATGGGGCTCGGGGCGTGGGGGATTGGGGATGGGGGATGGGGGATGGGGCACGGGGCATGGGGCATGGGGCATGGGGCATGGGGCATGGGGCATGGGGCGTGGGGGATGGGGGATGGGGCAGGCATGGGCATGACTCACTGGTGGTGGAGCCGTTGATGAGCACATCTCCCATGTTGAACTGCATGGTCACCATGCATGCATGCACACATACGTGCACACATGCACACATGCACATGCACACATGCACACATGCACATGCACACATGCACACATGCACATGCACACACATGCACACACATGCACACATGCACACATGCACACACACACACATGCACACACATGCACACATGCACACACGCACACTAGAGCGCGCACGCGCCCCCACAAACAAACACAGAGGCGCACGCAAATAAGTGTGAATTCTTTAGTCGTGGAAAAAGTAGCAGGCGCCCTCCTTTCTCTAGTCTCAGAGCCTCAAATCGCCAGCACAAGAAGCAGCTTACAGCCAACTAGCATGCCATGCTCCTCCCTTTCCCATCCCCCTCCCCCTCCCCCTCCCCCTCCCCCATCCCCCCCTCCCCTTTCCCATCCCTTTCCCCTCCCCCTTCCCCCTCCCCCCCCCCCCCTCCCACCCGCGCACCTGCCAGTACCCGCGCCTGCTAACAGGCGCCCACGAGTGGCTCCCCTTGAAATGCGCCTCGTCCACTCCGCCAAACACCACCTCGCCGCCCGCCGCCCCCTCAGGATCGCGATTGAACCAGAAGGAGAACACGGGCTCGGGCACCAGCCCCTGCGCCAGCATGTTGTACCAGGGGGGGGTTATCTGGTTCACGGAGATCTCCTTAAAGCCCAGCCCCATGATCCCGTCGAATTTCGCCGCGAAGAACGCGAGGCCGGGCTCGCTCGTGGCCTCCGCGAAGGTCTGCCCCGTTATAGTCACGTCGCCGATAGTCACGTCGTCCTTGGATTGGAAGCCCTTCATGGCGCCGCTGCCGTACTGGATGGCGAAGGGCGTGCCGTCCGCCTCGTACGAGCGCGACTTGCGCGAATCGTACTTGGCGTGGTTCAGACACGCCAGCTGCGAAAGGGGACGGGGAAGATGGGGGAAGGGGAAGAGGGGGCGGGGAAGAGTGGGGAAGGGGAAGAGGGGGGACGGCGAAGAAGGGGGGACGGGGAGAAGCAAGGAGGCAGCGGGGAGGGAGGGGGAGGATGATTGAACTAAGAGTGCTTTGGGTGAAAGAATCGCAAGGTGTGAGAACCTCTGAGTGATAGGAGATGAAGGGGGCGGAGGGGACGAAGGGGACGGAGGGAAATGATGGGAAGGAGGGGAAGGGGGCAGGGCAAGGGGAAAAGGTGAGGCGTCCACTGGACAACAGGAAATCCACGGGGACGATGCAGCAGCCCTAGGGGATTATAAGGAGTGATAATAAGGAGATTAAAAAACGAGAGATAGTAACGAGGGGAGCGCGTCGTACGGAGAGGTAGCAGCGGCGCGAGGGCACCCAGAGGTTGCTGCTGCCGGTGTCGGGCACTACTTTGAACGTCTGCAGCGGCGACCCAATGCCGATCTCCATGTAGTACTGCGCGTCCATGAAGTTATTCAGCGGCACCACGTCCGGCCCGCGCTCGCCGCCGCTTGCGCCGACTTCTGCGCCGTCCGCGCGGAGCCCGCTGGCGGAGAGCAGGCGCTGCTTGAACGCCGCGGACGATAGCCACTCGCGCTGCGCCGCGATGCGGTCTAGTGTGAGCTCCCCCGTCCGCCTCAGCCGCGCGCGCGCGAACCGCGGAGGCGCGTCCGTGGCGGCGCCATCGGATTCCGCAGCAAGACCTGGCGCGAGGGACGCGGCGATAAGAAATATCGCGAGGAGCGAAACCACGCGACGCTGGATCAGCAGCCCCATGAGAACAAGCGAATCAAAATAAAAAACCGTCCGGCAAAGGTGGAGGATACACCCAAGTTCTAAAATCCACAGGAGTGAAAACCTAAGATCCGAATGGCGAAAGGGATCTTGGAGCACAAGAAATAATGGTGGAATAAATTTGACAGGCGCGGGAGGCGGTTTGGCTGGGGAAAATCGGGGGGCTCAAATGAGGTCGGGTCGGGTTGGGTGGGGTGGCGCAGCTGGCACTGTGGCAGGCGGAGGAAGTTGCTGTTCGCACCGGACGCGCGGAAAGGGTCGCGGGTGTGCGGCACTGGGGAACTGGGGGAAAAGCGCCCATTACATCTCTGGCTTGCGGTGTGAAAGCGGAAGGAGCGGGGGGTCCGAGGGATAGAAAAGAACCGTTGCGCGGAGGGAAATGCAGCGCACCTTGTACGTCGTGGAGACGTCGTATGCTGCGCTGACGCAACATTGTACCCATACACGTGTTTCTATCGAATGAAGCTGCTGATACACATTGATGACTCGTTACGGTACAACGCAAGCATGCAACGAAAATTGATACATTATTTATTATTATTTGCAAACTGTATGTGGTGATCCTGAGTGCTATTTGCCAACCACCCGTTTGCCCCAGCAGCTAGAGACCGCAGCACATGATCATACCTAAAGTACAAATCCTTGTGAAAATAAGCTACGGAAAATGTCCGAACGGTCCCTGTATGCTGGAACAAGGAGGGCACATGTGCATACCCAACAAACCTCCTCTTGTTCACACTCTCTCCTATTAGCATATCTCCTGGATTGTGCATGAATCGTGACTCCATATAGCGGACCACCTCCTTGGCAACATCAACCCTAAAAAGGTCTGCTTGAGTGCAGCAGGGAAAATCATACACGTCACCGTGCTTGGCACCCCAGTGATACGTCGTCGGGTAATAAAGTGCCACCAAATCCCATCGAGGCTTCTCTCGAAGATCAACTGTGAGAAACCTCTCAATGCCAGCGTCCCACAGCCATGCTGGCATTGCATCGTCTTCGAGAAGGAGGACGAACCTTGGGTTTGAGAGCAGGCACTGATGCATGACATGAATCAAATCTACAGCTAACTTTGTCTCCCATGTCCATCTCGCCCATCCCTTTCTCTCGATGATCCGTTGCGGAACAGCAGCCAGCAGCCTACCAGCATCCCCGAAAAAGCTACACACGTCAGCATGAGCTCGCAGGACATCCACGTGGATGGACAGATTGGCCGCCACATCCCGAATGGCTTGGGTGTGGCTGTCAACAGTGGTGCTGCTGTCAAAGGCAGCCTGAGCAAGCACCTGAATGAGGGGGCGGACATACGCCTCACTCACACCAGCGCCTGCAGCATACCGCCTCACTGTCTCATCCATCATCTCCCGTCTGCTCATCTCTCTCCCTCCTCCTCCCCTTCCCCTGCCACTTGCTGCTGCCTCTTGTCCGTTCCTGTTCCTTGTTCCTCGCCTACCCTTCCTCTTCCTCCCTCCCCCTCTCCCCTCTTGCTGCTGTGGCTTCGCTTCCCTCCACCGCTCCTCACCAAAGACAACACCCTGCTGAGTCAGCAAGTCCACAGGGTCAACCACGTGGCATGCTGAGCTGTACAGCACGATGCGCATGTCCTGCCCCAGCACCAAACCTTTCCGCTTTTGAAGCTCTCTGATCGCTTTCTCCACCTCCTCTCCCGTTTTAGGCACATCCTCAGCAGTCACATCACCCTCTCTGTCCCCTTCCCCCTCCTCTTCTCCTTCCAATCTCTCTGCCTGCTCCATGTCTGTATTCGCATTTAGGCCAACGTTACCTCTCCCCTCGCCTTTCCCTTTCCAAGCGCTCACGCGCTTCGAGTCTAAAGCCTGCAGCAGCCGCACGACTCGTTGCCACGTGGGTTCCAGGTTTTGCGGGTCGTATCGCGGCGCGGATGTGATTGCTATGCACAGCCCGCTCGGCGCGCTTGCATTCACGCGTCGCTCCTCAGCCTCTGACCTGGGAACATCTGATTGGCCGCTTGAATTTGCAGAAGAGTTCCCAGGTGGAATGCTTGACCGTAGTAAAGGAGGTATGCGAGGCGCGAAAAAGTCATTGCTGACGTGGCGACGAAGATGGAGTGGATGAAAGGAGCTGGAATCACGAGAGAACAGCCAATCCGAGGGCAAACTTGGCAATGCAGCGAAGATATGCGACGAAATCAAGCGCCAACTAGCGAATGTGCCTAAAACGCGGTCCGTCTGCTCGGCAAGTTTACGCGAGGAGAGGGAGTGAAGACGGGAGACAGCGAGGTATGAGCGGGCAACGAGAATACCCCACGGGAGACAGATGGCTGCTATCGCCGTGAGGACGATAACTCGCATCCCTACGCGTCGGTTCCTGCGCAGCATTTTGGATCGTCAACGCGGAGCACGTAAATCGAGTGAGCATGACTTCGGGAAATTTGGGATGAAGGTGAGGCTGATATGGAAGGCTGTGCTTGTTTGTTGCTTCGGTTGAGATGGGTTGGGTTAGCTTTCAGCGTGAACACAAAGTGCTTTTGCGCTGGCTATGAAGAAAACTCGAGGTTGTATTGTGAGCGTCCATAACGAGTCGAGGTCAACACCCCCAGATTCTCTAGGGCCAACAAATTCCTTGGGACTTCAGCTCCAGCACTCTTCTGCTCTTTCCCCCACAGATTCGGGAATCCCAGGGTTGCTGTGTTTGCCTGATCGCGCTTCAAGCTTGTCGCGCCTCACACGCAACCAGCTTCCTGCGCTCCTTTCCCTGCATACTGTCGTTTCTCATTCAGATCCTTGCTGCCTGAAGGCATTGCCTGCGACATGTCCAGTAACCGTGCGAAGGTGCTGCTAGGTGTAACGGTTCTCGCGACTGTCGCTGGCGTCGCATACGTGCACCAGCTGCAAGTGAAGGAGCGAGAGGTGTGCGACCTCTTCTCATTGCCTATATTCGGGTCTTCCTCTTTCATCCAGTCACGCTTATATTCTCTCAGCACTCTGTTCACCGTATCATTGACACTAAGTGGCACTTAGTCATTGCACGAATCCGCTTCGTCAGCTCATGGTGTTTAATCGCGTTCTTCAACTCCCACTCGCTTCCGCGAATCCCCTGCCGCCACGTGGCACAGAACCTCCACCGCGGCGTGTTGCGCGACGACCAGCTTTTGGAAGAGAAGCGTCGCCAGTTCCAGTCGCAGGCCCAGCCGTCGCATTCACCGCTGTCGCAGATACAATCGTCGCAAGCATCCCCTCCAGCAACGCAGCAGCAGTAACCCGAATTTGGGACACCACACAAAGCATCAGGACATTCTGTCTCAGATCCAATCACAACCGTCAGAGCCTTCGCCCTTGGACCTGATCGCCCCACTCTCTTTTAGAAATCCCCGTTTCAAGCACCAGCTGCCATTCTTACACTGCAGCCTGGCCAAGATACGAACGGAATGGCATCATCATCAGAACATCTTCACATGCGCATACCAGCAGCGGATCAGTCTCCACTCTTCCAGCTCTCCGCCATGCTTCCTCCATCTCCTCCCCTCTCCCCTTCTCCTCCCCACTCCCCGTCATCTTCTCCGTCATCCCCCTCCCCCTTCCGTTCCTCCTCCGTTAACCCTCCCCCTTCCGCCTCCTCCTCCCCCTCCCCCTTCTGGCGGATGCCTCTCCCCCCATCCCGCGTCTACCTTATTGATTCACCCGCCTCCTTCCGGGCGGCAAGGGTTGACGTTATCCTGTCCAAGGCCATCATGGTGGGGCTTGATGCTGAGTGGCGGCCGTCCAGACTCCGACGGGAAATGGCTGAGCTGACACAACAGGCTGACGTGGCCAAACAGGCTAACGTGGCAGCTACATCATCACTTGAAGCGTCAGCATCAGCAGCAACAGCAGCATCAGTAGCGGCAGCAGCAGCAGCAGCAGCAGTCATCTGCAGACATGCTTCCCCCCCATCGCGTGGCACTGCTGCAGATAGCATGTCGCGTACCCCGAGGGACATGCGACCACCACGAGCGTGACAATAATGGGAGTGACCATGAGGCACGCACGCCAGGCAGTGGCGAGCAGGCGCAGCAACAGGGAGAGGAGGAGCACCACATCAGGGAATCAACAGAAAGGCAAAGCCAGCCACAGCATATGGAGCGGCGTGAGAGTGAAGCAGTATTGCCACATCAGACGGACAGCTGGCAGCAGGCGGACAGATGGCAGCAGGCGGATGGGTGGGAGGAGGTGGTGTTGCTTCTGGACCTTCTGTCCCTCTCCCCCTGCCTGTACGCCCCTCCTCTCCGCGCCATGCTGCGCGCCCCTCATACCCTCAAGCTCGGATTTGCCTTCTCAGACGACCTCGAGTTCCTCCACCAATCTCTTCCTTCATACCATCACTCCCTCTCATCACACCACCACTCCCTCCCCCCACACCATCACTCCCTCCCCTCACACCAACAGTCTCTTCTCCCAGACCAACTCGACTGCCGTCCTGCAGAGCACGAGCACCCCTCCCACGACTGCTTCCACCACGTGGCGCCGTTCATAGACGTGGGCACGGCCTACCACGCCATTCGCCGCACGCGCCTGCACCTCAAGCGAGACAACCTGCTCTCCCTCCTCACCGCCACTGCTCCTCCCGGCTCCCTCGCGTCCAAATCCGTGCTGCCACCCGCGTCTGGGCTGTCAGCGCTGGCGCAGGTGCTGCTGGGGGCGCCGTTGGACAAGGAGTTGCAGTGCAGCGACTGGGAGCAGCGGCCGCTGTCACGCCACCAGCTGCACTATGCTGCTGCCGATGCCCTCTGCCTGATTCACATGGCGCTCGCGCTTCTCCCCCTCGCTCTGCGCCCCCACGCCCTCTCCGCCCGTGCCCTTTCCCCCCATGCACTCTCCCCTCACGCCCTCTCTGCCCATGCCCTTTCCGCAAATGGAAAGGGTCAGGTTGGGCTAGCAGCAGTACATGGAGGCCCATCCACGTCACCATCCCTGTCAGCGTCATCCTCGTCAGCAACTTCGTCAGCGTCCTCGTCAGCATCCCCTTGTGTTGTTCACCAGCCCATCCCGGCTGCATCTGTTTTAGTAACTGCGTGTCCTGTCACGCCTGCACTCCCACCCTTACAGTCACACCATCGCCTCATGCACACCATCCAGCATCAGCAGCAGCAGCATCAGCAGCATCATAATGAGCATCAGCATCACAATCAGCATCAGCAGCAGCAAAACAGGACCAGCAGCACCACCACTCTCGTTGCTGCCCTATCAGAGCTCATAGAGGAACACTCCCACACGCTCTCCCTCTGCCACATCACTGGGAAAGTGCGCTCCGTGGGAAAGAGCAACGATGGCACCGGCACTGGCACTGGCACTGGCAGTAGCAACAGCAGCGAAAGCAGTAGCAATGACAGGGCGAGTTCAGGCCAAGGGCGGGCAGGGAAGGGAAGGGATGCCTCTGGCAAGCGGTTGAACTCGAGAAAAGGGAGGAAGCAGGCACGAGAGAGTAGGACGAGAGAGGAGGGGAGGAGGCAGCAATGGGGGGGAAGGAGAGAGAAGCGTTGAGTCAGGGCGAGGGTCAGGAGGAGAAGCAGCAGGCATGACAATAATGTGCGAGTTTGAATCGCGGCGCAAGGAAGCATGCGCAAATGATGCCGTGACCTCAGGGAATACCCGTGCTGACAGGCCACACAGCGGACTGGTGGCACCGTGGCATGTAGTGCGCCAAACTGACATGCATGGGAAGGCGCTGGTGCCGCCGTGGGATGTGTCGCGGGGAGGGGATGGGCATGCGCGGTTCCTGTGTGACTCCATGGTGGAGGGGCTGGCACGGCAGCTGCGGTGTGTGGGCGTTGACACTGCCTCTCCCAAGACTCTTGGCCGAGACACATGTGACACAAGGTATGGTTCAGCTCGAAGGATGGTCGGGGTGTGAGCCGAGGGGCTGAAGAAAAGGGTCATGTGCGGTGCAACCAAAAGTTGACACCAAACTGTGCTCATGGGATTGTGTCTTACCAGATGTGCATGTGCCAATTTCTACCCCACGCACACTGCCGTCCCACCCTTCCGCAGAAACGGTAGGATTTTTTAATATATGTAGGGCTGTGTACATTTTACGATTAGCATGAAGACATGTGCGTTTTTTGGTTTCTACCCTACCCACCCTGCTCCCATTTCTCCCCTCAGAAAACTAATAGAGTGGGCAGAGATGGAGGGCCGTGTGCTTCTAACGAGGGACGTGAAGCTCTTCCGGCGCCGCCTGCTGCCGGCCAGCCACATGCACCTCATTAGAAGCACCGACAAGCGCGAGCAGCTCCGCGAGGTGGTAACCGCGTTCCGCCTGCTCCTGTGCGAGTCCTCGCTGCTCTCGCGCTGCATCCGCTGCAACGGCACCTTCAAGCCGCAGGCGCTGGGGCCGGCAGAGGCAGCAGCGGCGGCGCCGTGGACCCAGGTGGTGCCGAGTCACGTGTTGGATCGGGTAGCGGAGTTCTGGCAGTGCTGCCAGTGCCAACACCTGTTCTGGGAGGTGAGACCTGACATGTGTGTAAGAGTTAGAAACTTTCTAAAAGTCAGCATCATTGGTGTTATGGTCAGGCTGTGCCCAGCCTTGTCTTGGCTCGAGTGGCGGAGTTCTGGCAGTGCTGCCAGTGCCAGCACCTGTACTGGGAGGTGAGGTGTGATATGCATGAAGAGAGGTATCAGGCATGTGGGAGGGTGCTGCGGCTTTATGTCTCCTTGCTTCCCTGTCAACATCTGTCTCACACTCTCTCTCGTCCTCCATGCCTCTCCATTGCGCCCCCACTTCCAGGGCTGCCAGTTTGATCGCGCCATCAAGCAATTCACAGAGGTGTGCCAGCTGTCAGCTGCGCTGGCGCAGACGAATGTTTCAGCCAACAGTTGATTCTTAGTCAAGTTAAAAGCCATCAAGCAAATAGATGAGGTGTACCAGCTGAGCTAGTGCAGCAGTACAGTTCATCTTTGTCAAAATGAAGAATGGATGATGCATTGATGTTGGTTGGGGTACATATAGCTAACCCTAAGTTTTGTACCCCCTAAGACAAACCTCACTATAGGCTACAACATTTGACACACCCCCATAGCCTAAGTGAGGGGTGTCTAGCAGAACCAAACGAGTACGGTCACAAGACCAGTCCAAGAAACGAAGCTCAGGGTGGATCACAACGTCACCACACAGTCTGAGCACAAACAACAGTGGCCACAAGGCCAGTCCAAGAAGTAACAGAGGTATATAGAAAGCAAAGTAAACAGTACACTCAAGTCTAAGCAACACGAGAACCAGTGTCAACAAGGCCTAACTGCACACAGCACCTCTGGTGGTCACAAGGCGGAAGCGCCTTGGTGAAGATGTCTGCAGTGTTGGCCTCGGACTCCACAAACTCAAAGCGAGCCTGTCCACGCCTCTGCAACTCTCGCAGAAGAAAGTACCTGACGTGAATGTGCTTCACTCTGCTCTCCAGTCGTGGCTCTCGACAAAGGAGAATAGACGCCTTGTTGTCAGTGAACAAGGTCGGTGCAGAGCTCGGCCGCTCACCAAGGTCGGTGAGCAAGAAGGTCAACCAACGCAGCTCCTGTGCCGCCATGGCACCAGCGTAGATCTCAGCCTCAGCTGTAGAGGTCGAGACCGAAGAGGAGCGCGTGGACCGCCAGGAAACAGCTCCAGAACCCAGGCTGAAACAGTACCCCTGAGTAGACCTGTGAGTCTCAGCGTCGTCAGCGTAAGAGGAGTCACAGTGACCAGTAAGTACGACAGACTGCTGCCCTCCAAGAACTAGCCCCACGCCTGACGTCGTCGCTAGGTACTTCGCCACCCTCACAGCTGCTGTCCAGTGAACAGGACGGTGTCTCCCTGGCGCAACAAAGCGCGCAAGAACGCTGAGAGGGAAGGCGAGGTCCGGGCGAGTACAAGTCATCAGGTACATGAGGCAACCCACAAGCTCTGCGTAGGGACCACTAGGCTCGAACGGCTCGTCAGGAAAGGGTCCAGTGAGTCTGTGGTCAACAGCAAGAGGTGTGCGCTGTACTGTGGAGTGCTGAAGCCCGAACCGCTGAAGGACCTGCTGCACCATGTGCGACTGTGAAAGTGTAATGGTGCGAGCAGCTCTGTCCCTGGTGATCTGCAGGCCAAGGTAGTGGCGCAGCTCACCAAGATCAGTGCAGGTGTGTCTCTTCTGCAGTTCGGACTTCACGTGTGCCAAAGCAACCCTGTCAGGGGTGGCGAAAACAAGGTCGTCAACGTAGACCAGAACAAAGAAAGGTGTGGGGCCACGACGAACGAACAGCGACGGGTCAGCAGAAGACGGCTGGAACCCAAGGTCAGACAGGGTAGAACGCAGGGTGTCGTGCCACTCACGAGGAGCCTGACGAAGACCGTAAACCAATCGCCTCAGCCTCCACTGGGTCCCAGGAGGGAAAGAGCCAGTGAAGGCAGAGGGACGACGCAACCAGACCTCCTGAAGGAAAGCAGTAGAGAAGTCGAGAGAGTGTAACTCGTAGTCTCTCTGTGCTGCTACGTGTAGTAACACCCGAAGAGTGGTCATCTTCGGGGTGGGCGCGAAGGTCTGAAAGAAGTCAACTCCCTCGCGCTGACTGAAACCTCTAGCCACGTAGCGTGCCTTGAAGACCGGAGGAGATCCCGGTGGCCGCTTCACCCTGTAGATCCACATGCCGTCGACTACGTTCGCCCCCGGAGGGGGAACCTCATCGACGTAGGTGCCTGTGGATCTGTAGGAGGCCATCTCTGCGTCCATGGCAGCTCTCCACTGAGAGGCCCAAGGCCCTGACACTGCCTCAGCGTAAGTGCGAGGAGTCGGAATGTCAAGGGCGTCGGGGTCACCCTCAGGGGCGAGGAGCATGGCACAGAGATGAGGGGAAGCGGCCGCCAGGAACTCTAGCTCAAACTGCCTGTCCTCTAGGGCGTCACAGCCAAGGGCAGACACACCCCCGACGGCCAGAGGACTGGAAGGAGGAGCAGCCACAAGAGCGGTGGCGAAGTCAAGGCGGCGGGTAGAGGCAAACTCAGTGACTGCGGCAGTAAGAGCGGACACAGAGGACACAGAGGCACGAGGGTGAGTAACAAGCGAGGCGAGAACACGAGAGAGAAGAGGACGGTACGTGCGGTAGTAGTCAGTGACAGGAGTAGGGAGCGACGCAGTGAGAGCCGACTCAGGAGGAGACGGAAGCACAGACGGAGACGGACGAGGTGGACTAGAACGAAGTAAGGCAGTACGAAGGTCAGTGAAGGGAACAGGAGACGAGGGACGAGCACGAGGGGAGCGACGAGAGGCCCAAGTCTGAGAAGGAGGAGGGGACAACGAAGACTGAGAACGAGGGAAAACAGCGGGAGAGGGGTCAGGAGGAGGAAGCGGAGGACCAGAGACGGGAGGAGAGGGGGAGGAGGAAGGAGAGGGAGAGGGGAGACCAAGGGTCCGAAGACCCGAGACAGGAGGAGGAGACGGCAGCTGCTGCTGCTGCGGCTGCTGCGGCTGCTGCTGCTCCAGCGGCTGCTGCCCCTGCTGCTGTCGCTCCTGCTCCTCGAGCCGCTGCAACTCTCTCTCCTCTCTCTCCAACTCCAGCTGCTCCTCACGAGCACGGCGAACACGAGCCTGGAACCTGGTCGGGTAGGGGTGGGGGGAAGGAGTAGTGTCCGGGGCAGCGGCAGCCCCAGAGTCGACCTCCGAAGCACCAAGCACACCACCCCCAGAGGCAGCACCAACACCAGCTCCAGACCCAGGCTCTCCAGAAACCGAAGGAACACCCTCACCCCCAGACGCAGCACCCCCAGACGCAGCACCCCCAGACTCCGCACCAGCACCCCCAGACTCCGCACGACCAGTACCAGCCCCCGGAAGACAAGAGTCCTCTGCAACCCGCGGCTCAGCTCCAACTCCAGCACCCCCAGAACCAGAGACCTGTACAGGGACAGTCGCAGGACCAACCTCCCGAGAGGGAGCACCTGCAGGAGGCGGCGAGGAAGACTGTGGGGAGGGAGGCTGTACAGGGGGGGCTACCGAAGGGGGAGGGCTAGCCTGAGACACACCAGACGGGGCTGGACCAGGGGGGGGAGGCTGTACCGGGGGAGCAGGCGGGGGAGCGGCGGTCAGGAAGAGAGGGGGGGGAGGGACCGGGAGACCTCGACTGGGGTACCTGACGTAGTAGGGGGTGGACTCCTCGAAACGGACGTCACGGGAGTCAAAGAACCGGTGAGAGGGAGGGTGGTAAAAGGTGAAGTCAGAGGAGTCCTCAGGGAAACCAAGGAAGACACAAGGAACGGCGCGAGGCGAGAGCTTGTCCGCTGAGGTGTCGCGGACAAGAGCCAAGCACCCCCAGACACGAAACCTCGACGCGACACCAGGGGACCCTGTCCAAAGACTGGTCGGTGAAGCCTCCGGCCGAGAGACGCGTGGCCAGAGGTTCAGCTGGTGCGCGGCGTACCTGACCGCGTATGGCCACAGGAAATGGGGGGCACGGGCGTGAGTCAAGGAGGTGCGGGCAATCTCCATGACCAGGCCTATGCGACGCTCAGCAACCCCATTCTGCTGTGGGGACTCCGGAAGCGTCCAGGACTGACGAATGCCCTGTTCGCGACAGAATCCAGCGAGAATGCCGGAGCGAAACTCGCCCCCGCGGTCGGAGTGGAGACAGCTGACACGACGACCACGAGTGTCCTGGGTGGTAAGCAACCACCTGATCAGCGTAGAAGTCACCTCAGACTTCCTCGCCAGGGGGAACACTGTGGTGTAGCGGGAGTAGTCGTCAACGACCACCAAAAAGAAACGCTCACGCTCAGGGCCAGGGCGAGGAGAGGGGCCCCAGACGTCCAAGTGCAGCGTCTCAAAAGGCTCGGTGGCCGGACGAAGGGAGGAGGAGTGAGGGGTGGCACGCAGCCTACCCTCGACGCAAGGACCGCACGGTGGTGCAAGGGACGGCGGCAGCGACGGCAAGACACGCGGGAGACCTAAGACCAGACGCTGACTAGACATAGCACGCAGACGTGGAAGAGAAGGGTGTCCCATCCGGTGGTGCCACAGAACGGTGGGGTGGGCAAGTGACCGACAGGAGCAAGACGCAGCGACTGGACTGGACGCGACAACCTGAGGGGACGGAACCACCTGGTGAGACGCAGGGAGGAGACTAGGGGGAGGGACAGGAACTGGGAGGAGTGGCTGCTGCGACGGCGGCCGCTGTGGCTGCGGCTGCGGCTGCTGCCGCTGCTGCTGCTGCGGCTGCTGCTGCTGCTGCTGCGGCTGCTGCTGCTGCTGCAGTCGCTGCTGAGCGCGCGGGCCAGTGTGAAGAGTGTAGAGACCGGAGCCCGGCTCAGCAGCAAAAGTGGCGAGGGGCTGGTAAGAGTCCCCGTCAACACACACCGCAGTCTCTCCAGAAGGCTCAAACCACACACCCACGTGCTGACTCACGAGGGGTCGCACGCCCACCAAGTTCCGGGAGAACGAGGGGACGTGAAACCCAGTGAGAGACCCAGAAGGAGCAGCCGGACACGGCAAGGTGGTAGTGTGACGCGCGGTGACTGGTCCCGAAGTGGGATCAGCCAGCGCCACAGAAACAGGCGCAGGAAGAGGCGTAAGTGTCGTGCTGTCACGAAAGAAGCAGTGAGAGGCTCCAGAGTCCAGCGTGAACGACAGCGAACCGTCCTCTGAGGTAGCCGCTGGACTAGAGTCTACACAAGAACCTACACTAGCAACAGGCAACTGAGCAAGGCTAGCACCTAAGCTAACAACACCAGAGTAAGCAGAGTCAGAAACACTAGAGTCAACAACAGCATACATAGCATGGGGAGTACCAATCAGATCAACTAACTGCTCAGCAGACATGCCCCACAGAGCGGAGCCGTAGCGCTGAACAAGAGGCAGCCAGTCAGGGGCAGGAGCACCAACCCCGTAGACCAAACGAACCGTGTCAGTGAGCTGAGCAAAGCACTGACCAGGGGGGTGAAACCGGCCACAAGGGTGGCCACGACGAGGGCCTGTCAGAACCTGGTAGGTGCAGGGAGTGTAAGCAGCACCACGCTGGGTCTGACGCAGCCCCGACCCTGGAGCCAGCTGCTGCCGCTGCTGCTGCTGAGGCTGCTGGGAGGAGAGGGGCTGCTGGTGCTGCAGAAGCTGCTGCTGACGCTGAGCCTGGTACCACGCCGCTGCTCCACCAACCGGGGCAGGAAGTACAGGAGGCGACTGACGAACTCGGGCGTCGCCACCACTAGCAGGCGCAGTGGAGTCACCAGTCACTGCACGAGGCGCCTCTCCAGGCCCTGAACCTCCACCGCCGCCAGGCGCAACGCCACCTCCACTACCTCCGCCTCCACCTCCACTACCACCACCAGAACCGCCTTTCTTGCCACTCCTACCGCGGGACCGCGACGCAGTCGTAACAGCAGCTGCAGTCGCGTCAGTAGCGGCAGTGGCAAGTGAGGCAGTAAAGGTGGGTAACTGCGGGACTGTGCACCCGTGGAAGAGTGGGGGGGGCACAGCACCAGAGGCAGCGGCTACCGAGCGAAGGTTGCTCTCGACGTCCTTGAGTGTAGACTCAAGGACCTCGACGGTGAGCTCACTAGGGTGCTTCAGCAGAAGCGCGTCGCGAACGGAGGCAAGGCGGTCAGGGAGGCTAGTGGCGATGAAATAGATAGTAATCGCCATAGGGGGAGGAAGCAGTGCAAGCTGTGCCTCAGTGCAAGCAGCGCGGTAACTAGCGTCGAGCGAGCGGAGGTGAGCGATCAAGTCAGCAGAGCGCTCAAACGAGGCGAGATCAGGAAACAGGAACGGGAGGAAAAGACGGCCAAGAGAGACAGTAGCGGGAGTAGAGTAGCGGGCCTTAATCGCAGTGAGGTACGCAGCAGCGGTGCGAACCTGAGTGAAGTGGACCTCCTCTGACTCAGGGAGGAGGCTGCTGAGTGCGATGCAGGCCGCAGCGTCACGCGACGTCCAAGCCGTCCTGTCAGCGCGCTGACGGGCAAAGCGAGCCGTAGCAGCATCGTCAGGGGCAGGACCTAAAGCGGCAGGCTCGGGGGGCTCGGGGAGGTCACCAGTAGCGTGCGACCAGAGGGTCTCGCCCCCCTGGACTTGACTCTCTAACAGACGGCGAGCGCGAAGAAGCCAGACGGAAAAGTCAAGAGGTCTACCGTCAGCGTCGAAACGAAGAACTCGCGGAGTCGCCATAGCGAGAACTAACGCGAACGAGCAGGCGAGTAACAGCAGGAGGTAAGAGGCAAATTAGGGTTCAGGTGGGGGGGGGGGGACTTAGTCGCAGCGGAAGAACGGGCTAGGGCGACGGGCCAGGGCGTAGGGTCGACGGGACGGGGGAAAGGGCGGGCGCGATGCGACGGGGCAGGGCGACGCGACGGGGCAGGGCGACGCGACGGGGCAGGGCGACGGGACGGGGAAGGGCGACGCGACGGGGCAGGGCGACGCGACGGGGCAGGGCGACGGGACGGGGAAGGGCGACGCGACGGGGCAGGGCGACGCGACGGGGCAGGGCGACGGGACGGGGCAGGGCGACGTGACGGGGGGAAAGGGCGCGACGCGACGGGGGAAAGGGGGCGACGCGACGGGGGGAAAGAGCGCGACGCGACGGGGGGAAAAGGGCGCGACTCGACTGGGGGGAAAGGGCGCGACGCGACGGGGGGAAAGGGACGCGACGAGGGGGAAAGGGCGGGCAGGACGCGACGCTAGGAGTGGCGCTAGGCGCGGCACTACGCGCGGTAACAACGGAACCGGGACGAATGAGAGCTAGGATCAGGCTCGGGAGGCTCGAACGGAGAACGGAGGAACGGGATCCCACAGGATCCTAACCTAACTGATACCATGTCAAAATGAAGAATGGATGATGCATTGATGTTGGTTGGGGTACATATAGCTAACCCTAAGTTTTGTACCCCCTAAGACAAACCTCACTATAGGCTACAACATTTGACAATCTTGCTCTGCAGGGGTCTTCATGTCATTCAATGCGCACCGACACGCCTACAGAACGCCTACAGAAGCAACAGTCTTAAGTGTGTTGCTCACCACTTTCAGGTTCATCCCCACCCTAAGCCAAGTTGACACAGCAAAGGCTGCATGCTGAATTTTCAGGTCCGAATCACATCATAAACACACTGAGAATCAGGGTGTCCTAATAGCCTGGCAGAATAACAGGTATAGTTTTCACATATTGGAACTAGGTGAAATTACACTTCCTTCCCTCGATGGATACATGGGATGATGGCCTGGCCTTGTAAATTCCAGAACACATACATTCAGTTATTTTGTATGTAGTCTGCTATTCCATGAAATGCGCTCGTTTTTAAGGATCCATATATAGAGCTGAAGCATTCATATCGGTATTTTCTTATCGGCTCGTCTGGTCTGATTAGGCTGGTGTGTACAGTACAGCGGATGTGCGTGGATGGTCGAGGTGTCTCCAATTTGGTGATGTGGCGAATCTTATCAGTACGAAACACCACCGTGATTTGGACATCGTGGCAGCAATGTTGGCGCGGAACTACGGCTGATAATTTACGTGATCGCTTGTGACGTTGCCATCAAGTCCACAAGGCAGCTTCGCATGACTTTGACGATGGTTCCTCCGGCGGCATAGGTGCTGTGACGTCAACACACTGCTGGTGGCCCTCCCCTTTCCCGCATTTCTGTCCCCCAATTTGAACCGTCGTCAGAAAACGCGCCTCGGCGGTGTGGTTCTTGTGAGTTGTTTCTGATCTTATCCTCTTCGCAATGTTTCGTCCTGTGATCTCCGGACGAGTCGCTGTCCAACCAGTGTCGTCGTAAGCTGACAGGCTGTAAGTACCGCTCGCAAGGAGTGGTGGACGACTTTTGCCGAGGTCGCGCGCACATCTTCCTGGCACCCTGCTCAAGCCCATTTCCCTTTGGATTTCACGAACAGTTCCGTCGGCAACTCGTCCACTTCCCGCCTGTCCCCCGTGGCGCGCCCAGTGCTGTGAATTTTCGGGAGTGTGCTTTTTTGAAACGCAAAAAAAATTATGCTGGCAATAGCTTCGAATAAATCTCTAAGCAGGGTAATGACACAGGCCCTAATTCAGGTTTGTTTTGAAATTTGGGAAATACATCGCATGCTGTATGTCTACCCAAAATGTTTTTTGACCAGCAGCAGGTGGTGGTGACCACCACATCCCACAGGGTTGCTGCAATCTGACACTGTAGTTTCCGGCTTGTAGTGTACCAACCACTCCTCTGCTCCATCCTCACCTTGCCGCAAGGATGCTCAGGGAGCCTCCTCACAGAACAGGAACACAAACATTCTCGCAAGGAGAAAGTAGAGGCTTCCAGACACACTGCCTGTGTGTAAGGTAGCATGTATAACACAGGGACTTGGAATCGTAAAGCTTTAAGCTTATAATTCCCGAGATCGACGTCCATAATTTTCCGTCATCAACCAGCTTCATTCGCCCGACCACCATGCGCCCTGGAGTTCGCCCGCCATAATTCCCGTCATCAACGAGCTTCATTTGTCTAAGCTTATAAACCCTGGAGATCGCCCACCAACCATTCGCCCCCATCACCAACTGCAACCCGCCTCCATCCGCACATCGCCCCCCGCCCAGCCCACCCTTCGATCTCCAAAGGTAAGCAGAGAGTTCTTATGTCTACTTTCTCCGAGCTAGACGTTTTTTTAATGTCAGTGGTTCAAATTTTATTTCTGTAAACTTCCAATTACTGACTCATCTGTGTTCGTTTTTCGCAGGTACAAAAGACAAGTCCAGTGACGAATCTGCATACGAACTGCTCCGCTCAACACTAGCTTCTGCTCAACACGAGCTTCTGCTCAACACGAGCTTCTGCTCAACACGAGCTTCTGCTCAACACGAGCTTCTGCTCAACACGAGCTTCTGCTCAACACGAGCTTCTGCTCCGCATCTTCAAGCCGTGCGCTCTGACACGTTGGGAGTGCTGCCGTTCAAGCCGTGCGTGCCTGACTTCACGGAGCCTGACGCTGCTGACTCGTTCTGGTGGTGCTTCTGCCGCTCAACCCGCTGCCGACGATCGGGAAGTCTCGCTTCCCTATTCCCTTGCTGTTTTCTCGCTTTCGTTTCCTCGTTTTCGTGTTAAACGTCCATCATCCACCACCGCCACTCGTGCCTCGCCGTTTTCCACCGTCCCTCTGGTCACGCGGTTGCAGCTGGACGAAGATCCTCCTCGGTTGGGTAGATGGGCTTGGCTAGATTAGATCCTCCCTCTGAAGGCTGCAGCCCGTGACCATGGACGTTCCGCCCTCGTTCTCGCTTGTCGTTTTCGCCCTCGTTCACGCTTTTCGCATTCGTTTTTATGCTTGTTCTCCTTTGTTTTTTCTTCGTGCCATTGCTTTTTACTAACTTCGTGCTTCTGTGTTTTTTCTTACCCCCCGTTTTCAGCAATGGAGGATCATGTCGAGCATAGAGGCTGATCTGCAATTGGCCTCAACCAAGCAGTTAGAAGCAGTTAGAAGCAGCCCACAAAGCCGCCATTGAAGCTTCAAGCTTTCAAGGTAAGTTTCTAAACCGATCCTTGTTGTCTACCGTTTTCTACATGAGCTGGCTGCAAATTGTTTCTTAAAGTTTTTTATAGATGCTAATTCGTGTTTCGTTTTGTCTTAAACAGGAACGAAGCCAACGAAGCAGCCAACGAAGCCAATGAAGAAAACCTGACGGAGCAGCCTACTATCAAGGAGCCTTTGTAGCAAATAGAACCAGCCCACGAAGCCACCATTGAAGCTTCAAGCTTTGAAGGTAAGTTTCTGTTCTCGATCCTTGCTATTTACCGTGTTCTACTTAAGCCTGGTTCAAATCGTTTCTTAATTTGTGCCTTGTTTTGTCTTAAACAGGACTAACCAACAAAGCATTCAAAGAAGCTAATGGAGGAGTAGCTGACGGGGAGTCTACTACCAAGCAGCTTATGAAGCAGATAGAAGCAGCCCACAAAGCCGACATTGAAGCTTCAAGCTTTCAAGGTAAGTTTCTGAGTCCTAGTTCTTGATCCTTGCTGTTAACCGTTTCTACTTGAGCTTGCTGCTAATCGATTCTTACGGATTTTGATACATACTAATCTGTGCCTCGTTTTGTCTTAAACAGGAGTAACCAACGAAGCATTCAAATGGAGAAGTTGCTGACGGAGCAGCCTACTACCAAGCTTCCTACAAAGCAGATAGAAGCAGCCCACAAAGCCGTCATTGAAGCTTCAAGCTTTCAAGGTAAGTTTCTAAATCCTCGTTCTTGATCCTAGCTGTTAACCGTTTTCCTTGAGCTTGCTGCAAATCGATTCTTGAGGATTTTAATACATACTAATCTGTGCCTCGTTTTGTCTAAAACAGGACTAACCAATGAAGCATTCAAAGAAGCTAGAAGTGGCTGACGGGGCAGCCTACTTCCAAGCAGCGTATGAAGCAGATAGAAGCAGCCCAGAGAGCCGCCATTGAAACTTGAAGCTTTCTACTTAACCGGTAGAAGGTAAGTTTCTGAGTCCTCGTTTTTTATCCTTGGTGTTAACCGGTTTTTACTTAAGCTTGCTGCAAATCGATTCTTGAGGATTTTGATACATACTAATCTGTGCCTCGTTTTGTCTTAAACAGGACTAACCAACGAAGCATTCAAATGGAGAAGTTGCTGACGGAGCAGCCTACTACCAAGCCGCCTACGAAGCAGATAGAAGCAGCCCACAAAGCCGTCATTGAAGCTTCAAGTTTTCAAGGTAAGTTTCTAAGTCCTCGTTCTTGATCCTTGTTGTTAACCGTTTTCCTTGAGCTTGCTGCAAATCGATTCTTGAGGTTTTTTATACATACTAATCCGTGCCTTGTTTTGTCTGAAACAGGACTAGCCAATGAAGCATTCAAAGTAGCTAGAAGTGGCTGACGGGGCAGCCTACTTCCAAGCAGCGTATGAAGCAGATAGAAGCAGCCCAGAGAGCCGCCATTGAAACTTGAAGCTTTCTACTTAACCGGTAGAAGGTAAGTTTCTGAGTCCTCGTGTTTTATCCTTGCTGTTAACCGGTTTTTACTTAAGCTTGCTGCAAATCGATTCTTGAGGATTTTGATACATACTAATCTGTGCCTCGTTTTGTCTTAAACAGGAGTAACCAACGAAGCATTCAAATGGAGAAGTTGCTGACGGAGCAGCCTACTACCAAGCCGCCTACGAAGCAGATAGAAGCAGCCCACAAAGCCGTCATTGAAGCTTCAAGTTTTCAAGGTAAGTTTCTAAGTCCTCGTTCTTGATCCTTGTTGTTAACCGTTTTCCTTGAGCTTGCTGCAAATCGATTCTTGAGGATTTTGATACATACTAATCTGTGCCTCGTTTTGTCTTAAACAGGACTAACCATCGAAGCATTTAAATGGAGAAGTTGCTGACGGAGCAGCCTACTACCAAGCTTCCTACAAAGCAGATAGAAGCAGCCCACAGAGCCGTCATTGAAGCTTCAAGCTTTTAAGGTAAGTTTCTGAGTCCTAGTTCTTAATCCTTGCTGTTAACCGTTTTCCTTGAGCTTGCTGCAAATCGATTCTTGAGGATTTTAATACATACTAATCTGTGCCTCGTTTTGTCTAAAACAGGACTAACCAATGAAGCATTCAAAGAAGCTAGAAGTGGCTGACGGGGCAGCCTACTACCAAGCAGCGTATGAAGCAGATAGAAGCAGCCCACAAAGCGGCCATCGAAGCTTCAAGCTTTCAAGGTAAGTTTCTGAGTCCTAGTTCTTGATCCTTGCTGTTAACTGTTTCTACTTGAGCTTGCTGCAAATCGATTCTTGAGGATTTTGATACATACTAATCTGTGCCTCGTTTTGTCTTAAACAGGACTAACCAACGAAGCATTCAAAGAAGCTAATGGAGAAGTAGCTGAGGGGGAGTCTACTACCAAGCAGCGTATGAAGCAGATAGAAGCAGCCCACAAAGCCGCCACTGAAGCTTCAAGCTTTCAAGGTAAGTTTCTGAGTCCTAGTTCTTGATCCTTGCTGTTAACCGTTTCTACTTGAGCTTGCTGCTAATCGATTCTTACGGATTTTGATACATACTAATCTGTGCCTCGTTTTGTCTTAAACAGGAGGAACCAACGAAGCATTCAAATGGAGAAGTTGCTGACGGAGCAGCCTACTACCAAGCTTCCTGCAAAGCAGATAGAAGCAGCCCACAAAGCCGTCATTGAAGCTTCAAGCTTTCAAGGTAAGTTTCTGAGTCCTCGTTCTTGATCCTTGCAGTTAACCGTTTTCTACTAGCTGGGTGCAAATCGTTTTTTATTTTATTTTTATAGATGCTAATTTGTATTTCGTTTTGTCTTGAACAGGAATAACCAACAAAGCAGCCAACGAAGCCGGTGGAGAAGTGGCTGACGGAGCAGCCTGCCACCAAGCAGCGCGGACTGCAAGGCAGTGCGGCGGACTTGAAGGCAGCGCGGTGGACTTGAAGGCAGCGCGACGGAGTGCAAAGCAGCGCGGCGGACTCCAAGTCAGCGCGGCGGACTTCAAGGCAGCGCGGCGGACTTCATGGCAGCGCGGCGGACTTGAAGGCAGCGCGACGGAGTGCAAAGCACCGCGGCGGACTGCAAGGCAGCGCGGCGGACTTCAAGGCAGCGCGGCGGACTTGAAGGCAGCGCGGTGGACTTGAAGGCAGCGCGACGGAGTGCAAAGCAGCGCGGCGGACTCCAAGTCAGCGCGGCTGACTTCAAGGCAGCGCGGCGGATTGCAAGGCAGCGCGGCGGACTTCAAGGCAGCGCGGCGGACTTCAAGGCAGCGCGGCGGACTTCAAGGCAGCGCGACGGAGTGCAAAGCAGCGCGGCGGACTGCAAGGCAGCGCGGCGGACTGCAAGGCAGCGCGGCGGACTTGAAGGCAGCGCGACGGAGTGCAAAGCAGCGCGGCGGACTGCAAGGCAGGGCGGCGGACTTGAAGGCAGCGCGGCGGACTTGAAGGCAGCGCGACGGACTGCAAGGCAGCGCGGCGGACTGCAAGGCAGCGCGGCGGACTTGAAGGCAGCGCGGCGGACTTGAAGGCAGCGCGGCGGACTTGAAGGCAGCGCGACGGACTGCAAGGCAGCGCGGCGGACTTGAAGGCAGCGCGACGGACTGCAAGACAGCGCGGCGGACTGCAAGGCAGCGCGGCTGACTTCAAGGCAGCGCGGCGGACTTCAAGGCAGCGCGGCGGACTTGCAAGGCAGCGCGGCGGACTTGCAAGGCAGCGCGGCGGACTGCAAGGCAGCGCGGCGGACTGCAAGGCAGCGCGGCGGACTGCAAGGCAGCGCGGCGGACTTCAAGGCAGCGCGGCGGACTTCAAGGCAGCGCGGCGGACTTCAAGGCAGCGCGGCGGACTTCAAGGCAGCGCGGCGGACTGCAAGGCAGCGCGGCGGACGAGTCTACACGGCACCAGCGGCGGACGAGTCTACACGGCACCAGCGGCGGACCAGTCTACACGGCATCAGCGGATCAGACTACAAGGCACTAGCGGCGGACCAGACTACAAGGCGCAGCGACGGACCAGAATACGGGGCAGCGGCGGACCAGACTACAGGGCACCAGCGGCGGACCAGACTACAATGTGCAGCGGCGGACCAGAGTACAGGGCAGCGGCCGACCAGCCTACAGGGAAGCTGCGTAGCGGACTACAGGGAAGCTGCGTAGCGGACTACAGGGAAGCTGCGTAGTGGACTACAGGGAAGCTGCGTAGCGGACTACAGGGAAGCTGCGTAGCGGACTACAGGGAAGCTGCGTAGCGGACTACAGGGAAGCTGCGTAGCGGACTACAGGGAAGCTGCGTAGTGGACTACAGGGAAGCTGCGTAGCGGACTACAGGGAAGCTGCGTAGTGGTCTACAGGGAAGCTGCGTAGCGGACTACAGGGAAGCTGCGTAGCGGACTACAGGGAAGCTGCGTAGTCAGAGGCCGGGCTGCAAGGAGGCGTCGCTGCAAAGAGTAGACGGAGGAGGAACTGCGGAAGCGGTTGCTGCGGAAGTGGAGGCTGTTCCCGAGGGATGTGGCGAAGCAGTGGTGGATGTGGCGAAGGGTTGCGCGGATGGTGACTAGACGGGAGCTCAAGGGTGGCCTAAGAGGTGGCCGAGTCTAGTGTGTGGCTCAGCCGGTCCTAAGGCGAGTGGCGCGGTGTGGGTGTGATCTCAGCAGTGACGTGATGGAGTAAGGGCCGGGCTTGATTCTTGGCAGTGCAAAGGGTCCGGGAGGCTTTGCACTGCCTGGGCCCAGAATCAAGCACATCCGGGCACCTGACACTCCAGGTAGCGTCATTGCTGGGGTTGCATTTGCACCACAAAGTCAGCACCGTACCGGGGTGGGTATGGGGGACTTGATGTCACTCTTAAAGAGAAGGGAGACCGCACTGGCGAGGGTGCGGAGATCTTCTCTACCTCTGAACGATGAGTCCACACTGGCGTGGGTGTGGAAATACACGTTCTAGGTCACCTGAGGGTTCCTGTTCAGGAGGCTGCGGTTTTACTTAAAGCCTCGGAGCTTTCTCACACTGGGGAGGGTGTGGGGGGTTCTTCACTTGATGCGTCAGCCTGGAGCTACAGGGAGAGAGGGATGGAGCAATGGAGGGAGCAGCCGCCGCATGATGTAGCAGCCGCTGGATGCAGTTGAGGGGAGAAGCCGCCTGCAGACGAGGGGAGAAGCCGCCTGCAGACAAGGGGAGAAGCCGCCTGCAGACAAGGGGAGAAGCCGCCTGCAGACAAGGGGAGAAGCCGCCTGCAGACAAGGGGAGAAGCCGCCTGCAGACAAGGGGAGAAGCCGCCTGCAGACAAGGGGAGAAGCCGCCTGCAGACAAGGGGAGAAGCCGCCTGCAGACAAGGGGAGAAGCCGCCTGCAGACAAGGGGAGAAGCCGCCTGCAGACAAGGGGAGAAGCCGCCTGCAGACAAGGGGAGAAGCCGCCTGCAGACAAGGGGAGAAGCCGCCTGCAGACAAGGGGAGAAGCCGCCTGCAGACAAGGGGAGAAGCCGCCTGCAGACAAGGGGAGAAGCCGCCTGCAGACAAGGGGAGAAGCCGCCTGCAGACAAGGGGAGAAGCCGCCTGCAGACAAGGGGAGAAGCCGCCTGCAGACAAGGGGAGAAGCCGCCTGCAGACAAGGGGAGAAGCCGCCTGCAGACAAGGGGAGAAGCCGCCTGCAGACAAGGGGAGAAGCCGCCTGCAGACAAGGGGAGAAGCCGCCTGCAGACAAGGGGAGAAGCCGCCTGCAGACAAGGGGAGAAGCCGCCTGCAGACAAGGGGAGAAGCCGCCTGCAGACAAGGGGAGAAGCCGCCTGCAGACAAGGGGAGAAGCCGCCTGCAGACAAGGGGAGAAGCCGCCTGCAGACAAGGGGAGAAGCCGCCTGCAGACAAGGGGAGAAGCCGCCTGCAGACAAGGGGAGAAGCCGCCTGCAGACAAGGGGAGAAGCCGCCTGCAGACAAGGGGAGAAGCCGCCTGCAGACAAGGGGAGAAGCCGCCTGCAGACAAGGGGAGAAGCCGCCTGCAGACAAGGGGAGAAGCCGCCTGCAGACAAGGGGAGAAGCCGCCTGCAGACAAGGGGAGAAGCCGCCTGCAGACAAGGGGAGAAGCCGCCTGCAGACAAGGGGAGAAGCCGCCTGCAGACAAGGGAGAAGATCCCCTAAACCCTGAAGTGGAGAATCCGCCTGATGCAGTTAAGGGGAGGAGCCGCCTGGTCTAGAGAATGGGAGGTAGAAACCCCTAAACCTTGAAGCGGGGAAGCAGTAGCTTGGTGCAGAGAAAGGGGTGCAGCCGCCTGGTGCAGAGGAGAAGGGGAGCAGCCGCCTGGTGCAGATAAAAGCCTCTATACCCTGGTGCTTGGTGCAGAGAAAGGGGTTCCGCCTGGTGTTAAAGGGAGAAGCCGCTGCAGATAAGGGGAGAAGAATCCCTGGAGCCGCCTGGTCTAGAGAAGGGTGGGAGGAACTCCTAAACCTTGAAGCGGGGAAGCAGCAGCTTGGTACAGAGAAAGGGGTGCAGCCGCCTGGTGCAGAGGGATGGAGCAGTGGACGGGAGCAGCCGCCGCCTGATGCAGTTAAGGGGAGAAGCACCACAAAGTCAGCACCGTACCGGGGTGGGTACGGGGGACTTGATGTCACTCTTAAGAGAAGGGAGACCGCACTGGCGTGGGTGCGGAGAGCTTCTCTTACCTCTGAACGATGAGTCCACACTGGCGTGGGTGTGGAAATACTCGTTCTAGGTCACCTGAGGGTTCCTGTTTGGGAGGCTGCGGTTTTACTTAAAGCCTCGGAGCTTTCTCACACTGGGGAGGGTGTGGGGGGTTCTTCACTTGATGCGTCAGCCTGGAGCCACAGGGAGAGAGGGATGGAGCAGTGGAGGGTGCAGCCGCCGCATGATGCAGCAGCCGCTGGATGCAGTTGAGGGGAGAAGCTGCCTGCAGACAAGGGGAGAAGCCGCCTGCAGACAAGGGGAGAAGCCGCCTGCAGACAAGGGGAGAAGCCGCCTGCAGACAAGGAAGATCCCCTAAACCCTGAAGGGAGAAGCCGCCTGGAGAAGTTAAGGGGAGAAGGAGCTGCCTGGTCTAGAGAATGGGAGGTAGAAACCCCTAATCCTTGAAGCAGGGAATCAGCAGCTTGGTGCAGAGAAAGGGGAGCAGCCGCCTGGTGGAGAGGAGAAGGGGAGAAGCCGCCTCAGTTAAGGGGAGAAGCCGCCTCAGTTAAGGGGAGAAGCCGCCTCAGTTAAGGGGAGAAGCCGCCTCAGTTAAGGGGAGAAGCCGCCTCAATTAAGGGGAGAAGCCGCCTCAGCTAAGGGGAGAAGCCGCCTCAGTTAAGGGGAGAAGCCGCCTCACTCAAGGGGAGAAGCCCTTGGTGCAGAGGAGTAGCTTGGTGCAGAGAAGGTTGCAGCACAAGCATTCCCTGTGTGCCACACTATCTGGTTCACGGGGGGAAGCAGTGAAGGGGAAGCAGCAGTGAAGGGGAAGCATCAGGGAAGCAGCAGTGAAAGGGAAGTGGCAGTGAAGCAGTGAAGGGGAAGCATCAGGGAAGCAGCAGTGAAGGGGAAGCAGCAGTGAAGGGGACGTTGCAGTGAAGGGGAGGCAGTGGAGGGGAGGCAGTGGAGTGTTGGAGAGGCAGTGGAGTGTTGGGGAGGCAGTGGAGTGTTGGAGAGGCAGTGGAGTGTTGGAGAGGCAGTGGAGTGTTGGAGAGGCAGTGGAGTGTTGGAGAGGCAGTGTTGGTGAGGCAGTGTTGGTGAGTCAGTGTTGGTGAAGCAGCAGTGTTGGTGAAGCAGCAGTGTTGGTGAAGCAGCAGTGAAGGGGGAGCAGCAGTGAAGGGGGAGCAGCAGTGAAGGGGGAGCAGCAGTGAAGGGGGAGCAGCAGTGAAGGGGGAGCAGCAGTGAAGGGGAAGCAGCAGGGGAAGCAGCAGTGAAGGGGGAGCAGCAGTGAAGGGGGAATCAGCCGCCTGTGTTAGAAAAGGGGAGGGAGGTACACCGAAATTTTGAAGCGGAGAAGCAGCAGCTTGCAACAGAGAAAGGGGAACAGCCGCCTGGTGCAATCAAGGGAGAAGCAGAAGCAACCGCTGGTGCAGAGGAGGGGAGAAGCAGAGGGGTGCAGGGAAGCGCCCTTACGGAGGTTTTTTTAGCCGAGTGATACGGCAGTACCCTACTTTTCAGGGTCTTAGCCCGTAGGCATCATACCCAACTCGATGCTGATGGGACGGATTTTTTTATCCTCCATGGATTGTGCACAAGCCTTCCAAGTAAAAAAAAAAAAAAAAAAGCGCAGAGAAGGGAAAGGCGCAGTGAAGGGGAAGCAGTGTTGGGGAAGATGTTGAAGCGGCGAGCTGATATGTACTCAGTTGCCAGCTAGAGCAATGCCTTGGTACGATGTAGGGAACAGGTTCCATCTACAATCTGGGCTTTCTGTTCTCGTTGCCCAGGATGCCCATGCACATTGTACTTGTTCATTAGTGCAATACTCTCACAGGGCCCTCCATTGTATGTCACTGTACTGGTAGCTTGTTGTACAAACATTTTCCCCTGTTGCTGGTTGATAAGGTCAAATAACTCTGCATTTGTTCACATTAGGAATGAAGTTGCAGGGTTGATACACAGCAATGTACGAGGAAAGACTAGAGTGACACTGCTACTGGTACTGTACAAGCCAAAAGGACTGGCAAGCAATTTTCTCCCCAGATTGCTTTGCAACTGCGAAGATCAGACACCTAAGGCACAAAACTCGCATTGGCGACATGTAACCAGGTTCAAATGACATGTAAGGTAGCTTCAACGATATGCAACTAGCCTTTACGACGTACGGTAGCAGCACGGTTCAGATTAGATGACATGCAACTCTGCGAGGAAGTCAGCACTGAGGTCGAGGAAGAGCATGTGAGAGAAAGGGGTGCAGCCGCCTGGTGCAGAGAAGAAGCAGCAGCGAAGGGGAAGCTCGGATCAGATGACGTGTAACTCGGCTAGGAAGTCAGCACTGAGGTCGAGGAAGAGCATGTGAGAGCCGTCCACATGCTGCACGTCCAAAAGATACTTCTCATCCCGCACCTTGAACAGCTGTGTGCGGTGCAGTGCGGTTCAGGGGGATGGACGGAGTTGAAGAGCAATTTTTTCAACTCTGATCAAGAACAATGATAACAACCCCAACCCCACAAACTCCGGGGTACATCCGGAAACAGAGCAGCAGAAGCCATTTGCGTTGTGGTATGCATGATGGAGAAGGAACGAGCGAGAGGCGGGGTGCACATGCAAGGGCGATGAGGGCCGTTGCTCAAGGTAAGTTCGATCAAAAAGCGGCAGTGAGAGAGACTGACTGTGACACACACGCTCACCTGCATCTCAAACCGCAGTAAACGCCGAACTCCCCCGCCCACCAGCGCCTCCACAGGAATCACCGGGCGGCCTCTCTCGTCCTGTATCGTCCGAACACCGTCCAGCCTCCCGCCATCCACCAACATCCCATCCCCATGCCCATGCCCATGCACCCAAGAGGCTGTGCTAGAGGGAGCAGCACCGGAGGAGGAGGAGGAGGAGGAGGAGGTGGGGGGGAAGGGGAGGGGGCCGTCCCAGCGGCACTTGACAACGTAGGGGGAGAGCTTCTTCCACCGCACTTGCAGGGCTTGTAGTGCGCGGAACACCTCCCCCATCACCTCCATTGGGTGCGCGCGGGACTGGAGGAGAGGGGATGGGGGTAGGCAGGCCTGTGAATGAGACACCAAGAGTCACCTGCAGCGCTTGTAGTTCCCGGAATACCTCCCCCATCACCTCCATTGGGTGCGCGCGGGACTGGAGGAGAGGGAAAGGGAGAGCGAGAGGGAGAGGGAAGGAGGAGGAAGAAGGGGGACGGGGGGATGATTGAAGGGCGAGGAAGGAAGGGGAACGGTAGAGGGGTGAGGGAGGAGGGGCGAGGGAGAGGGAGGAGGCCATCACCTGCAGTGCTGTATGCACCTTACAGTCAAGCTCATTCACACGCTCACATGCGATCATGCACGCACACACTCACGTGCACCCTCTCACCTGCAGCCCCAGCGCCCACTTCCTGTCCGCCACAACCCGCTAATGATTATGCGCAGGCGACCCCGGCACTCCCATGCCCAGCCCACCAGCCTCACCTGCAGCCCGAGCGCCCATTTCCGATCCGCCACAACCCGCTGATGATTATGCGCTGGCGATCCCGGCACCCCCATGCCCAGCCCACCACTCCCGCCTCCCCCACTCCCAACGCTCCTCCTTGCCACCAGCGCATGCCCCAACCCGCCCCTCGCCGCCACCAGTGGGGAACCGTCAGCAGCGAGCGCGTGCGAGGGGTGCTGCTGGGAGTGCTCCTTGTGTTCGTTGAACTCAGCGCCCAGATAGCCCGTGGAGATGCGGCGGTGCGAGTCGAGCAGCAGGTAGTAGGCCACTGTCGCCTTGTTGGTGCGCCTCTCCCGCAGGGACTCTGCTAGGTGCTCCTGGTCGAACCCCATCTTGGTCACCACCTGGAAGATCTCCTCGTCGATCTGACGAGTTTGAGTGTGAGAAGAGAGGAGGGGATGGAGAAAGATTAGGAGAGGGGCAGAGGGAGTGAAGGGAGAGGACGGTCTCTGCAAGGCACTCCTCATCAAACCCCCGTCTTTGTCACCACCTGGAATATCTCCTGGTCAATCTGGTGTGATTGGGAAGAAAGGGGGGTGGGAAAGAAAGAGAGGATGAGAAGAGGTGCGACTCTGCCAGGCGGTCGCGACTCTGCCAGGCGGTCTTTATAAAACCCATTTTAGTCCGCACCTGGATTAACTCCTTGTTTGCGTGATGGCTCTGCGGAAAACAGCAAGAGAGGGGGGACGGAGTGAAAAGCGGGAATGAAGAGAGGAGGGAATCTGCCAGGTGCCCCTCGACAAACCCCACGACTCCAACCTCCCCTCCCTCCCTCACTTCCATGATCCATCCCCCTCACCCCACACCGATTCCTGTCATGCCCCTCCATTCCAGTAACCCCATCTTGCCACGCATCCCGTGTCTCACCCATTAAGCCTGCTCGGCAGAACTTGGCGGCGGAACGGCAAGGTAGCGGGGGAGCTTGGCGAGGAATCAGGGGTGGTGGCGGATGGATGAACCCCTACCTACCCTGTAACCCCCATACCCTCTACACCTTCTCCTGTCCTGCCTCTCACCCGTTTGGCCTGCTCTGCGGTGTTGGGAGGCGGAACAGCGAGGTAGCGGGGGAGCTTGGCGAGGAACCAGGGGTGGTGACTATTACCCCCCCTCACGCCCCTTATCCTGTACCCCACATTGCACGACTCACCCGTTTGGCCTGCTCAGCAGCATTTGGCGGCGGAACAGCGAGGTAGCGGGGGAGCTTGGCGAGGAACCAGGGGTGGTGGCGGATCTCAGGGATGGTGATGCGCTTCATTGGATCCACCAGCAGCATGCGCGGTATCAGGTCGCGCGCTCCCGCCGATAGGTGGTGTGGGAGAGCATAGATGCCACCCTGCACGCAGAGAGCATGGGGGGAGCACGGGCATAGTATGGTGGGAATGGTGATGCGCTTCATTGGGTCAACCAGCAGCATGCGCGGTATCAGGTCGCGCGCTCCTGCAGACAGGTGGTGGGGGAGGGCATAGATGCCGCCCTGCATGATGGGGAGGGAGGGGGGTGGAGGGATGTGTATGAGAACAGTATGGTTGGGATGGTGATGCGCTTCATGGGGTCAACCAGCAGCATGAGCGGTATCAGATCGCGCACCCCTGCTGAGAGGTGGTGGGGCAGGGCGTATATGCCGCCCTGCCATGCGATAAGAGAGGGGGGTGGGAGGGTGGCATTGCACTCATGAGATCAACAGCGCGCTTCATGGGATGCACAAGGAGCATGCGCGGTATCAGGTCGAGCGCTCCTGCTGACAGATGGTGAGGCAGGGCATATATGCCGCCCTGCATGATGGGGACAGCGGCACGGCACAGACCCGGGCATTGGTATGGCATGGTTGGGATGGTGATGCGCTTCATTGGGGCCACCAGGAGCATGCGCGGTATCAGATCGCGCGCGCCTGCAGACAGATGGTGGGGCAGGGCATATATGCCGCCCTGCACACAGAAAGCATGGGGGAGCATTGGGCATGGACATCAGCATAGGATGGTGATGCGCTTCATAGGATCCACCAGGAGCATGCGCGGTATCAGATCGCGTGCGCCTGCAGACAGATGGTGGGGCAGGGCATACATGCCGCCCTGCATAATGGGGCCACAGACACGGGCATTACGGTTGTGATGGTGATGCGCTTCATGGGATCCACCAGTAGCATGCGCGGTATCAGGTGGCGTGCACCCGCCGACAGGTGGTGGGGAAGAGCGTATATGCCACCCTGCATGCAATGAGAGGGAGGTGGGAGGGAGGGAAGCATTGTACTCATGGGATTAGCAGCTAGCTTCATGGGGGCCACCAGCAGCATGCACGGTATCAGGTATCGTGCACCCACTAAGAGATGATGAGCCAGGGCATATATGCCACCCTGCATGATGGGGCCATGGACAAAAGCATGGGGCATTGGTATGGTTGGGATGGTGATGCGCTTCATGGGGGCCACCAGCAGCATTCGCGGTTTGAGGTCGCACGCGCCTGCTGAGAGATGGTGAGGCGGGGCGTAGATGCCGCCCTGCCAGCAATGAGAAGGGAATGTGGGAGCATGAGCATGGAAAACTGGAGCTGCAGTTCCAGATTGGGAACTGGAGCAACAGCTCCAGCTTGGGAACTGCAGCTGTACGGGCAAGGTGAGAACAAGGGTGGCTTGGTGATGATAGTGGTAGAGTGAAGGAGCAGTTGAGCAGAGGGAGCATGATGGGGCTGTGCTTCGTGATGTTTGTGGGTAAGGCAACCTCCAGTTTTCAACGCTGCACCGCCCGCGCATACGCTGCACTGTCCACTCATACGCTGCACCGCAGCGCAGCGCACCTTGATCTTCTTAAAGAGGTTGGGGATGTTTTCGTCATCGAATGGCAGGCTGCCACACAGCAGCGCGTACAGAATCACCCCGCAGCTCCACACGTCCACCTCGGGACCTCCGTACAGCCGCCCGGATATCACCTGACATAGGCGAAAGGGGAAAGGGGGAGGGATGGGTGTACAGGAGTCAGTCCAGCAAGTGACTGACACCAGCTCCACACGTCCACCTCGGGACCTCCATACAGCCACCTGATATCACCTGAAGGTAGGGGGAGAGGTGGGGAGGAGGGGAGGGTGGGGGGCGAGGAACGGGCTACAGAGGTGAGTCGAGCTTTAGTGTTCCAAACCAACTCCACACATCCACCTTGGGACCACTGTACAGCCGCCTGCCTTGATATCACCTGAGGGAAAACAGGGAAAGGGGAGCAAGTGGGAAAATGATTACTAAGTGACTGAAACCGCCTCCACACGTCCACCTCGGGACCTCCTTACAGCTGTCCAGGTATCACCTGAAAAGGGTTGGGCAGGCGGGGTGGCAGAAGCCAGAGGGCAGAGGAGAGGGGGGGAGTTGAGTACATGACAGACCCAGTGTTGAAAGATCCACCCAGCCTACACTGGGTCAACAAGCTTAGCGCTTACAAGCTACGTGGGTCTTACACGTACCTGGGTCTTGAGCAACAACGTACTTAATAGGCACTAGTGTCTCCCCAGAACATACCTCGGGAGCAGCGTAGTTGGGGCTGCCACAGGACGTCTTGAGGAAGTGCCCGTCGCGCATGACATTGCTGAGCCCGAAGTCGGCGATCTTGACGTTGCCCTTGGCGTCCAGCAGCAGGTTCTCGGGCTTTAAGTCGCGATGCACCACCATGTTGCGATGGCAGTACTCGATGCCGCTCACGATCTGAAGCATGGATGGAGGAGGAGGCGAGGGGAGAAGGGGTACCATTGGGACGGGCTTTAAGTCGCCGTGCACCATCACACCATGTTGCGATGCCAGTACTCAATGCCACTCACAATCAGAACCATGAAACGAGAGGTGGTTTGAGGTGAGAGGAAGGGGGAAGGGGAGAAGCGGTGAGAGGGGGAGGAGAGAGGTGGGGAGAGGGAGGAAGAGGAGAAGGAGGGGAGATGATGGGGATGGGTGGTTGAAGAGGGGAGGGAGAGGGTGGGATTTTGAAGGTCCTCAATGCAGCGGCCCCTTTGAAAACACCACGACAATGCAATGGTAGTGCTCTACTCCACTCAAGGCCTCCCATGCCGCATGCGAGCATGAACCGTCCTCGCAACCGCACACGCCCGTAGGAATAAAACGCCAGGAACATGCACCTGTTATAAGGATGATAAGCCTGAAAAGAGCAGAAGCCTGCTGGGATTATTGCCTTGGCTTGTCCTCAAGCTGGCGCCCCTTCTCAACAATGCAGTAGACAGTTTTTTTACAACACTTCGTTGGCAACACTACCGCCGTCGCACCAATCTGAGAAGTGCACCTACACCCACCCACCCACCCACCTGCTGGAAGAACCGGCGTGCCTCGTCTTCAAGCAGCCTGCCCTTCTCAACAATGTAATCAAAGAGCTCGCCGCCTAGACGTACTCCATCAGATCACCACGGAGATATCCGCTGGTGTCTCGATCACCTCGCAGCACACACCTGTTGGCGTCACATCTGCGAGCAATATACAGTACATACCTGTTGGAAGAATCGGCGCGCTTCATCTTCAAGCAACCTGCCCTTCTCAACAATGTAGTCGAATAGCTCGCCCGCCTTGACGTACTCCATCACCACGAATATGACTATTGAGGCGCCTCTACCACCTCGTAGCGCCATTCCACGGGCAACACACATCCACCCACCCACCCACCTGCTGGAAAAAGCGTCTGGCCTCGTCCTCCAACAGCCTGCCCTTTTCCACAATGTAGTCGAAGAGCTCGCCCGCCTTGACGTACTCCATCACCACGAATATGTCCGCTGGCGTCTCGATGACCTCGTACAGGCGGATGATGTGCGGATGCATGAACAGCCGCAGGATCTTGATCTCCCTCCGCACTGCCGCGTGGGGAAAGGGTGAGCGGGGAGGCGGGGGTGCGGGGGTGAGGGGTTGAAAGGGGAGGGGATGAGAGAGAGGAGAATTGCGGCCATAAGGCGTCTTGATGACCTCGTACAGGCGGATGATGTGCGGATGCATGAACAGCCGCAAGATCTTGATCTCCCTCCGCACTGCCAAGTGGCGCAGGGTTGCGGGGAACGGTGGTACGGGGTAGCACGGGAGTGGGTTGCGAAGTAACAGGGGTGCGGAATTGAGGGAGGAGTATGAATGCATGAAGAGACAGATGTATGGAGATATATCCGGAGGGATGGAGAAGGTGCGGGAAGGGAAGAGGGTCAAAAGGAGTTAAAGCTTAATAACTGACAAGCTAGAGACCAAGAAGCACGCGAATGTCAAGCGATTAATCCGATTAACTTCAACCAGAATGTCACATATCTCGACGAAACATAGTCTTCCGAAATTACACGCGCTTGGGGTTCCATGACGGGAAACGAAGGTCGCCGTACCTTTTTCCTCCATGTCCATCGACCTAATCTTCCGCCGGTTCAGAATCTTAATCGCCACTTTATGTCCCGTTAGTACGTGCTCCGCTACCTTCACTTTGCCGAACGACCCCACACCCAGCGTCTTCCCTAATCTATAGTTCGGCAGGTAGAACTCGGCATTTGCTCCGCTGCTACGTGGCGGCGCAGGCGCGCCCTCCATGGCTGATGTGGCGACGTTTGACAGGCTAGAGATGTCAGTATTCAGGCGGAAAAGGCGTACTTTTTACACATGGACTGCTCGAGAAACCGTGGTACGAACCTACTCTTTCATCTACAATCGAAGATCCTGTATACCCATATCATACCTATCTTATACATAGGCCACCTTATCGTATCAGTATAACGTCTACCAATCAAAGCACGTCTGTCGCGTCGCGTGCACCGAGGCTGCAAAAATGTTCCCGAACGACTACAGCAGCGAAATCACGCATTAGGCTGTGCCGATACGGTCAAGGCAATGCGCACTATGCTGCGAAACATCCGGCGACGCGCCGCGTGAGACACGTGCGAGGTATACGCTGAAATTTCACGGGTAGGTGTTCTGACGGATCCGCAGCAGGTGAGCGCATTCGCCATTTCATGAATACAGCTGCTAGCCAAGATCGAGCTTAGGCTCGTCAGCCATGAACACTCCTGCACGAATCACCGTCGTCAGTCACTACCGTATCACGACTCACGACGCAGTTGCCTTTCCACGGCAGGAACTAGTTGAGGTAGTAAGTAGACTAGATGCGTGCGGGGTGCAATAGTCCCTGCTTGACGAGCAACTTTCAGCGAAAACAGGGCTGATATTTTGCGGGAAACTGAATTGACGGCTCTAAATACTAGCTATTTTCCAGGGCACGCTGACGTGGACTATCCAACGAATGGCACAGTTAGGGTCGGGGCTAGCCCTTCCCAGAAAATGGACGGCTGCGCGTTTCCAGCAGATCTGAGTACACTTCAGCGTATGCAGACAATAACTGACCACTTATACCTTCACTCCACGACGTGAAGCTATATTAAATACATAACACATCCTATCATCTTGTGCTTCCAGAGCCAGAATAGAACTTTGTAGATGCACACCGCAAGCTCTCTGCGGTGTCCGCCCCCGTTAAAGGATTCACTCCAGAAGCCCTCAAGCAGAGTTGTTTCAACTGCAGAAGTGAAAAGTAGAGGATTAGAGGACAGATGCAGAAGTGTTCTAAAACTCACAAACAGCAGCAACTCTCAGGAAACCAGATAAACACCCATTCTTACTTGATACTTGTCAATGATGGCGTCAGTGAAGTCAGCCCCAGTGATATCGGCTCCTCCGAGGTCAGTGAGAGCCAACCACGCCCCTCGCAGTACAGCATTGCGTAGGTCTGCATCATTCAGTACTGCTCTATCAATCAGGGCGTCTGATAGATCCGCTCCAGATAAGTTCGCCTTGTACAGCACAGCCTGAAGAGGGCGACACAGAGCAGTCAGACATTGACGGGAAACACAGGACAAAAGATTGAACAGGAGGACAGACAAACTGGCATTCTCAACAACGTGTCTCTTAAAAGCGGACGTAGTCCCATATACGAGGTTGATCTGGCTCCATCCAGCATCTTGGTGAGCACACAGTCACATATAAGAAACATAAGTGAGAAGGAACCATGCACCATACCTTGGTGAACATAGCCCCTCGAAGGTCAGACCCATGCAGGTCGGTGCCACGAAGGGAAGCTTCCATGAAGGTCGCGCCTTGCAGATCAGACACTGACAAATCCTGGCCATCCCTCTTGACGTACGACTCGTTAATTTGCTGCTCAATGGAACAAGCAAAAAGGGCATTATGAACAACAGATACAAGAAAAGTTGTGAGCGATGGAAAACAACACTGGACATTGACACTTTTGAGCAGAGAAAAACCTTCCTTCTCCCGGCTACTTATTCCTTCCGCCGCGTAGACCTTTTGTTGCCCAATCCCTTACCTCTTGCACTCGCGGTCTCAGCGTCTGAATGTCCAGCAGCCCGTCATTCCCGCCAGCAGCCATGGCCGGACTCAAGGCGAGCAGCAACGAGCACGAAGCGGCTGCGAGCGCTACGGCTGCGATGCGCACCAGCGGTGGAAGGCACTGCGAGGTAGAGCAAGCCATTGAATCGGCCTGATCAATATATTCCGATTTCTCGAGGCTTAAGTCAGCAGTCCCTTGTCTGGCGGTGATTAAGCCAGAAGGAGCAACCTTGCTCTGGAAGGACCGAGATTGAGAAGGCCATTTATCGAGAGTGGAGGATGTCAGGTGTCTGATTTCTCGCGCTGAGCATGGTTTCAACCAGGTTAGGCTGGATCTAACGGAATGGTCTGCCCAGATGAGGCACAGAGGGGGCGAAGAGGTGATGGAGGCAGCGCAGCAAATTCTAACCGTAGATATGGCCATAGCTTCCTGATTCTGCCTAGACTGTGTGCTGTCTCCCCAATCGACAAGCTTGCTCTCGAAACGTTGAGGTGATGGCTACATAAGAGGGACATGGCAGTTTAGGGCGTGTCATGGATCTTGGGAAAAATAACGAAACCCGTGTGTTCATGCTTGCAAAAATGACGAAAACGTTTCGCTTCCGTACGCGACAGCCCTCAAATGCATCCCCGCTTTCGTTTGGCGAAAGGGTTACAATCGAGCCACCAGGAAGAATGTTTGTTCTCCCACCAGTTCCAGCACGGGGAAGACCTGTAGCCCAGCCCAACTTCGGCGCTGGGAGATTTTCCAGATTTCCGCCTCGTGTTTTTCATTTGTGCCTTTCCTAGGTAGGAGTCGTGCTTCTCCGTTCGTGTTGATCGATGTTTTTCAGCAGCCCAGTTCACCAATTCGTGTCGCGCCAGCGGTGCCAGAAAGGCAGCATGTCGTCGAGGCTAGATTGCCTGCTGCTCACTATCCTGGCAGCCGCGGTCTCCCGTGGTCACTTTTTCGACTTCTAATAAATTACGTCTTTCAGTGAGGTACGTTGAAGGCTGCTTGTTGCCTAACTCGGCTTAGAAATCACGCCAGAATGAAGTTTCCATTGATCCCGATCTTAGTTGCATGCTTCTTTGGGGTGAGCTCGATGTAAACAAGCTTTGTCAGTGTAATTGTTTCAATCCTTCACTAACAAACTGTCAGTTATGAATTTCAGGTACTTTTCCTCCAATGGCTCCTTCTCAATCACGCCCTCTCCATTTCCAGGTTTGACACGACAGCAGCACTTGTCAAATTCATTCGTTCCGCATCCGCAGGAAGTAGTATTCATCTAGCGGATCTCTCTGATGCTACTCATGCTGATCGTTTTCTGCGCAGACCAACTAAACTACCAAGCTCTGGTGCGCTTGAAGCAGCTTTTAATGACACCGTTACATGGGTGGAAGAATTTGTGGATGTCGGCAACAAAAGTGGTGAAAATCCAGAGGTCAACGCGGAGGATCACTTCCCGGAGTATTTCAGGTTCATTGAAGACGACCTCCGGCCATGGAGGGAGAGAGGCGGCATCACACAGGAGGCACTTGCTAACGCACGCGCCATAGGAGCATCGTTCCGTGTGCTTATTGTGCAGGGCCAGCTCTTTGTGGAGCACTATGCGGTGAGATCCCGAAAAATATATGCTTACCATCAACAATGGAGATGCACATCTCTTGAAGTAAGCGACTGTGTTCTTCCTCTGCCCTGCTCACTGCATGTATCTTTTTCCTGCGTTTACCCGTACTTTCTCTCCAGGGATGTTATCAAACGCGAGCGCTATTTACACTTTGGGGAATCCTCCAACTCTTACGCTGCTATCCTCCTTGCCCTGCTTCTTCTCGAGGTGTTGACGCAACAAACATCAATAGAACAGCTAAATATGGTGTCACCATGACAGATGTAACAGGCAATGCATCATGGTGTGTGCCTGACGTGGATCTGATGTTCGAGTGCCAAGATTGGCCGCTGGTGGATAGAGCTGTCCATGCAGGTGCCGCCCACCCCCCTCTATTGCTCAAGTACTGTAGCACGCCCCAGCACATGGACGTGGTGTGGCCTGATTGGTCCTTCTGGGGCTGGTGAGTGCATCGGGATTCAATCTATCAAGAAAGATCCATTTACACCTTAATCTCACATCTGGCAGAGTCTGATGGAAGCTGAAGCTAAAAGTGAGGTGTACCTAGGCGCCTCTAATCCCCCCACTGCTTTGCTCTTACAGGCCTGAAGTGCGGATCAGGGAGTGGGACACAGAAAGGAAGCTGATCAGAGAAGGCACGGGCTCAACTCCATGGAGGAACAGAATTCCACGTGCTCACTGGAAGGGCGCCACGTGGGTTGCCCCGGACCTGAGGGGTCCTCTGGTCAACTGTAGCAGACAGGAGGGAGGGGTAGGAGTTGAAGGTAGCAAAGAGGGTGTTGGCGGAGGTGGTGGTAAGGAAGGGGGGTTAGTGCATGAGGATGAGAAAGGTCAAGGGAATGAAGGGAAGGTGGCAGAGAGGGATTGGGGAGTGGATGCGTGGGATACGAACTGGGTGCATGAGATTGCAGAGGAGACTACGCGATTGGAGAATCAGTGCACGCACAGGTGGGTTGATGGCAGTGGTTTGTCTGTAGTGGAGACAAGCCCTCATACACAGGCTTCGCCGAATCTGTGGTGCCGTTTTGGATTTCAATCTCATCTCTTGTTGTGTTATTTCGTTTCTCCGCAAATCTGTTCTTGCTTAATGCATGGCCTGTGTAACCTTGGCAGGTATAAGGTGTATGTGGAGGGGACTTCATGGTCATGCAGTCTGAAATACATCCTTGCTTGTGCGTCCACACCCATATTCATCAAGACACAACACTATGATTTCTTTTCAAGAGGTCTGCATAATGGCATACACTATATTGAAGCGCCTCTTCCAAGTGAAGCCCCCATTTGCAGCAACCTCAAGGTAAGCTCACAGGGCTTAGACATGTTATTTTACTGTCCTTATGGTAGCAGGTATCCACTTTGTCCTCTGTTCTTTTTCATTCTGTGCAGAGAATTGTTGATTGGGGAAATAAGCACCCTGAGGAAGCGCAGACAATTGCAGCTGCTGCGTCAGATTCCGTTCAAAACAAGCTCTCAATGGAAAATGTGTACAAGTACATGCTTATGTTCTTGAATCAGTATGCCTCGTTGCAGCTGTTTGATCCTTCACAGTTGCCGCGTGAAGGTATGCAGATAGCAACTACTGGCTCGCTGTTGAGAGAAGCACCACCTGACTTCAACAGTAGAGAATTTCTCAGCAGTATCTGATGTGGTACTACAAGCATTCGTAGTGAAGGTTGTGATGAATTCCTGTATATAGTACCTATTTCTACAAACGGTACTACCGGTATATTATTGCAGAAACAAACATGATTGTCTTCAGGCTTATGTCGAGCATGTACGCTGTTGTGTGTCCTGCAAACTCCCTGCTCGAATCTGGGAACAAATTTCGATCCAGCAAGTGCTGGTTTTTCTCAAGCTGTTTTCTTCACATCGCGACTAGTCTAGCCGTAGTGACTAAATCGCCGTGCAGTAGCTATGGAGAAATCTAAGCGAGCGCGCGTGGGCGATGCGGGCGGGAAAGAGGCGAAGAAGGCGGCGGGGGCGAACGGACAAGCGGCGGCGACAATGGCGGAGGAGAAGCTAGCTGAATTCGTGGAGAAGATGCGGAAACTGCAGGACGAGCTCGAAGAGGTCCGCATCTGACGCAGATTAGGGTTTTCTCCGGACTTCGCTCCGCTGGTTGTTATCTACCTAGGCTTTCTGACGAACCCTGAACCTCGTACACCCTGTACCCGTTATCAGATCCGCCATCATCCCGTTTAGTCATTTATTTTTTTTTACTTACAGCTCCTATTCGCTTTCGCCTTTCACCGTGGCCATACCTCCTCACCTGCGCTGCGCGCTTCTCTCTTGCATGCGCTGCGCGCTTCGCTTGCTTGGCGCGGCAGGTGACGGACAAGGCGAGCGAGGAGGTGCTGGAGGTGGAGCGCTCGTTTGTGTCACAACGCCGGCGTCCGCTGTACGATAAGCGCAAGGCGGTGCTCGATAAGATCCCTCACTTCTGGCAGAACGTGGTACGCTACTCCCGCACTACTACGCACTCGCCATGTCACGCTACTCCCATTCGCCACTCCGCGATCGTTTGCCTTTCGCCGAAATGACAACTTAACTTTCTTCCTCTACCTGTCTCCTGTCCCCACTCCCTTCTCCCCTCTCCCCCATCCCCCATCCCCCGTCCCCCTCTTACTCCCCCCCTCTCTCTCCTATCACCCTCTCCGTCTCCGCTGTTCTCTGTTTTCCGCCGTTCATCCCACTGACCTCCCCTGTCTTCTATCTATTCCTCTCTCTCCTCTTATCCCATTCCTCCCTTCCTCCCGCCCCTCCAGCTGTGCAACTGCGGTGCCATACGGCACAGCACGGTAGAGCAGGATGTGAAGGTGCTGAAGCACCTTCTTCCCTTCCCTTCTCCCTTTCTCATCATCCTCACCACTCTTCACCGCTTGTCATCCCCTCCTCCCAGCTGTGCAACTGCGGTGCCATACGGCACAGCACGGTGGAGCAGGATGTGAAGGTGTTGAAGCACCTCACGAGTCTAGACGTGGAGGAGAGCAAGGAGGAGGGCGATATCGGTTACACCATCACCATGGTGAGACGTTGCTTACCATATTACTGTGTGCGAATGTGGTTGCTGAGATCTGGTTACCAGGATGTGGTTACCCGATTGGTTGGAACATGGTATGAGAGGTGGAAGCATGTGGCAGGCAGCTCCCATCCCTTACAGAGCTTCTCAAAGCCTTATCAGGACCTTATCAGGACCTTATCAGGACCTTATCAGGACCTTCTCAGAACCTTCTTTCTGGGACCCATCCCGTTCTTTTCCCCATCCTCGCTCCCTTCCCCCCCTCTCCAGACGTTCAGCCCAAATCCGTTTTTCACCAGCGAGACGCTCGTGATGCAGGACAGTTTAACTGGCCTTACACGACCTCCCCCCATTCCCTCGCCTTCCCTCTCTCTCCCCACCAGACGTTCAGCCCAAATCCGTTTTTCAGCAACGAGACTCTCACACGTGCGCTGGTGATGCAGGATGAACTCACCCTGCGCGTCACAGGCACACGAATCAACTGGAAGGAGGGGCAGGTGGGTTGGCCGATGGGGTGGTACAGAGGCCTGGGTCGGGTTTCGGGCACGGCTTTGGTCGCTGATAATGCGAGATGATCTCACTCTGTGTGTCACAGGCACTCACATCAACTGGAAAGAGGGACAGGTGGGTAAAGAGAAAGGCCTGAGGCAGGTGAACAGGGAGGGAGGCTCGGGGCAGGTGGGCAGGGAGGGAGGCTGGGGCCAGGTAAAGGGTGTTGAGGTGAGGCTTGTCCTGGCCGTTGGTGATGCGAGATGAACTCACTCTTTGCGTCACTGGCACTCGCATCAACTGGAAGGAGGGGCAGGTGCGGTGGGAGAGGGGAGATGGGGGGGATAAATGAAGTAGAAGGCGGAAGGACCCTGAAGGCTTGTGTGGTTTGATGATTGTTGGGGAGCCCACCTGAGGATGTGCCTGGCCCTTGCCCCTCGTCCGTGCTGGCTTGTGCTGCCTACCACTCATCGCTTTCCACCCACAGCACTACACAGCGGGCAGGCAGGCGTATGTGAGTTGACTTTTGAGTTGACTCAAAAGTCAACTCGCTGACTTGGGCTGCCTATCACTTGTCACTTTCCACCCACAGCACTACACAGCGGGCGTGCAGGCGTATGTGCCGTGCGAGATGTATGGTGTTATGTGTGTGTCTATTCGTTGACCGCCATGCCATGGCAGATGTATGGTGTGTGTGTGTGTGTGTCTATTCGTTGCCCCCATGCATCCACACCACACTGTTTCATGCTCCCTATCTCGTACCCTCCTCGCACCTCACAGGACTGCACAGAAGGCATCAAGGCGTATGTGGACGATGAGGAGGAGGAGGGGGGAGGTGCCAGGTGCTACCCCTTGGTCCCCATGGCATCCATGCTGTTTCATACGCTTACTTCTATCCGCCTCCCACGTACCACCCGCAGGACTACACAGAAGGCATCAAGACGTATGTGGACGATGAGGAGGAGGAGGGGGGAGGTGCCAGGTGCTACCCCTTGGTCCCCATGGCATCCATGCTGTTTCATACGCTTACTTCTATCCGCCTCCCACGTACCACCCGCAGGACTACACAGAAGGCATCAAGGCGTATGTGGATGAGGAGGAGGAGGAGGAGGAGGAGGAGGAGGAGGAGGAGGAGGAGGAGGAGGAGGAGGAGGAGGAGGAGGAGGAGGAGGAGGAGGAGGAGGAGGTGGTGGTGGTGGTGCCTCATGCGCACCCTTTCCCCCACATCATCTTCCTTTTTCACCCTCCTCCCACCTACCACCCGCAGGACTACACAGAAGGTATAAAGGCGTATCCGGACGATGAGGAGGAGGAGGAGGAGGATGTGCCTCATGCCCACCCTTTCCCCCACTTTTTTTCTCACGTTCCTCTCCTCCCACATACCACCCACAGGACTACATAGCAGGCATCAAAGCATATGTGGACGATGATTAGGAGGAGGAGGAGGAGGAGGAGGAGGAGGAGGAGGAGGAGGAGGAGGAGGAGGAGGAGGAGGAGGAGGAGGAGGAGGTGCCTCATGCGCACCCTTTCCCCCACATCATCTTCCTTTCTCACGCTCCTCCCACCTTCCACTCGCAGAACTACACAGAAGGCATCAAGGCGTATCCGGACGATGAGGAGGAGGAGGAGGAGGGGGTGTCTCATGAGTGTTGTGCCCACCCGTTTCCCTCAAATGGCTTGCGGTCTTGTGCTCCTTTCCTCCCACCTTCCACTCGCAGAACTACACAGAAGGCATCAAGGCGTATCCGGACGATGAGGAGGAGGAGGAGGAGGAAGAGTGGGCAGAGGGCAAGGTGCAGCTCGTCAGGTGAATTGACAGCTCGTCAGGTGAATTGACAGCTCGTCAGGTAAATTGACAGCTCGTCAGGTAAGTTGACAGCTCGTCAGGTAAATTGACAGCTCGTCAGGTAAATTGACAGCTCGTCAGGTAAATTGACAGCTCGTCAGGTGAATTGACAGGTCGTCAGGTGAATTGGCAGGTCGTCAGGTGAATTGACAGGTCGTCAGGTGAATTGACAGGTCGTCAGGTGATTTGACAGGTCGTCAGGTGATTTGACAGGTCGTCAGGTGAATTGATTGGCTGTCAGGTGATTTGACAGGCCCTCAGGTGATTTGACAGGCCGTCAGGTGAATTGACAGGCCGTCAGGTGAATCGTCATATGAATTGACAGGTCTTGAGGTGATTTGGCAGGTTTCCAGGTGGTGTAAGATTAGTCGGTTCAATCACCGTGCACACCTCCCTCCTGTAGTGAGGTGTCTTTTGAGGCGCCTCAAAAGGCAGGTTTCCAGGTGGTGTAAGATTAGTTGGTTAATCGCCGTGCACACCTCCCTCCTGCTGTCTTCCCACTCACCTTTACTCTCCTCCCCTCTCTTCCCCCTCCCCCTTTACACCCCTCTCCCTCCCTGCATACACGCGCGGCAGTTTGTTCAGCTGGATGGCATTTGGGGACGATGATCCCATCTCTGTCGCGAATGACGATGTGAGTGCGGGAATGGGGGAGGAGAGAGGGTGTGGGTGTGTGTGTGGGTGTGGGTGTGGGTGTGGGTGCGGGTGCGGGATGGGGGATAGGGACCAGATAGGTAGTGAGGTATGGGTGTGGGACGATGGCCCAACCGGATGACATTTGGCGACGATGATCCCATTTCTGTCAAGAATGACGATGTGAAAGGGGAACGAGGGGAAGGGAGAGGCGTGGGAGTGGGACAGAGGGCGGGATAGGGGGAGTGGTGTGGATGTGGAAAGGAGGATATAGATAATGGGGAGGGGGAGGGGGGGGGGGAAGAGGGGAAGAGGGAGATGTCCCCATTTTCGTAGGGGGGTGGGTGTAAGTAGCGCAACTTTCAGGTTTTAGAAGAGGACTGTTCACCTGTTTGCGACACTGCGTTCCAGGGATGGGAAGCACGGGCCAGGCAGGCCAACTGTCTTACACATGCTTTGATGAATTCCCAGTGGATCCTCAGAAACTGCGTAAACAGGCCAACATACCGCCCATTCTATAAGCGATTTTATTGATTTCTCCGATGGTCGCGACAATTGCTCACATACACTGTTGGCGTTGCCCCTTGACCTGCAGATTGGCAATGCCATTCGAGACGATATCTTTCCAAACCCCCTCAAGTACTACCACAAGGTAAGCCCATGTTCTTTTAGGCGTCTCAAATGTGTCTGAGACCTTTGCAAGTATTGCCCCAAGGTAAAGTCTTGTCACCCGTCTTGTATCACACATGTTTCGAAAGCTTTGTCACGTTCCCAACCCAGGTATAGTGTGCCAACCATTGCTATCAATGGTGTGTCACCCGAACCTCACACCTTCCCCCCCCTCCCCACCCCCCCCTGTGACAGGAGGGAGTGCGGCCACGAGAAGAGGTGGAGGAGGACGACGTCGGGGAGCCTGAGTTTAGGTTTGAGTCGACTCAAAAGTCCACCCGAGCCTCCCACCTTTCCCCCCCTCCCCTCCCCCATGACAGGAGGGTGTACGGTCACGAGAGGAGGTGGAGGAGGAGGACGACGGGGAGCCTGAGTTTGGGTTTGAGTACAGTGGGGATGAGGAGGAGGAGGGGGAGGAGGGGAGGAGGGAGAGGAGGGAGAGGAGGGAGAGGAGGGCGACGACGATGAGGTATGATGTGGGAGTGGTGAGTGGGTGTGATGGTGTGACCGGTTGGTGGGGATGACGATGGTAACGATGGGTGTTGTGTGGTGGGGATGGGTGTGGTGTAATGGAAATTGTCTATGTGTGATGATGGCGATCATCGGTTGCATGGCACTACCATTACAGGTCACATGGTGGGACACATGATGGGGGATTCACATGTGTCCTGGCACAAACCCACAATGCTAGCATGACCTGTTGTAAGGTGTCTCTGAGACTTTTCAATCATATGGCTTGCTGTTTCTCTTCTCCTCCCTGCTGTTGTACATGCTGGCTGGCAGGCCGAGGAGGCAGATGAATAAGAAGTGTTGAGTACGTAGACGACTATGCCTGGTGGAACCTTGCTTAACAGGGAACAAGTTACTCATTGGTTGTTTGCTGACTAATATGGTTTCGATTACTAGCTGGAGACCAGCAGCAGCTGGAGCAGATAATGCCGCTGATATAGCATAATACCTGCCACAAGCTCCAATCATGCAAAGTGTATAATTCATTTCTTCTTAATTAAAGCTCTTCCAAAGTTTTGTGTACAGTGTATGCATGAAAAGGGCTGAGAAAGCACAAATTGGCACTACAAAATTACCCAGTAATGGGTACAGAACGGCTACATACAGAACTACACCAGCATCATCAACTGACTGCAGAAGTCTTACGGTGCCTTGTCCCTCATGTGTGAGTGTGACACATCCTAGCCTACCCCCATATGGTAACTAACAACGATCCTGTTGCTTACTAGGAGCACAAATCCATGTGTGCCGCTTAGTGCCCATACGACATGCGCATGCCGGCATGCCCCACACCAGAAAACCCGGCAGCACCACTGCTGCTGCCGATCTTGCCAGTAACTGAGAAGTTGGAAGCACCAGAGGTGCTGGCGGGGAGGGAGAAGCTGTCCAGAGAGGCCGCCAGAGACTTCTTGGTGCAGTCATACGGGCCGACCTCTGCCTTGCGCACCTGAGTGGTGCAGAGCGGTACGGGGGAGGGAAGAAGACGCAAGTCAACAAAAGAGATGGAGGAAATACGCCTGGAATATTCTTGTGAGCACCCAGAAATGCTACTCAAACGGAAGGTCAACTCACCGGCGACCAGGGATTTCTGGGTGGTAATGGCTGCTTGGTCATCAGTGGCGAGTTAAGTACCCTCCCTCCTTTCTTCTCAAGAGCAACCTGAAGGAGAACACAACAAGAGACCAGACACAGTGAAAGCCGTGAGCAAAGGTTGGATAACCCAGCGTATTTCAAGCACTTCCCCAGCAGTTACACTCCATAACGCACATCCATTCACCCATCAGCAGCCACGCCACACACTCACCACTCCCAGTGCCTCTGCCTCCAGAACCTTCTTCATAAACGGATCTAGATCCTCCCCTTCTGCCCCCACCGCTGCCTTTGCCTGTTCCACCCCTCCCCCCTGCTTCTCCGCGCTCCCAGGAGGAGTAATCTCCCCTTCTTCCTTCTCCCCCATCTCCCCTCCCCCCTCCACCTCTGCTTCAGGAGAAGCAGGAGCAGTGAACATGCCCCTGCCAGACGCGCCTAGCGACCTGCCTCTGCTCGCACTACCACCCTTCTGAGAAAGTATGCTCCTGCTCTCACCCTCCTGCCCCTTCTTGCTCTCCTCCTCGGCCTCAGGCGAGGCAGGGGCAGTATACATGCCCGCGTCAGAGGAAGACGCTGCAGACTGCAGGCTTGTGCTCGGGAGGGATGGCTTGCTAGACACCTCAGAAGACTGTTCGATACTGCTTGGGAGAGGTGCCTGGGGAAAATTTGGCTTGGGAAAGGCCCCTTTGAAGAGGTCTTTCGTGGCGAGGTCGGATTTGAAGAGGTCAGTCTTGAGCTGCTCTGCTTTGAACAGGCTCCTCCTGGGCAGGGTGGGGCTCTCAGCAGCTGGAGTTGGCACTGCCTCGTGGTAGCTCTCCTCCTGTTTTTGCTGCTGCTGCTGCTGCTGCTCCTCCTCCTCATGTTGCTGCTGCTGCTCTGCCACTGCTGATGACGATTGGCGTTTTGTGGCAGTCGCTGGCGTCTCACTTGCTGCCACGTGGACCTCCTGTGCCTTCTTGTTGGATCGCTTGGGGCTCTGCATGACAGAAAGGGAAGATAAGGTCAGGGCATGCCTAAAGGCCCTAAATAAAGAAGACTTCCACGAGGCACGGAACCAAGCACACTCGAGGGGTAACATGTAAAATTTTAGCAAGGAGAACGGATGCGTGAAGGCAGTCTCTGTACCTTGAACAGGCTGGCGATGGGGGATCCGAGGAACCGAGGCAGAGGGGAGGTGCGGCGCTGCTTGCTGTCACCCCCTTCCTTGCTGCCTGACACGCCTCCTGCCGCTGCCACTCCCACCGGAGTAGCCACCGCCACTTGAGTAGCTAATGCTGTTGTAGCAACCCCTGTCACCGCCGCTGCCAATGGCACCGGCACTGTAGCCTTCGCTACTGAAGCAACCATGGCCCCAGCAATCTGCTCTGATACTCGTGGCGGGGTTCGTCTCCTTTCCGCTTGCTCACAGCCGTCCGGCGTCCCAGCGGTTTCAAGCACCTCGCCCACCCACTCGCCCACCTTTTCTGTGCTCGCCCACGCCCCCCTCTCGCCCTCCTTCTGAACCGTCTCAAGACTCGCATCGCTCTCCCCAGTCTCAACCTGCCCAGCCCTCCCTGGCGACTTTTGCAAAGTGCACACAACTGACCCATCCCTGTCCTTCTCCTTCTCATTCCTCGCCTCCTCCGATTCCTCTCTCTCCCTCTCTGCCGCCACCTTCCTGGCTGATTTCTTCCACGGGCTCCCACCAGCAACGAACGCCCCAATTGCCTTCAGAGACAGCCCCTTCCTCCCTTTCTCGCTCTCGCTCCCGCTCTTGCCGCCAGGCGTCTTGTGCCCCTCATCTGCCGCGTTCTCCCCACCCTCACCACCTCCCTGCACCGTACCAAACTCCCCTCCAACATCCTTCTCAACCGCACACTCACCCTGCTCCTCCAGCTTTCCCATTGCAACCGTCAGCACCCCCCCAGGGTGCCCAGCCTGCTTCCACTCCCCAACCTGCTGCTGCTGCTCCTCTTGCGCGTCGTTGCCTGTACGTTTCTCCCCCGCCCTTTCCCGGCTGAGCTGCTGCCCTGCGTCGCTGCTCCGCGGGGTCGACATGGCGGAGAACGCAGCGTCCGCGGCGGCGAGCGCGGACGGCTGCGCCACGCCCCCCGGCACCCAGTGGGCGCCGCTGCCCGCCTTCTTCTCCACCCGCGGAGACGGCTTCTTCTGCGCGCTGCTGCTCGCGTGTGGCGTGCTGCTCGCGCGGGGCGTGCTACTCGCGCGGGGCGTGTTGGTCGTGTGCGCCGTGTTGGCGGAGTGCGGCGTGTTGCTGTGCTGCGACGAGCTGCTCCTGTGCGATGCATTGCTCTCTCGACTCGCCCGAGGGGTGACAGCCTGTGACACACAGCACCACACACGAATCCAGTTGAGAGCATATTAGAGACACGACCATAACAAATCCCACATAACAGGGATTTCACTCAAGAACCAGGCACTGCTCACCTCGACTTTGGTCTGGGAAGGCCCTGCGTGGGCATGCTGCGTCTTCTGCTGACCAGCCCGCCCCTGCGTCGCCTCGACCTTACCCGAACCCTGCACCCCCTTCCCCGCTGCCTTCTCACTCTCCTTCCCCGCGCCAGCCTTCGCCCCGGTCGCTCCCCCGCCGAACCCAAACCTCCCCGTCGCTTTCGGAACAGGAATCCTGGAAGCCAGCCCCAGCAGCTTCGAGTGGTTGGCAGCCACTTTCAGCGCCGCCGCGAGAGGGGACGTCGACGCACCCGGCGCCTTCTCCTTGGAAAGAGCACCGCCTTTGCTCACCACGATCTGCTTCCCGCTCGCCACTTTACTGTCCGCCGCCACCCGCTTCGCTCCCCCTTGCCCCGCTGCCTGACTAGTACCGCCGTAACCGGCCTTCTCCTTCGCTTCCTCCTCTTTCTCCTTGGCAGTTGGTGCTGCCTTCCCGCCGAGGCCGAATCCAAACCGTGCCTTCCTCGCTCCCACGCCGCTCACCCGCCTGGAGGTAGCAGCAGGCGCGCCTTTCTTGACAGCCGCACGATCATCCGCTTTTCCCGCAGTGAACTTAAGCCCAAACAGGCCACTCGCACTGGAAGCACCGGCTGCACTGGGAGCAGCAACCGCTCCGCTGCTACTACCCTGTGAGGCACCTGCAGATCCCTCCGTGCTCACAGCCTTCACATCCTTGCTCATCGTCCTAGGTTTCGCAGAAAATACAGTGCGAGCAACAGCACTCGCAACCTTTCCAGTCGCAGGGCTCGCAGCGGCGGAGAAGGCGAACCCAGCAGCAGCTGCGGCGTGACTCTTGACGAGACCCCCGCCATGACTCCCGCCACCATGGTGCGAACCACTCCCTACACCAGCGAACCCCACGCGTTTCCCGGCATCGGCAGACGTCCCCGTGGAGCGAGTAGACGACGTTCGCAGCACGTCCAACCCGGACCCGCCCACGCCAGACGACGCACCACCGTGCACCAGCGAGCGGGCAGCGGGAACGAGACTCGTGCTCGTGCAGTGGCTCGTCGACTTGGGCACTCCTGCTCTCACCGCCGCTGCTCCCGTACCCACACCAGTCTTTCCCCCGACGTTCGCACCAGCTCGAACAGCAGCCTTGGGGGGTCCTCCCGCAGTCGCGCTGCCTGACGGCCGGGATTTGGCCGCCAGCGCCAGCTGGCGCTGCTGCTGCCACTCCCGCAGCTGCTGCTGCTTCGTGTCATTCGAGCTGCGCGCGCTGCTCGCACTCCCACTCGAGCCTCGAGGAGGAGCACCTGCGCTCGCCTGCACCGGCAACGGCTCCTGCGCGGCGGCGGGCTTCATCGGGGACGGCGCGCACGCGCGCATGGCCTTGGATCCGCGCCCAACCATGCCGCGCAAGGCGCCTACAGGCGCATCTTCCGACTTCGCCACAATCTCCGCCTCGGACGTGCGCGAAAGTTCTGCGGGAATCTCAGCGCTACAAGCAGCTGAAACCACTGAGACTTCTTCCTCATAACGCACTTCTGCCATCGTTGCACCCTGAATACCGCTGCCATCAGTTGCCGTGATCTCACTCTCCTCCCCAGCATGCGATTGCGTCCCATCGATCGATTGCTTAGCGGCGTTCGAGTCCTCAACGCCTGTGGACGACTCAAAGCGGCTGTGAAGATCCACTTTCGCCGTGCACGAGCCAACCCCGGCTCCTCCCGTGCTGGCATTTCCACACGATGCGGACTGGCGGGAGTGAGAGGAGCTACTAGACGCCGCTGACTCCCTCTTGCTCCTCTCTGCTGTTCCTGCGTGCGAGGTACTAGCGCTACCGCCATGCTTCGACTGGCTGCATGCACCGACCCCGCCGACAGCGCCGCCACCGCTGCCTTGCTTTGCGAGCCTGGAAGCGCTCGCGCCCACGCTCTGCTGGCGGCTTGTACTTGGTGCAGTAGTTGTCGCTGACCTGGGAGTCCTGCTGGAACTGGCGGGAGTCTTCGCGCCTGGAGCGGGGGAGGCTCCTGCTCCATTTGCCGTCTTTGCAATCGAAGAATGAAACCCTGAAAGACACAGGCGACACACTTGTTAAAATTAGCAACGCTCAGGTAAATCTAGCGTATCTCAGACTCCGATACAGTATCCTAGCATAGGCGCTTACGAGGTGCAGCGCCAGGCAGCTTGAGTCGTGTATTTGAAGGGCCCTGATCCGATCCTCCTTTTGCCGCACTCTTCGAGACTACGTAGTCGCGAGTGGTGCTCTTCTCCACAATGGCGGCTATTTTCTGCTCGCTTGTCAGCTTTTGGAGGTCGGCAGCACCACCCGATTCACTGCACGTCGCTTCTCGATCATCCTTCGGAGTGTTGCCGGATTCGTTAGCAGTTGCGTCTCCGGAAGGGGCGGCGGCATACATGGGAAGGAAAGACAGGTCGACCGGAGGGAGATCTGGCGCGAGCTGGTCCTCGTCATCGTCGAGGTCTAGAAGCGACTCTGCGCATAACGAGGATAGAAGCAGGAACTGAAGATGTCAGTATCGCGTGCATGAACGTTCAACGACATGGGATTGAAGACTAATTCACGAATGAACTTCCATCTGATTTATATCCTGGTTAGAGAAGCACGAACCTGCGTTCTTGTTGAAGAAAGCCTCGTTCCAGGCGGCGCTGACGCGACGATCCTTGCGCACGGATTTCGGCTCAGGAGTCTGAATCTTAGCCAGTGCTGCAGAGGCGCTTGGGTCGGAGACAGAGCCGCTTGAAGCGGAAATCTTGCCAGCCTCCTTGGATGTGTCATTCTGAGGGTCTTCGGGCCAATCAATGTCCGTCATTCGCTCCATGATGAAACCGTCGTCGATAACTTCTCCGTGCAACTCGTCATCGTTCAAAAGACCTGCCAATTGAATGTTCAAACGGTGAGTTTGACCTTCTAGGATAAGAATGACTGAATGAAAAAATGGGCATCATCAAGGCTCCGCTCCCACCTTCGTCTTCCAGGAACGCGTTGTTCCATGGCAGGCTCTGCCGTGCGACGCTCCGTCGGCTCTTTCTCCGCGCAGCCGTCGGTGTCGGAGCGAACTTTGACGCAGCGTTGACGTTGACTGAACCTGGAATGCTGGCGTTATTCTCATTGTTCTCTACTAGATTGAAGGTGAGATTCGAGGAGTTATTTGATTTACCAGGACCAGACTTCTCCTGCTGCACGCTGCACTGTACGATGTCACCTCCTCCAGCAGTCTCGTTCAGGATACGCTTTTGTGGTCGCAACGGGGTGATTGCGAAGCGCCCTGGGAACGTCTGATTTGCCGCATCTGCATACCAATAAGACAGGTTCAGTTAGTCTCCTTCACAGCGGGTCACTTAGTAAACTCAGAAAGCGAACAAAGAGGATAAAACGATATGGGCACTAACCAAAAGCTGATAGGGTGTTCAGGCTGACGCTTCCTAGAATTGAGTCGTCCGCCTCCATTGCTGATCGCAAAATACACTACACTGAACGACTAAGCAATCTAGTCTGATACCCGACGAGATGTCAGGTCGGTTTGGTAAAACCTATGAAGTGATTGCAACTAGGACAAATTTTGCCGGACAATGGCTTCGACAGACTAAGAACGCAGCGGGCTTCAACCCAGTGTGAAACTAACTATTCTTCAACACTGTGTGATGTTCCTCAGTGTGGCCTCGGAATCGCAGTCAGTCGGGCTCTCGAGATTGTCTAGCAGTCTGCCATAGAAATGACCTTGGGAATTGGGATGGCATTGTTGGTGGTTTGGGTTTCAGCAGCGAAGAGAGGGAGAGCAAGCAAGGTGAAGTGCTTGGCAGGCTGCAGGTTTCAGGCGGTTCGGGACAGTGATAGTCTGTCACCAATTTGGCGGGACATTTTGAAATCTTTCGGTCGGGGTGCGAAGTGACAGGTGGAGCAATGAAATCCGCGTTACAGAGCTGCTAATTTCGACTGTATCTTGGTACACCTATTCATTATCGAGATGTTATTCCTCCTCAACACAAAGTCATTCTCAAAGGCCACCAGACTACACGTTTGTTCCACATTCATTTCGAGAGATACTTGTCCTAGATTCATGCAATACTCCTTTCTTCTCTCCTCGGCGAAATGGCTGCCGCTGATCCTGCTCCAGCGCTAGTCGCTCTGGACAATGCGATCGCGCAGATCGATCTCCTCGTCTCCCGCCTCACTGCGTCGTCCGCCTCCTCAGCTGACGTTCCCGTTGCCACTCAGCCGAAGACAGCAGCAGCTGGAAGCAACGGCGAAATACAGTCGTCAGAAAAAGGAAAAGCAAAAGCTGCGAAACCAGGTGATTTATCATGCGCGAAACCGAAAACGACAGTATAGATACTTTTGAACCTCATATTCTCTGTTATTCGCCAACGCCTTTCCGCGACGTTTCTCCTTATGACACCTGCTGATTCATGTGATAATCCCTTTTCTGTCCCACCAGCGGCGCAATCATCATCTGCTTCTGCGTCAGGAGGAGAAAACGTAGAAAATTTCGACAAATGTGACATCAGGGTGAGCGTTCTTTCGATAGATCAGCACACCCCGTCAACAGATACCTTCCCATTTCCCCGTTATTACCACATTCCTGGACGTCGGGCGTGTCTATAAACGTGAACCTGTTCACCTGTTTTGGGCCAATTCTAGAGAATACCATGCTGTCAGCGCAACGCACGAGGCCATGCTTTTGAGGCAGCTCACAAGAACCCTTCCCCCTCCGCCACCTACTCTCCGCCCCGCTTCCCCCCGCGCGCAGGTGGCGCGGGTGCAGGCGGTGGAGCCCCACCCCGTGGCGGAGAAGCTCTACGTCTGCCAGGTGGAGGTCGCGCCAGGGGAGGTCCGCCAGGTGAGCTGCGTTGGGGGAGGAGAGTGTAAAGGGCTGTGATGAGCCGTCGCCTCTCTGCCCCTCTGCACACCACTTCCCCGTCTCCCCATCAATTGCTCCCCCTCTTCCGCTGTGTCAGCCCCTCTACCTCGTGTTTGCACGCCCCTGCCTTCCCTATGCGCGAACTGTTCGCTACTTCTCAATATCTTCCTCCTCAATCAACTGCCTCCTGCTCACCTCCTGTCTCCGCCTGAACTGAACTCCCCGCAGGTGGTGGCTGGCCTTCGGAAGTTCGTGTCACAGGAGGAGCTGCAGGGGCGGCTGGTGTGTGCCGTGTGCAACCTCAAGCCCGCCAAGCTCGTTATACTCACTATCCCCTCCTAAAATGAACCCCCTGCAGGTGGTGGCTGGCTTGAGGAAATTCATCTCGCAGGAGGAGCTGCAGGGGCGGCTGGTGTGTGCCGTGTGCAACCTCAAGCCCGCCAAGCTGGCCGGGCAGCCCAGCCAAGCCATGATGCTCGCTGGCTCGCACCCTTCTGCCGAGGCTGAGGCCGGGGAGATTGTCAAGGTGAGGAGGTTTATGTCTTGTTTGAGGCAAACCGAAGCAATTTTCTTAGGCGCCGCAGTATGATGTACTATGGCGCGTCTTGAGGCGTCTTATTGTGCTTCTTTAGGCCCCTATTTAAACGATGTGGAGGAATGGGGCAGGGAGGTTTGTGAATGTGAGGAGGACTGGGCGATGCAGTGTGTGTCTGTGGCTGCCCAGCACATGTGGCGTGCTGAGGACTCTCTGTGCCGATGCGTGTGGACCTACTTCACTCCACTCCACTCCACTCCACTCCACTCCACTCCACTCCACTCCACTCCACTCCACTCCACTCCACTCCACTCCACTCCACTCCACTCCACTCCACTCCACTCCACACCACACCACTCCACTCCACTGTGCCTGTTATGGCCCCAACACTTCCTCTTTCAAACACCCACTGTATCCATCTCATTGCCCGTGTCCCTTGCCAACAGCTCATTGATCCGCCCCAAGATGCGGCAGTGGGTGATCGAGTCTGCATCCAGGTATGCACCATGTCTGTGACCACTCTGTGCCTGCTCATGCCCATGTGCCCTGCCGATGCTTATGTGCCCTGCCCATACCTGTGTGTCATCCTGCATGTGCTGTAACGTGTATGCAAGCTCATGTGCTTCCTCCATGCATGCCCATGCAACAATATGAACGTGGTTATGCCTCATGTCTGTCCAGTTTGCCTCTCTTTGAAAATCTATTCTTCTCCTGTCCAACCTCCCTCCCATTCCATGCACCCCCCTGCAACCGCAGGGTCGGCCTGCGAGTGCAGCCCCAGTGAAGCAGCTCAGCTCCAAAGTGTGGGAGAAGGTCGCAGGGCTGCTCCGCGTGCAAGGTGAGTAATATAATCTGGAAATCGCAAATGTTTTTGCTCACATCTACTTGAGTTGACACTAGAGTCACCTCGCGGTGGGGTGAAGGGATGAGCACCGGCGGGCGTGAGCCTGGTGAGGGGTAGCGATGAAGGGGCACTAATGACTTGTCATTTTCCTCCAGCTCCCCGCTCCCATTTTTTGACACTAATTTATTACTCTTGTGTGTCTTCGTTGTGCTCTGCTCCTCAGGAGGAGCTGCAACATATGATGGGCAGGCTCTGGTCACGGGGGCGGGCGGAGGCATCACAGTGCAAGGCCTAGTTGATGGCAGTGAAATTCACTGAGAGAAATTAGACAGTTATACACATCAACTCTATGTTTTAGCTAGAAGAGTTAGCTAGCTATGCATGTGCAAGCAAAATCGCTGTTGAAAGTGTATCATGCTGAACTTCATCACCAGAAATATCCTGCGTCCGTACTTTTGATGGCTCGCTGGAAAAGTGCGAGATATTACCGAGGTTCCCCCCGCCTTACCATTTGCTGATTTCCAGTTTACTAGTTCCCATCCAAATGGTCTCTTCTCTGATCGCCGTTCATGCTTGAATAGGGGGGGGAACCATTGCACATTGTTCCAGTGCAACTTAGTCCGTAGAGTCATCAAAAGTGTGTGAGCGATGACGCTGGTTGATATTTTAACGGGGTCACGCGTCGCCCTTCCATTCAAGCACACCAGCTTGCCTCTCCACAAGAGCTTGTTAACTCTCAGATTACCATGTCGTCGCGACGATGCGACGGCAATCTCGGGAATCTCCCAGAATAACTGTTCGCTCGCCGTGACTGCGCGGTTCAGCCGAGACCGATCCGACGAGCGGCGAAGGGGGAATGCCGCTGGGAGAGAGGAGGTAGATCCAAGGGGGGGCCGTGCTTGGAGGGAGAGTGAGGATCGGAGTGAGAACGAGAGGCGTTTTTTTGGCGAGAGCAGGGGGAGGGGAGAGGGGGGAGCACAGAGCAGGACGGCGAGAGGAAATGCTGGCCCCCCTGTGGGTGGTGATTATAGGCGGAGTGCGTACGGAGAGGTGGAGAACGATGCATGGGAAGGTGGTTGGGGTGGCAGAGAAAGGGGTGATGTAAGAGGGAGTGAGCGAGGGGAGAGGGACAGGAGGGGACAGGCACGGGAGGGTTCAGGGTTCGGGGATAGAGAGAGGTTTAGCGATGGGGATGGAGACGAGAAGGTTCGTTTTAGGGAAGAGCGATACGGGTATAAGAGTGCGGATCGAGAGGGGTATGGGGGGAGAGGCGGGCGGGGGGTTGAGGAATGGTGGGAGGAAACAGGGGAGAGTGAAGGTGAGCGAAGCGGGAGGTGGGAGAATGGAGGTAGAGAAAGGGGAGATTATGGGGATGAAGGGATGAGGGGTTATGGGGAGAGAGAGGGGAGCGATTATGGGAGGAGAGGTAGGGGCGGTTATGGGGGGACAGAGAGGGCGGGATACGGAAGGGAGGACAGGGGCGGGTATGGGGGGAGAGGCAGGGGCTCATATGGAGAAAGCGAGGGGGGTGGTTATGGGGGGAGCGAGAGGGGTGGTTATGGGGGAAGGGAGAGGGGTGAGTATGGGGGAAGAGAAAGGGGAAGGGAGAGGAGTGAGTATGGCGGAAGGGAGAGGAATGATTATGGCGGAAGGGAGAGGAGTGGGTATGAGGGAAGGGAGAGGAGTGGGTATGAGGGAAGGGAGAGGAGTGAGAATGGGGGAAGGGAGAGGAGTGAGTATGGGGGAAGGGAGAGGAGTGACTACGGAAGGGGGGACAGGGTTGAGTATGGAGGCAGGGAGAGGAGCGACTATGGAAGGAGAGAAATGGGTGGATTTGAAGAACGAGGGAGGGTTGAGTACAGGGGAAGAGAGAGAGATGATCATGGGATGAGGGGGAGAGGGAGGGGGGATTCTCGGGGAAGAGGGAGAGGTGAGTATGGGAGCACAGGGAGGGGCGACAGGGGTGACTATGGCAGGAGAGGGAGGGGTGGATACGGGGGAAGAGGGAGGAGTGACGGTGGCAGGAGAGGATATTCGCAGTCAGACTTTCATCGCCGTCCTCGCGAAGAGGAACGAGGGTGGGGGCGGGAGAGGCTTGAGGGACAGCGGGAGGAGAAAATTTCAGATGTCAAGGCGAATGCAGTGCAGGAGGGATATTCATCAACGGATAGGCACTCACTAGGGGATGGGCATTTGACAAAAGAGGGGCATTTGCCGACGGAGGGGGTGATAAGACTTATGAACGTGGATGTGCCGTTGCATACCGACCCGGGCAAGGATGACGTGGCAGTGAGTGATGGGCTGGTGCGGGCGGCAGCTTCGGCGCTGCATGTGCGCCCGGAGCATCTGCCCCCGTCTGCTCTCACCGTCGTGCGCAAGTCGTTCGACGCCCGCAAGGTGTGTAAAGGGTTTAGAGCGGTACTTGGTGGCAGGGAAAGTTTGGGCGCTGCATGTGCGGGCGGAGCACCTGCCCCCGTCTGCTCTCACCATCGTGCGCAAGTCCTTCGACGCCCGCAAGGTGTGTTGGGCTGGGTTGTATGCATTGCAAAGCACGCTGGGATAGGGTGCAAGGGCCTTCGCCCTCTCCCTCCCTCAATCTTTCACGCTCTCCCTCGCCCGTCCCATCCCCACCCCCTCACTCACAGACCCCAGTGTTCGCCCATGCCATTGACACTGACGCAGCAGCACTAGCCCTGGCCTTCACCCTGTCATGCTTTCTCACTCTCACCCTCGCCCATCCCCATCCCCATCCCCACATTCCCAGGCCCCTGTGTTCGCCTATGCCATTGACATTGACGCAGCAGCACTAGCGCGGGCCTTCACCCTGTCTTGTTCTCCCACTCTTTTCCCCTCGCCCTCGCCCATCCCCATCCCCATCCCCATCCCCATCCCCATCCCCATCCCCATCCCCATCCCCTCACTCACAGGCCCCTGTGTTCGCCTATGCTATTGACATCGACGCAGCAGCACTAGCCCAGGCCTTCACCCTCTCAGCCACGCCACCCCGCAAGCGCAGAGACGTGGCCCTTAAAGCCCAGGTCGTGCTGCCTGAACCGCCCTTCAGCCTTCTCGCTGCCCGCAACCCTGCAGCTGCTGCTTCTGCTGCTTCCGCTGCTGCTGCTGCTGCTGCTGAGCCAGGTATTCCTGATGGTGCTGAAGCTGGTGCCAGTGCTCGTGTTGGTGCTGATAGTACCACCACCAGCAGCAGCACCAGCAGCAGCAGCACGAGCACTCCCACAGGAGCAGTGGGGGCGAAAGGCAAGCCGCCGAGGGAGCAAACCCGCAACGTAGTGGTGGGGATGGGTCCAGCGGGGTTGCTGGCAGCGCTCGTACTAGCAGAAGCAGGCGAGCAGGTGACAGTGATAGAACGGGGTCAGCCCGTGGAGGAGCGGGGGCGAGACATCGGCGCTCTAGCCGTGCGGCATGTGTTGAATCCTGATAGTAACTTCTGCTATGGGGAGGGTGGTGCTGGGACGTGGAGTGACGGTAAACTGACGACCAGGATCGGGAAGAATAGTCAGGATGTGAGGGAGGTGTTGAATGTGCTGGTCAGGATGGGCGCTCCCGAACGTATTCTTGTGGACGGGCGTCCGCACCTGGGCACCGACAGGCTCGTGCGCATCCTGCAGCAGTTCCGGGCCTATTTGTTAGGTTTGGGCGTGGAGATCAGGTTCGGCACCGTGGTGGAGGATTTGGAGGTTCGGAACGGGCGGGTGGCCGGGGTGCGAGTGAGGCCGGCTGGGAGTGCGGTGGGAAGCGGTGCAGAGGGGCGGAGTGTGATAGCTGCGGATAGGGTGCTGCTGGGGGTGGGGCACTCAGCCAGGGCAGTGTTTGACATGCTGCTGTCTCACAACGTGCTGTTGTCTCCCAAGGACTTTGCTGTGGGCTTTCGCATCGAGCATCCCCAGCGCGAAATAAATGCCATTCGGGTAAGGCTTTCGAGACGTCTCAAAAAGGTCAGTGTTTGACTTGACGTGGTGCTGGGGGTGGGGCACTCAGCAAGGGCAGTGTTTGACATGCTCCTCCTAGGGGTGGGGCACTCAGCAAGGGCGGTGTTTGACATGCTGCTGTCTCACAACGTGCGGCTCTCCCCAAAGGACTTTGCTGTGGGCTTCCGTATCGAGCACCCCCAGCGCGAGATCAACGCCATCCGAGTAAGTGGTGCCTTTGTTATGTTTCTTAGTGTCTTTTCTTTATCGTTGCTAATCAACAAGTATCAAACAATCTTATGTTCTTTCCCTTCTCCTCCCTCCCACCTCCCATCCCAACTCCCTCACGGCAGTACCGGCGGTGGCAGGGCAGCATGGACGTGGAGGCAGCAGTGGCGCGCGGCAAGGGGCCCATCCCCGTGGCTGACTACTCCCTCGCAGGACAGTTCTCCCCCACTGCCAGCAGCACCAGCCGTGGGCAGCAGGAGCGCAGCTGCTACTCGTTCTGCATGTGTCCGGGCGGGCAGGTGGTGTGCACGAGTGTGAGCGCAGACGAGCTGTGTCTCAACGGCATGTCCTTCTCCCACCGCTCCTCGCTCTGGGCCAACGCTGCTCTGGTTTCTTCCGTCTCCTCTGCTGCTGGCGACTTTGACGAGTTTACAAGGGAGCACGGCGCGCTAGCAGGCATGGAATATCAGGTATGTTGGAGTGGTTTCTGAGATTTCTCTAGGAATGGTCGGTGTGCGGCTGGGGTGGTGGTGGGGAGAGAAGATAAGGCAGGCATTCGGTGCTGCGTGCAAGTTCCCCTCTGTCTAGAGCCCAAAGGTATGCCTGTGTGCTTGTGTGGTGTGAGAGAGCGAGCGGCAGTTGCATGGCGAATAAAATATATTGCTATGAGACCTCCCAATAGTACCCTGGTTTGGATACCTGCCCCCTATCCTCCTTCAACATTCCTTTTCCTCCGCATTCTTCTCCTGTTCACCCCCCTTCCCCGCCTGAGCGCAATCAAGCACCAGGCGGCCACAGGCAGTGGTACTCGTAACGCTGAAGAATTCTCTCATCCTCCCCTTCTGTAATACCATTTCCTCTCTCCCTCAGAGGGCGATTGAGCGCCAGGCGGCAGTGATGGGAGGTGGGGACTTCGTGGCTCCAGTGCAGCGCGCCATTGACTTCCTTGACGGCACTCTCTCCCCGGGTGAGCATCTCACACCTCGTCAGTACTGCTCATTCAGTCATCCAGTCCAGCTTGCTGTACGAAAGGAAGGTGCGGCATAACAAGCTGGACTGTCTCCAGGTGACTTTTGAGTCGACTCAAAACGAGGTCAGCTGGACTATCTCCCGGGTGTGACAGCCACGGATATAAGGACGGGTATCTCCCACACAGGTGAGACTTCTGCTCAGCTGTTCCAGACCACTCTCCCTTCTCAATTTTGTACCCCTTCAACTTGAAAAGTTCCCCACCACCCTCCCCCCTCCCCCTTTCCCTCCCAGCGTCCGCCCTGCCATCATCGAGCTACCGCCTGGGAGTGGCGACTGCATGCCTGGACCATCGACCCTCTCTTGATTCACGTCCCCCCTTTTCTCCCCTGCCCATTTTCTCTCTCCCCCCTGCGCACCATTCCCCCCTCCCAGCGTCCGCCCTGCCGTCATCAAGCTACCGCCTGGGAGTGGCTTCGGCCCGCCTGGACCAGCTCTACTCGCCCTCCATCACCCTCGCCCTCCGCCTCGCTTTAGATCAATTCGATAAGAAGGTGAGGCGCCCTCACACACTGCAGCCTGGCAGGCAACGACGCACGCACACAGGATGATGACTCGCACTCCTTGCACATCCCTTGCTTCTCTGCTTCCCCGTGCATGCATTCCCCTTTCCACTTCCTATGATTTTTGACGCCCTGGTCCCACATATCTGTGCTTGTCAGTCATCTCAGTACTACTCTGCCTTGGCTACCTCCTTTCTCTCTCCGTCTCTTGCCACCATCCACCCCTCCCCTCCCCCATCAGATGCCTGGCTTCATCTCCCCACACGCCCTGCTACATGCTGCTGAGGTGAGACCACTAGGCTCCCTACAATGGCTCATTGTATTTGATATACCAGAGACTTTTATTCCCTTTAATCCGCTACCTGCCATGGCTGCTCTATGCCCCCCTCGCCTCCTCTCCCTCCCGTATCATCAACGCAAACCCACCACGGCATCATCCACACCATCCCATCCTCATTATCCCACCAGACACGCACAAGCTGTCCAGTGCGGGTGGAGAGGGGGGGAGAGAGTTACGAGAGTGTGTCGCTGCCGGGGCTGTACCCGATAGGCGAGGGGGCGGGATACGCAGGGGGCATCGTCAGTGCTGCAGTGGATGGCATGTTGGCTGCTAGGGCCATCCTGCGCACCGCTGCTGCTGCTGCTGCTGCTGCTGCTGCTGCTGCTGCTGCTGCTGCTGCTGCTGCTGCTGCTGCTGCTGCTGCTGCTGCTGCTGCTGCTGCTGCTGCACCTACACCTTCTGCTGCTTCTCCTGCTGCTCGGGATACGCAGGGGGCATTGTGAGCGCTGCGGTGAATGGCATGCTGTGTACCAGGAATACATACCGTACTCACTGAATTTTTATATGCTTATATACAAGCATACATGAATAAAAGAATCGTTCTAGCTAGCAGCATACCTACCTAGTACATATCCTTATTATATATAACATTATATGACAATGCTACCATTTTCCTGTAGAACGTCGGAGCTGGTATATTCCAGTCCTTGTAATACGTTTGTACCGATACCGGCATGATCCCAACTCTCGCTCTCGGACACGAAACAAAGCCCTTGTGCTTCTTATACACTATCGAGTCCGCCTTTACACCGTAATCCCCTTTACTATAATCGCGAAACCGCATTTCGTCGCCAGTGTACCTGTAGAGCACCTGCCGATTCACCTTCCGGGCAGCAGGCACGCGCCCGCAGTACCGGTACTCGTCCGGCCGGCTTGTATCGGCATCTACTGCGATGAGCTCAACGTCGTTCTCAGTGGGCAGGCCGCTGCAGGCACCAGTCTGCTTGGAGGTGAGAGCCTTGTGTCCCGCGGGGTTGCAGGACTGCGTGCCGATGCGTGTTTGCCTGCACACGTGCCTCATCCACGGCCATAGCTGTTGAGGGGGAGGGGGTTGGGTGGAGATGAGGGGGACATGGGGGGGAGATGAGGGGGAGATAAGGGGGAGATGAGGGGGAGATGAGGGGGAGATGGGGGGAAAGGCGCGGGGAGACGTCTGGAGGTAAGAATGGAGGAACTGGAGAGGCGGTAAGGCAAGAGGTGGCAACGAGTTGAAGGGAGAGGTGCGGGAAGAGCTGGGGAAGAAGAAAAAGGCTCACCTTATTAATCTCTGGGGAGTTGTAGTATCTCTTTCGCATCCTCTCCCTATATGTGCCAGGGTCCTTCCCGCAATGATTAATCGTGACAGTGAGGCACGTGATGTACCCCGGGCTCTGCCCCAAGCTGACCATGAGCAGGTTGACCACGAGGCTCACACTCACCTTATTGATCTCTGGAGAGTTGTAGTATCGCTTGCGCATCCGCTCCCAATAAGTCCCAGGGTCCTTCCCACAGTGGTTGATGGTGACTGTCAGACAGGTAATGTACCCCGGGCTCTGCCCCAGGCTGACCATGAGCAGGCTGCGGACTCGGTTGCGCTTGCCGTTGTTGAGCTTCACGCCGTCCCAAAGCTGCGCGCACACGCCCCCTGTGATGTCCACGCCTGATGTGCAGTAGTCGAGGTAGTAGCAGTGGTCCCCGCCTATCACATAGTTGCAGGAGACGGTGCTACCTGCGGTGGGGAGGGGTGGAAATGGGTGAGAGGCAGGAATGAGTCAGAGAGCCCACAGCTGCGTGCACACGCCCCCTGTTATGTCCACGCCTGACGTGCAGTAGTCCAGGTAATAGCAGTGGTCACCACCAATGACATAATTGCAGGCCACTGTGCTTCCTGCGGTTGGGAGGGGTAGGAAGGGGCGGAGATGGATGGAAATGGGTACGAGAGTCAAAGAGCCCATAGCTGTGCACACACGCCCCATGTGATAGCCGTGTCTGATGTGCAGTAGTCCAGGTAGTAGCAGTGGTTCCCGCCAATCACATAGCTGCAGGCCACTGTGCTGCCTGTGTGGTGGGGGGGTGGGGCGAAGTAGGAATGACTCAGGATCATAAAGCTCCAGCTTACAGGAACTTGAAGGACCAGAGTCATTCAATTGCCACCAACCAGAATTGAACCTGCATCTCCCGCCACTTACCAGGGTTGAACCAGTGAGTGCAGAAATAGATTCCCGCCGAGTCAAACGTCAGGCGGCCCTTGGACTGAGGCGTGAAGACAAAATTGTTCTTGACTGACGTCAGCATGCAGTCCCACGAGTAGTGCACGTCAGCGCCGCACCGGAACCCCGCGAACAAATAATCATGCAGGAAATTATTATGCACTTTCACGCCGATCGATCCCCGGTAGAGGTTAATCAACTCCCACGCGCCAAACACATCGTTGTTGGTGATTACATTCTTGGAGGAAACGAGGGTCATGCCGAGCCCACACATGCCCATGCGAATCACTCCAGGCGACCGCTCGTACGTTCCAGGAGCAGTTACAAAGAGAGAGTCTAGCTTCGTGTAACCAGATCGGAAGACGTCGATTCGGCCGAGCACGGAAGCTTGAGTGAACTGGATTCCGAAGGAGCGGTAGATGTGGAGAGCCGGGCAGATGATTTCGAAGCCCATGAGGGCACCGTACTCGGGCAGCGTCTCGCAGAAAGGGGAGGAGTTTCGCACGGCGCTGCGCAGGGCGATCCCTATAAAGAGGATGTTGCTGGCGTTGTGCACGCGCAGCACCGGCTCATCGGAGCGAGAGAGGGAGATGGAGTGGCGGGAAGGTAGGGAGCGCGAGCGGAAGATGGTGCAGGAGAAGTTGGTGCCGAAGAGGAGCCCGCGGGAGAGGGAGAGCGAGCGGTACAGCACGAGGGTGACGGTCTGGTGGGGAGAGTACCGCGTGCGCTTGGCGATGTCTGACACTGAAAAGACTTTGATCACCGGGCTGCTGTGTCGCGGGGAGCATGGCTTTGCTGCCCCCTTGGGAGTGACGGTGGCCTTGGGAGTGACGGTTCCCTCGGGATTGACGGTGGCGATGGTGGCCTGGAGATTGTCGGGAGTGTCGGGATGGGCGGCAGTGGCGGTGGCTTTCAGGCGCTGCCAGGAGAGTGTGCCGCCCGGCATCATGTCATCCATGTCGTCTTCTGTCATCACTGCAAACCGCCCTGCCGCCCCTGCCGCCCCTGCCGCCCTCTCCCCCGCCCGCGCCGCTGCCGCCCATCTGCTCCTCGCCTCTGCCGCCCACACAGCCTCCTTAGCTCGGGTCACTTGTCTCATCCGCTTCGCCTGCTGCCGCCACTGCCGCAGCCGCGGTTTCACGAGCGCCTGCTGCTGCCGCCAGTGCTCCTCCTGCATCGCAATCTCCTCTGCACTCTGCGGCCGCTGGTCCCGCTCCCACCGCTGCTGCTCCCGCTTCGCCCACTCCGGTGCCTCTCCCGCCTCCTGCTGCTTTCCCCCCTGCGTCTGCCACTGCTGCGGCCCTTGCTGCGGCTGCTTGATTTGAAGGCTTTCAGTCCGTCCATGCTTCTGCTCGCGCCGTTGCCACTGCTGGTGCCCCGATGGCCTGTGGGCATAGCGGGTGTAATAAGGTCCAGCGCCCTCCCACAGCTGTCGGTTCTTCCTGCTTTCCTCCTCCTGCTCCTCTTCTTCCTCCTCCTCCCCCCCTTGCTCCTGCTCCTCCTCGTGCTGCTGCTGTTCCGTTGGTCTGTATCGGCGATTGGCTACACCTGTAACGGTAAGCAGCCAGTCGGAATGCGGCAATTGCGGCCCTTCAAACACAGAGGGGACCGGAATTTCCGCTCCCGCTTCCGCTTCCCCTTCGCCTTCGGCCGCCCCCGCGGCCTCCGCCAGTTCCTTCCGCCTCTCCTCTTCCGCCTCATCCTTCTCCGCGGCCTCTACCGCGGCCTCGTCACCGCAAAGCGCCGCATATCCCCGCACCGCGCCAACTTCCGCCGATTCTTTACCGCAGATCGGGCCATCGCGTATCCCCCGACCACCTGCCGCTGTCGCACTGCGGTTCGCGCTTCGCGCCGATGTTAAAACTCCGGAGTTCCTGGATCCGCGGAATATTGCGCGCAAAACACCTGCGGTGTCCGGGAGTCGGCGCAACTCGCGGGAGATGATCGGCGGATGCACCGCTGCAGCGGAAACTACTCGCAGAAGAGCCGCGGCGTGACACAGCGCCAATAAAAGCGCCGCCGTGAGGAGCGGTGGTAGTAGCAAATTCCCTGTGAAGGCGACGCGCCGCATCTGTTACGGGGACTCCTAAAAAAACGAATTGGTAAGAAATGTTGATTACTACAATCAAGATTAGAGATTCTGGCACACGTGAATATTGGCGATCGTTCGGAGGGCTATAAAGTACGGGGAAAAGAACAGAGACGATTGAGGTGAAAGAAGAAGCGTCTCGGTCAGCTTGCTGAGGAAGCTAATTAGAAGCCGTCAGGAAGACACAAAACGGAATGAACGTGACGGTTGCACCTGCCAAACATTTCTGGTCCACAAACGGGAACACGACAGAGAGAAGGTGCACAAACACATGCATGCGCTAAAGTTGGAATGTGAAATCACGCTGCCCTGCAATAATGCCGCGTTGCCCCCATTTCAAGCCCCCTCCATCACTCGGCAGCACTCCCTTCCCCCAAAAGACAGGTTGACTCGCTGACCTTGTTGCGTTGGCCTCAGTTGTCGGTGCGGGCATGCAGAAATATGCACCGGGTCTGCCCCAACTGCCGAAACGTCGTAAATACTGGTTGGTGAGGCAGAATGCTCGGCTGTCTGTGGTTGTTCACACGACTTTCCGCCTGCCCGCTTTTCTGCATGACCGGGTCAGCACCAGGCCTGTCGATTGACGGGCATATGCCCTTAATGCCCTGACATTAAGGGCTAGTTTCGCTCCAGCTCCAATGCGTCAAGTTTTTGATTTGCACCCCGCCCGTGCCACTAAGTGCTTCGTTCGACCCTTCCCCGGATGCGTTAAGGGACGAAACCAGGCCTTCCCCTTTATCTAAGTTTTGGTTTCCGATCGTAGGACATCCCCCACCCCAAGTTGCCAGAGACCCCCCCCCCCCTCTTTCCCCTTAGCCTGCACGGGAGCGCGCCGAGGGGATTTTTCCCTTAGCGTTTTCTAGCCAATCTCGTGTGTGTAGTGTGTCTCAGTCAGCCTTGGAGCACCCGAACATTCCCTTAGCGTCCAATACGAGCTGGCTGCAGTTTACATCTGTTCAAGTGCAAACTTCGCACATGCCCGGATTTCAAGTTTTCACTTTGGGGTGCGCCCGTGCCCGTTAAGGGCGCCAAAACGCTCACCTACACCCAACCAAGGGTCAGATGGGGAGGAGCTGGGGAGCGCAAGTACGAGCCCCAGAAACTTCGACAGGAATGGTCAGCACATTCTTTCCTTGCCGCACACGGAGTGCCGGGCACCAGGAAGAATCACCTGCCCGAGTGATTTTGTTGAAGTCGGTGCTGTCGTACCAACCGAGAATGACGAGTGCGACACGCCACGATGGTCGACGTGTTCCATGCGAACGTGACTAAGTCGTCGATCGTGCAATGGCGAAATATAGCGAGGTTACCACGACAGGTCGTACTGTAGAATCCAGCGGTTCAGGTGGAATAGCAGATTTGCCGGGTCAACGTCAGCGCCGCCTTGGACCCCGCTGACTCTACATTCTTGATGCACAAAACTTACGTTTCCTGGGATACCGTTTTATGAACAGCAAATACAGAGGAAGCAGAAATGATAATGTAGCCATCAATATATTGTTAGAAGCTACAGCTAACCAGATCAGACAACTTCAGCCAGCCACAGCCCACTATACTAATGAAGCACCTCTCTACAAAGAGCTATGTCATGCAATGCCCCCTATTCTGCAAGCGCCAAATCATGAAGCTAGAAACGAACAAGCGGTGGTTAGGCACTTAACACCCACCCATCTATACAAATCAGACTAAACAAGGATCATCCCGTTCAAGTCTGGTTCAAGTCTGGTTCGAGGCTGGTTCAACGTTCAAGTCTGGTTCAAGAGGCCCAGGGTCAAGAATTGGCAGGGGTGCCATCGGTGGGGCCTCCTGCCAAGTCAATTTCGCTGAGCTTGAGCAGGGCGCGCAGGGAGGAGCGGCTCTTGGAGAAGTGGCGCAGACTGCCTCTGAGGTCCGTGCCCTTGCGCATCATCACCTTGAACTCATCAAAGCTGATCTTGCCATCCTGAGGTTTGGAGATGGGAGTGAGGGGCAGCGATGGCGAGTGAGAGGAGAACGGTGAGAGGAGCACATATCGGAGAGAGGGGCAAAGAGATGAATGATTGGAAAGCGGCTGCTGACGTGTGAAGAGATGGCCATTATGGGAGTTGGAGAGGGGCAGAGAGATGGCAGCGCTCAGCACAGATGACCAGATGCTTTCACGTGGGTGAGTGAGTGAGTGAGTGAATGGACATGTGCAGATGTCTGCAGTGGACACAGGCACAGAGTGTGTGCCTCTGGTACATTTACAGCATGTTATGCAGCCTAAGGGTATGTCATTGGCAACCAATGGGCAGGTGATGCCCTGACTACAGGCATGTTATTGGCATGCAATTGGAGCAGACTTGTATTGACTCACATTGTTGGTGTCGACCTCAGCAAGAATCTCTTTCAGAGAAGTCAAGTCTGCCCCCAGGGCGTCCGCCAGCTCTTCAATGTCAATGAACCCGCTGCGGTCCGAGTCAAAGTAGTCAAACGCTGCCTGCAGGTTACGGCCTTACTACTGGCCCGCATCTGGCGTGCCCTTTGCTTGACTCACATTGTTGGTGTCCACCTCAGCCAGAATCTCCTTGAGCGATGTGAGATCCGCTCCCAGTGCATCTGCCAGCTCTTCAATGTCGATGAACCCGCTGCGGTCCGAGTCAAAGTAGTCAAACGCCGCCTGCATGTTCCAGCCTTATTCCTTCCCTGTAACGACCACGCTCTTTGCTCAACTCACATTGTTGGTGTCGACCTCAGCCAGGATCTCCTTGAGAGACGTCAAGTCCGCCCCCAGTGCATCAGCCAGCTCCTCAATGTCAATGAACCCGCTGCGGTCCGAGTCAAAGTAGTCAAACGCCGCCTGCAGGTTCTTCTCGTTGTCCACGCGCTGCAGATGCATCGTTGCCGCCACAAACTCGCTGTAGTCTATCTCCCCATTGCCATCGATGTCGGCCTGTTGGAAGGGGTGGGTGGGTGGGTGGATGGGTGGGTGGGTGGTTGGATGGGTGGGTACCGCATGCACAGCTGCGGAGGGCAGGGAGCCAATGCAACTGAGCCAGGGACTGATACGAGCATACATCCATAGCATACACACCCCAATCCACTCACCGCATCCATGAGCGCCTGCACTTCAGCATCGGAGAGCGGCGAGCCGATGCGGCAGAAGCATGGACTGCTATGCACACACACAACCATGCACGACCATGCACGCCCTCCACCCCACTCACCGCGTCCATGAGCGCCTGCACTTCAGCATTGGAGAGCGGCGAGCCGATGCAGTGGAGGCAGAGACTACTAGGAACATACACAGCCATGCATCACACACACTCAAAGACTACACTCACAGCGTCCATCAGAGCCTGCACTTCGGCGTCAGAGAGAGGAGAGCCGATGCGGCGGAGGCCGTTGCGCAGCTCCTCGAGGGTGAGCGTGCCGTCGCCATTCTCGTCGATGATCTTGAACACCTCCTGTAGACCCTGCAGCTCCTCCGCTGATGACAGCTGATCCGCTATCACCTAGGGAGATAGAGTATGAGGGGCAAGTGAAGGGTGGTACAGTGAGGAAGGGCGTTCAGGCAGAGAGGGGTTGGAGGAGTCTCGGAAGCTGTTCTCGTAGATGATCTTGAACACCTCCTGCAGGCCCTGCAACTCCTCCGCTGAGGATAGCTGATCCGCTATCACCTAGAGAAGGGAGATGTGGGGGTGAAAAGATGGTGAGAGTGCGGGTAGAGAGAGAGAGGGAGTTTAGGGAGAGTGAAATGGGATGTAGGGTGAAACGCGTTCACGGCAGCTTCGAGGCAGGTGTGCTTTGTGCTGACTGGCTTGAACCGTCTGCAGCGTGGGCCTGCAAATGGCGTGTGGGGTGTTCTTGAGCTTGAGCTTTTTTCCTTAGCTTGTTCATAGCCTGGAACGGGTGCAGAGTGTGTGTGTGTGTGTGTGTGTGTGTGTGTGTGTGTGTGTGTGTGTGTGTGTGTGTGTGTGTGTGTGTGTGTGTGTGTGTGTGTGTGAAATGGCGTGTGGTGCTCCTGGCTGGGTGTCGTGAGACTCACCTTGAGCGCCTTCTTCTTGAGCTTGTTCATGGCCTGGAACGACTGCATTGTGGGTGCAATGCAATGACGTGTGGCATGTTCCTTTCCCGCTTCGGGTGTCGGCAGCAGCAGCTCACCTTGAGAGCCTTCTTCTTGAGCTTGTTCATAGCCTGGAACGACTGCATGCGCGACAGCACCTCCACTCCCAGTGGCGTGTCTGGCGCCTCGTTCGCATCCCTCAGCCATGGGTGCTCTGATGGACGCAGCAGGGGGGGGTGTGGGGAAGGAGGGGAACAAGACCGTTGTGATAAGAGTCCCTCTGTGGCAAGGAGCCATGTGAACCTGGTTCTGGCATACACAAGCTAGCGAGGGGGTGGAGAGAGAGGGGGAGGAGCGGAGGTGTGGGGAGGGGGCGGCGGAGGAAGCTTAGATAGGAATAGAGAGCAACCTAGGAGCAAACACGAAGGACTTGCTGCGCGATGGGGCGTTTGGAGGTGTCGGGCTGCAGCATGAGCATGACGAGGTGCAAGCATAGCTGCTAGAGCAATATGACCTTACATCACACAAGGCAGGCAGGGGAGAGAGACACTCACGCAGCACTTGCTGCGCGGTGGGGCGTTTGGAGGTGTCGGGTTGCAGCATGAGCATGACGAGGTGCTTTGCCCCGTCTGACACCTTGGGCCATGGGTCGCGCTTCAAGTCCACCTGCGACCGCAGCACCGCCTGCGCCACGCCCTGCTCCGTCTCTGGTGCCGTGAGGGGGAGGGGAGGGGGGTGGGGGATGTGGGGGTGAGCTGTGCCCTTGCCATCGGGCCCTTGAGGTCCACCTGCGACCGCAGCACCGCCTGCGCCACTCCCTGCTCCGTCTCTGGTGCCGTGGGGGAGAGGGGTGCGGAAAGTGAGAGGGATGGAGAAGCGAGAGGGGTGAGGGGAGGTGCGCTCTCGCTATCAGGCCCTTGAGGTCCACCTGCGACCGCAACACCGCCTGCGCCACTCCCTGCTCCGTCTCTGCGACAAGGGGTGGGGAGCGTTGGGAGGGAGGGACGGGAACAGAGAGAGAGGGGTGGGGGTCGGGTCGGGTGTGAGGGGGATGAGAGGGATGAGGGAATGAGAAAGGCGCAGGGGGATGTGAGGGGTGTGTGGGGTTGCAGTGAGCAAAACAGCACGGGTACTTGCCTGCCCAGAAGGGCGGTACACCGCAGAGCAGGATGTAGAGAATGACACCCGTGCTCCACACCCACCCTCTGGAAAGAGCTGTACTCCTGTCGACTGCCCAACCTGAGCAGCACCAACCTGATTTGAAAGGGGCGCATTGCCTCAGACTATCTAGAAGCCGGGTACTTGCCTGCCCAGAAGGGCGGTACGCCGCAGAGAAGAATGTAGAGAATGACGCCGGCGCTCCACACGTCCGCCAGGGGGCCGTAGTTCTTCCGTAGCACCTCGGGCGCCATGTAGTAGGGGCTGCCCACGATCTCGCTCAGCGTCTCGCCCGGCTTGAACATGATGGAGAGCCCGAAGTCGATGGCTCGCAACGCCGCGTCCTCCTGGTTGTTCGCGAACAGGAAGTTCTCGGGCTTTAAGTCCCGATGCATCACCCCGTGCTTGTGGCACACCTGCGGGTGGGGACGGGTGCAGAAGGGTGCAGCAATGCAAGGCCTTTCAAAGTCTTCCTTCTTGCTAGCAAGGTTGGGCTTTAAGTCCCGGTGCATCACCCCGTGCTTGTGACACACCTGCGGGAGGGGACGGGTGGAGAGAGATACAGCGATGCAATGCCGTTCAATGTTTTCCTCCTTGCTAGCAGGGTTAGGCTATGCGTCTGGCGCAGAACTCTGTGCTTGTGGGATGCAAGGGACGGAATGGGGTGGCGTGGATGACACGAGAGGGCTTCTGAATGTTTGAATAGAGGTGGAAGAGATGGAAGCAATGGAAGACATGGAACGGCAGCCAAGGCGGGGGGAGATGAGAAACCGGCCTTTAGAAGGACGAGGCTTTGCTTACGCATGCTTCGAGACGTCTCAAAAAATGCATTTGACCAATTTATTGCCGTCATTTACGTAATCATCCGAGCTCTGACCCCCCCGCATTTTCATTCCAATGTACCACCATACGCATTCCGTTCTGAAGTCACTCCCTTGTACCTTACTATCTCTTCGCACCCCCCTTGTATCATTTGATTCCCTCGCACTATGCTTCCGTTTTCCGCTCACCAGCACGACTTGTGTATCACACTCACCAGCCCCAATCCGACTCACCCGCACAGCACCATTTCCACTCACCAGAACTCGTCCCACTCACCATCACCTTTGAACACGCACCTGCACGACCTCCACAATAGTCCGTGTGATAACAGCCGCCGCTCGCTCGCTATAATGTCCCCTCGCTATAATCCTCTCGAACAGCTCCCCGCCTTCGCACAGCTCCTGAACAATGTGAACCGCGTGCCGATCCTCGAACACCCCTTTAAGTCCCACTATGTTAGGGTGCGGCGGTAAGTGGTGCATAATCGCGACCTCCCTCCGCACATCCTCGATATCCACGGCCGTCTTTAATTTCCGCTTAGGGATAGACTTAACGGCCACCTGCTCGCCGGTCGCCTTGCTTGTCGCGAGACACGTCACGCCGAACTCTCCGCGCCCTAGCTCTCGACCTAAAACGAAGAACTCTGCAATGGATCGGTCTACCATTTCCGGAAAGGGGTTGTGAAGAACGACGTCGTTTCGCGGCTGCGCGGGAGGACCGTCCGATTGATTTGGAACCGCTGTAACCGCAGATGCTGCTGAAGAGTTTTGGTGAGGTGCGACATTGCTAGGCGGAGGCGGTTGCTGCTGCTGCTGCTGCTGCTGTTGCTGTTGCTGCTGCTGCTGCTGCTGCTGCTGCTGCTGCTGCGGCTGGTGATGTTGTTTTTGTTGCCGGTGCTGCTGTGGAGACTGCGCCTCGTAGTCTGAACGATCGGTCGTCCGCGGAGCCTCTTTTCCCGCGCAAGCGCCCATTGGGTGTACCTACCTAAGAAGCTGACGACAGCTAAAGGTGGACAATGAGAAGTTAGTGGTGAGTTAGGTATGTTAGGTCTAAACGCATGTCGGGTCAATGATTAAGAGGCTCGACAGGCTCAACATTAGACCGCTTAAAAGTCGGTGTAGTTGACTAAAGTACGGTTCGACTAAACTTTCTGGTCAACATTTCGGCACAAATGTAGGAACTATTCCACATGCATCGACTCTAAAAAAACCGTAGGTATCTGAAACAATGTGGCACCTATCGATAGCGAGTGACCATAATAGTTCGTCCTAAGGTTATCTGCAAGTCCGGTCTTAGTTCAGGCTAAGGGGGAAGACCAACAATAGTTGACCTGAACGAGTAAAGACCTGTCCGGGCCGTAGGAGACGGGGAAGAGAAGTTGGTTGGGGTAGTAGCGGGTCAGAACCAAGACGGAAAATTACTGTCAGTGACAGAGCGAGGACGATGACGGAGGGACAAAATCGAGGTTTCCCTCCAATGGAGGATAGAAGCTGCAGTGAAGGTGACACAATTGGAAGGTCCCGTCCCGACACGACCAGGATTCCCTCGATGATGTCGTCCAAATGCAACCTGGGAACATGTTTGCGCAAAAGTACACGCGTCCAATATGTCCAGGTGTTTGTTTCCCATTTACAATCATTCAATCACAAGCATGCATCAAGGTCTCTGTAAGGATTTACAAATCCTTACTGAGGCGCTCGATAGCGAGGCCATCCCGAGGGCCACGCGACCAACTGGTTCGGCCTACAATTTCGCATCCCAACCTCACCGAGCCGCCTCCGCACCAATCGCGACACTTCGCGAGCCAACCCTACCACACCATCCCCGCCTAGCTAGGTTTTCCCCTATTTAGGCCTCGCTACTTCATTGTTCAGGCATTCGGTAATTCTCATTCTCGTTATTCGATATCTGCGCACTCTGACAAGTTCATTCATAACACCTGGTATCAGAGCTACTTTCCTAGCCTACCCCGCTTTTTAGAGTGTATTACCCCTCGGGGGGGGGGACGAGGAAGGATGTCTTGGGGTCCAGGAGTTGCGTAGGCCGGCTTAGAGAACGGGTTAGTTGCTCTTCGCGGCCATGGATTTTTAGTGCACTCCTCGGCACCGCCAGATCCTTGCCTTCGACGGTCGCGATCGACCGTGGCCTCCCTCCCCCCGGGCAACGGACAGCTGGAGCTGTCGCGACATCGAACGTGAGTTACTATTTCCGCTGCGGTTTTAACGACGATTTCGAAACTGTGAGGCAGCTGGCGTCAGCGGATCTGCGTCGGCACCTGCACGAAGATTTCGGAAGTCGTCACGATGTGTGGCAGTTGACGCCGTCGGACCCGAGTCAACAACTGCGCGACAACTTCGGAGTCCGTCCCATGCGGCAAGTGACAACGGTGGCTCGTCGTCATCATGCGCGCGCGACTCACGGAGTGTGGCTCGGCAGCTGGCGACAAGGAACGTGCGTCACTGTGGCGAAAATTTCGGAGCTTCTGTTGAAGAAAACGTCGGCTGGGGAACTCGCCAGGCGCAAATGGAGTTTTGCGTCCGAAAAAGTCGGTGGCGAGGAGAGACGACACAAGACTGCCCGACTTAACGGGAGTTAACTGCCGTCCCGCCCGACCTGTTAAGTGCGGCGGCTTTTACCGCATTGGCGGGCGCGTCATCAACTATTTTCGGCAGGAGTGCTCGTGGACAGACGGGGCTTCATACCTGCTGACGCTTACGGGCTGCAACGGAAAACGCGATGGCTAAACCGCACTTACGAGGAGTGGGACGCAGGCGACGAGGGAAATCGGGGCAGGTACACCTCGAAAGAACTCGTGCGACGCTGCGTGCCTGGTGTTGTTGCAAGCTGGCCAACAGTATCGAGAACAGTTTCCCCTGACCAAGGATGTTGTTTTCGGGGACAGCTGCTGACAACCCACGGTTAAACGGTGTCCAAGGTACCGCCCGATAATTTCGGAGGGGTCGGTACAGGCTGCCGGGACACGCGAGAAGAAACGGCCCAACGGCTAAGCGGGGGTTGAAGAACGTTGCGGGGGCAGATTAAAAGCCGGTGGAATCGATCTGCGGCCCTACTTCGCCCGAACCTCACCATCCCCACCAAGTCCTGGTTCTGACTCATGCAGTCAACCTACTTGGCCGAATAACGGGGGTGAACACGTGGCCTACCCTGCGCTGGTTAAAGGTACCGGGATTGGTGCCCGTTCGACAGCTGTACAGAAAAAATACAAAAAAAAAAAAAAAAAAAAAAAAAAAAACAAAGTGGAGCTCGCGGCACTGTTCTACTCCGACAAAAGCGGGCTGGGTGAACGGCACGCGAAAAAGTCGGGGAGCTGCGAAGAAGAAATGGTGCAGTCTACAGGTTTCTCCTGACCCGGGCGTCTACACGAATCGACGGCGCAGCGGCGAAGCTGAGACCGGGAAGCTGTGGATTTTACGTGACGTGATAGGCACGGCGGGCTGCAAAACGGTTGGGCGACAGTTTCCTTTTAACTAAGGCTGCCCCGACTCCGATAGTTTTTGCTTCTACACCGAGGCCGAGTTCGCGCGGGCAACAACGACGATACCCCATCCGACAAAAGCGGACGCTGGGTGAACGGCGGGAAGCGGAATTGTCGGGGGGTGAATACGAAAAAATTGATGACGGAAGGGAAAGTTGTGGGTGATCCAGCAGATCACTTGAGTGATAGGTTGAGCCCGTGCACCAATCTACCGCGAATTTCGGAGTCTATTCGGTAGACCCCCGAAAGGGTTTGATATCGTTACATGGAGGCGCGGCGAGCGGTACATTGCCAAGGATACCTGGGATTCGCTAAGTAGTTCCGGCGGGTACGAAGATGGGTGAACATCGGAGTACCAGGGAAAAAAGGCGAAAACGTCGGGGCTATACGGCGGAGAATAACTTCGGGACTGCAGCCTCAACCACGATTTTCGGGGTTATCTTTCTTAAAAAAAAAAAAAGGAGTTGAAGCTGAGGGTGTTTCTTCGTTTCTTGGAGTGCGGTTGATACCTAGGACCCACGGGTGTTTAAACGTACACCGCGGGAAATTCTTCAGGGAGCGTGGGAGCAGCCGAGGCTTCGGGATTTACCTGCCGGTGACGAGCGATGAGGTGAAACATCGCAAAGCGCCAGTGGGAGTTTGCGTGGTTTTCAGTTAAGCGACACCGACTGGAGCAGTTTCGACGACGGGGTCAAAGGCGTTGATGCCACTAGGTTCCGTGAAATTCGGTCTCGGAAGACCCAGGGCAGTCCCCGGTTCTCGATTTAACCCACATGCTGGGGTCGGGTAACCGAAGGAAACTGATGGTGACCGGGTGGGCGGCTATAGCACGTCTGAGATTTTCGGAGGAGAACTGCACCTAGACCTGTGGATTTACGGGGCTACTTCTCGAGCGACAATTTTGGAGTTTGACGAAGGACTTCACGGTTTTACGGCGAAAGCGCGGCAATTTTGTGGCAGTACTTTCGAAGTTTGGTTACACGCGCGCGAAATTTACGCAGGGCAACGGCGCGGGAACTACACGGACTTTTCAAAAGGTACGAACGACTTACGACGAACTGGAGAAGGCGGCGGCAACAGTGACGGGGGGGGAGAGACAGCTGCAAATTTTCATCCCTGCCCACGAACTCTCGGCGGATTACGACAAAATTCTTGGAGAATCCATCCCAACTCTGCTTCCAACAACTCGCCATCGACCCGCCCACGACAAACATATTTAATTTCAGCCACGTCAGGTGCTGCCAGCTGCAACTGCTGCGGATGCTGCATGATTCTGGCGATGTGAAGACAAAAAGCTTCAGTTCGAGTACTCGGCAATTTCGGTTTCGGTTTCTGGTCTACTTTCGCTGGTTCGCCCTTGACGACTTTTGGGCACGTAATTCCTGGTTTCGACATCGACATTTCCACACCGACGCATTTTCACTTGGGTTCCTTCCATCAACGGTTTTCTTTCGTGGGACTTAACACCCGGTTTTGTTTGTTTTCATCTCAGTGCAGCTGCTGGAACTTTTATGGTGTGTTTTCTTGGAGTGGGGGAGAAAGTGCTTCGCACTGTTCTTTCCTTGGCGTTTTCTTGGTCCTTTTCTGACTTTGTCAGGTTGCGTCAGCACGACGGACGATTACTACGATTGTTGCTTCACGATCAACGATCCCTACTCAATCGCGTTTGAATTCGCGTCAGCAGGTTCCCTCCAAAATCGCATCTGCCTCGACCGTCAGATTCGCTGCTGCTCGATCAACGGCCCACATTCCAACTTCCACTTCATTTTGGGCCAGCTCATCCTCATCCGTCAGATCGACATCTGACTGCATCTACGGCCCACAATCCAACTTTCATTACATTTGGGCCACTTCATCTTCGACCGTCAGATCGAAATCTGACAACATCAACGGCCGACATTCCAACCTTTTCAACAATATTGTCTGGGGCATTTCAGCCGTCGGATTCAGCTGAAGTGAAGATCAACGGCATCCTCGCTACTGGGTGACCCTTTTCAGTACAGGGCTGCCTTATTTAGGAGGTGGGAGAGTGTAAGGATTTACAAATCCTTACTGAGGCGCTCGATAGCGAGGCCATCCCGAGGGCCACGCGACCAACTGGTTCGGCCTACAATTTCGCATCCCAACCTCACCGAGCCGCCTCCGCACCAATCGCTGTCAGAATCCTTCCACTAACCACTGGGATAAATTGGCTTGTTAATATAGCGGGTGAGTGCGCCCATAACCCCTAGGCCGACGTGCCTGTAACCCTTCCCTAGGATCATCGGGGATCTCCAGTGGACCTCTGACACCCCCCCGCACTGGGATGCCCGAAGTGCACACACCGGGAATCGAACCCGAGACCTTCGCTCTGATACCATGTCAGAATCCCAGCCACTAACCACTGGGATAAAAGGGCTTGTTAATATAGCGGGTGAGTGCGCCCATAACCCCCCAGGCCGACGTGCCTGTAACCCTTCCCTAGGATCATCGGGGATCTCCAGTGGACCTCTGACAATCGCGACACTTTGCGAGCCAACCCTACCACACCATCCCCGCCTAGCTAGGTTTTCCCCTATTTAGGCCTCGCTACTTCATTGTTCAGGCATTCGGTAATTCTCATTCTCGTTATTCGATATCTGCGCACTCTGACAAGTTCATTCATAACAGTCTCAATACAAGCATGTAGCTATTTGTACAGGAAAAATCACTAAACTCGACGGTTTTGGATTTGTGTCAAATCGGTCGACCACTCGTGCTCCACGTCAGCACTATTTCGAATTCCAAAACTAGAACGACGAGTGTAGTGATTTTTCCATTTGTACAGCTAGAACTGATTGGCAGTCAGCTACATTTGCGTGACCGTCATGGCATTATTTGAGCTGGCCGACCCAGAACCAGCTGCCGCAGCTTGCGGAAAGCAGCCTGCAAAGAGGTCCCGTGAATGTAGTCTTAGAAAAGAACTAGAAAGTGATGAAATGGAAATTACAAAGCAATAAAAAAAACTCATGGGATAACAGCAAACACACAACATGCAGCCATACCTTTGTTCTGCTCTGAGTTCGTCGCAGCCAATGCACTTGGTGTTTGTTGTCTTCAACTTCCACCATAACAGCAAGATGCTGACCAGCTTCTCCTTCCCTACCGCACGCGCAGCACCAGTCCCTGCCCTGCGCCTTTCTCAGCACCGCAATCAACTCATTGTCCCTCCTCTCCGCTTCGCTACAATCACAATCACTAGTCTCCTCACTGACATAGTCACTCTCCGATGATCCCCCTGCCTCTTCCTCAGTCCCATCAGTCTCTCCCTCCTCTCCCCCAAACTCATCAAACCCAGCCACTTCCTCCCCTCCTCCCATGGCTGCCTCTGCTAATTCTTTCAGAATAAAATCCATATCGTCCGCTCGAACACCAATCCACTGTAGACCCTTGCTGGAACCACAGGCAGCTTTGCCCTTGGGGCGGCTGCTGCTGTCTGCACTCATTTCTCCACATGAACCTGCTGCTACAGTTGTACCGTGGATTTTATTCTCCTCAGAATCCCCAGCAACCCCAGCAGCAGCAGCACCAGTGGCTTCAGCAGCTGCCTTTTCCTGCTGTCGCCTCTGCCGCATCTCAGCAAACATCACACTGAACCCCTTATCCTCTGCACCCGCATTGTACTTTAACGCGGATGACATGGTGGGGGGGACAGCCCTGCCGCGCGGCTGCACGGGAGCAACACTGTGCGGAGCAGGTGAGGGAGCAGCACTGGACGGATCACTCGGGGCTGGTGCAACACGCAATGCCGCCCGGCCCGTTCCGCCTATCCCCCCCATGCACGGAACCACACTTCCATCCGCACCTGCTCCCGCTCTTGCCGCCACACTTGCACTCAGCAGATTCTCAATTTCCTCTGCATGAGTCCTACGTGGCGTGGTGCTGCCTATCATTGCACGCGGCTGCTCCGCTCTGCTCTGGTCACATGCTGTTGCACCCTTCAACTCTGCTTCACCTGTCCCACCCGCTGTAGGCACCAGCGCAGGGGCTTCCGCCTGACGCTCCCCGCCGCTGATTTCCTTCATAAGCCCGGCACTCGACACCACTGGTGCACCTGGCGCATCTGGCGCGCGCGGCGCAGCTGGCGTAGTTGGCGCGGCCGCCGCAACTGGCGCAACCGGCGCAGGTTGCGCCGAGGGCGCAAGCGGGGCGAGGCCAGGCTGGCACAGCCCGAGCAGCTGCACCACCTCCTGGCGGCACAGCCGGCTGTGCTCTAATAGCGCCAGCACTGACGAGTCATCCCAACATCTATCCGCCGCCGCCGCGTCCTGCGCGCGCGACCCTCTCCGCCCCGGGGTTGCAGATGCGCCGTTTTCACAGGGGAATGCGGAGGGGGAACCGAAGGGGGAACCGAATGCGCCGGATGCGCGCACGGGGGAGGACGGCGCGCTGTTGCTGCTGTCCATGAGCTGGCGCGAGACGGAAATGCGGAGGCTGCGCGAGTTGCGCAGCCGCTGGCGGACCCGCTCCGCCGCCTCGCCTGGGGAAGCCTCGCCGCTGGTTGCGCCAGGAGCGGAAGAATCCGCGCAGGATGCGCCTGAAGCGCAAATCTCCCCGGGAGCCGGCGTGTGAAAGGTGAAGGAATATCGGGGAAGGGGAGGCGAGTCGAAAGACGGAGAGTCGCTTCCGCTATGATCGTCACGAGGACGCGACGGCGAAGCGCACTCGGCTGTGCGATGTTTCGCAAGCGAGCTCGAATCGTCGGCATCGTTGGCAACGATTAGCGCGTCGGTAGAGTCGGCACCGGAATCGGACGCTTGGAGAGAGGAGCTGGCGGAGAGAGGGAGCAGCGGCGGCGGCGGGGGCATGTTGAGTTGATCGAGCTGGGATGCGCTTAACAGCACCGGGAGCTCCCTCCGCTTGCTCGCATTCTTACTGCTGCCGCCGCTGCCGCCGCTGCCGCTGCTGCCGCTGCTATTGCTCCTGCTAACGGCTTTTCCGCTGCTTCTACTGCTGCTAGCTGTAAGGAAACCGCCTTTCCGTCCCTGGCTGATTCGCCTTTGCGGAAGGATCGGCGCCCATTGCGGGAACAGACATGTGTCCGCTGCTGGAGACACGGGGGACAGGGCTGACGTGGACGCCAGGATTCGGTCCACGTCATCATGAATCTTTGCGTTCGCGTCTCTCGTAGTCGCAGGTGGGCTCTTGTCGACACCATTGCAATCCCTGCTCGAACCTCGAGAATGCCGAGATGATGTGTCAAAAGAAGAGGCGGAAACGACGGAAGCGTCAGACGCGGCGGAGGAGGCGGAGGCGGCGGAAGGTGTGGAGGACAAGGGGGGGAGAGAAGGGGTGGCGGAGTCGAAAGAAGCGGCGTCCAGAAGCAGAGAGTGCGGGGAAGGCGGGCCGCGGGGCTTCTGGCGGAGGAGCGCGAACTCGTGGGTGTACTTTAATCGACGCTCCGACCCGTCGCCCTGGCTGTCATCGTAGTCGTCGAGAGCCCAGTCGCCGAATGCAGGGATGCGGGAGGTGCGCGCAGTCATGGCGAGTGATCGCGGCTGCTAACGTGCGTACCGAATGAGTCAACGAGAGATTTGGCAGTGGGATTCATAAGGAGATTTCAACTACAGTGGCCACAGTCCGCAGCAACAAGGGAGCTAGCTTGTGAGCGCGGTTGACAGATGGCTGAAACCAGAAAACACGACTTCCACCTATGACAAGCATTAGGTACTCGAGTTTTCTCGCAGCGCCGACAAAAATGCGAACAACACGTTGATGTGGGATGGAATGGGATGGGACGGAAGGAGATTGGATGGAGAGGTGGCGCGAATTCGGAAGTACGGGTGCTGCTGTAACGGGTGACGGCGGGGCTGTTGGTGGTTGGAAGGGGGCGGGGCGGGGCCAGCCAAGTGAGTTTCCAGGATGGAGCGGAAGGTGTGATTTGGCAGTCGCAATTTTCGCTGAGGTCGCACCTGACTTCGCAGAAATGACTCGCTCGTTTCGCGGCTTGGAGCGTTACATTTGGGGGAGCTTTCACCAGCGAGAGTGGCGGAATGCCAGTTTTCATGGATCTTGCGCGCGTCGCATTAGCTCTTCGCGGATTGGTCGGAGTAGTGAAAGTGACGGCGGGTATGTTCTTGTAACGCGTCATGAACTGCGTTCATCCCAGGCGAAAAAACGAAAGGCTGAGCGAAGAACTAGAGAACAGAAACACAACGCACTTGCTGATGTATTGATGTAATTTGCGGACAATACAAGTGCACCATCTAAACTGTTACGGGGTACTTTCTTGTTCAAGGGTAGTTTACCCCCAACCTTATCCCAACCCTATCTTCATCCAATCCCTTTGGGATTTCCTAGATTTCCTTGTGCCACGTGGCACTCTACCTTTCTAGCTTTCCAATTCCTGGTTCCACAAACTACTTTCCAACATTCTCTCTTGTTCGCTATATAAACCTTGCTTGTACTTGCCATTATCAACCAATTCTCGTTCAACTCTTTCATTACTCAGTAACTCCTTCGCATATTTCGCCAATAGTTCTTTCGCCAAAGTCTTCCGCCGCGTTTCATCCTCGACTTAGTCGACCCCGCTAATTCTTTAGCGGACTTAGGCCGTCGGGCCTAACAAAACAACCTTAAAAGGCACTGTATGAAACACACCCAACAACTCATCGTTTTAGCGGACATCGTTTTAGTGCTCTTTGATTAAAGAAATCACACAGAGGGTGGCTACATGTTGCCCCCGCACCCCCCTCAAGTCTGCATGCACATGCTCAAAGAATATGAACCTAATCATGTTAGACTGGGTGGAACTTGGCCTGGCCACACTACCACACAGGGGCCAACTGTAATAAATTAGGCTAGAAGGCCAGGCTTATGCTTGCCGTGTCACAACTGGAGCGTGGCCTGTGGTCTGTCTATTTACAGAACAAATCACTTCACTTGTGTAGCATGCTTCCTGTTTGCCCCATGTACTCACATGTCTCTGAAGGCTGGCTCAAAATGCTCAGGTGGGAGGCGCAGGGAGCGTGGGATGCGGAGCGAGAAGCGGTGCGTGTGTGTGTTGACGGGCGCAGGGCCCCACGTGGTGAGGGACATGTTTAACAACCTCTCACCCTCTCCTGCTGCTGCCCTTTGCTCCTGCCCCCGCACCTGTTCCTGTCCCACCTCCGTCTCCTCACCAGACCTTCCCACAGGCTTCACCTCCTCTGGCTGCAACAGCAGGGTGCTATCTAGTTTGTGCTGCTCATGCTGCTCTGTGTGCCCTTTGTTCTCTGTGTGCTCCGTGTTGGCAGGGGAAACAGGCGGTGCAGCATGGGAAGTGGACACGCAGAAGTTGATGGTCATGCTGCCGCCAGCAATGAGGATGCCTGCCCCAGGTAGCACCTGCACATGACAACCCACAAGCACAACCATGATACGCTGAGAGCAGAATACTCAGAAAAGCACTCAAAAGTTCCAGCCACTGCAGTCTGTTTAATTTTGGGAGATTCCAAGTGACAACCAAGCACCAAAATTCAGGAGGAGCGATGAAGGTGTTGTACCTTGAGCCAGAGAGGGAATCCACCTCCTGCCCGCACCATCTTCCCCCTCTGCCAATCCCCTCGCCCGCTGCCACCGCTGGTGGTGCCTCCCAACATGCCTTTCCCTCCTTCACTCCCCTCGTCCCTCCCTCCCTCAATCGCTCCCTGTTCTTCCTTCCTTCCAGACTGGGTAACAGTCTCCCCCTCACACTGCACGATAAACCCCATAGAGTCACTTTCATTCCGATTCATTACAATCACGGAAGCCTGCCGGGTTGAAGGATCTACGTCCACACACGTGCCGGCAGCTGGCACGTCGGGCAGGTGGTGCGAATTTTGCAGCGCTGCCCGGACCTGGGAGCTGAGGGTGAGAAGCCGCCCGAGCAGGCACCTTGTAGCAGGCAGATCAACAGAAGCAACGGAGACATCTAAGAGGCACCTGACTGGCTTGTGGTCGCTCTGAATGGCCTCCATGCATGCATCATAGCGCAGCACATGCGCCTTCACTGGCTGGGTAAGCGTGCACTCCTGCTGCTCCTCGGTATCTCTTTGAGGTGCGCTCACACTCGAGCTCGCAGTCAGACCGGCACCAGGAGCAGCAGGAGCGGACGCAGCAGCAGAAGCGGCAGAAGAAGCTGAAGCAGTAGCGGAAGAAGCAGGAGAAGCAGTGGAGGCACCTGCAGGTGCGTGGGAGCTGATATCCCCATCCTTACTCGTGCTGCTATTGGGCCCTTCCGTACCATCCAACCAAGATGCACTTTCACTGCTCAGTGCAGTGCTGGCAGCATCATCTGTCTCTTTGTGAATCAATGCTGTGGTTGCCACTGCTGCTGCTGCTGCTGCCGCTGCATGTTTCTGCTGCTGCAACGGAGCCCGCTATTGCTGCTACTGCTGAGGAAGGTGGAGGAGCGGAGGGTGAATTGGTGGGTAGATCTGAGGAGGTCAGGTTGGGGCTGGGGACACGATTAGGACTGCTGATATGGTTGGAGCTGTTGGTGGTGGGATTGGGAGGAGGAGCGGGAGGATACAGAGGCTGGCTGGGGTTGTTTGGAGCAGCAGGCAAGGAGAGGGACAGAGGCAGAGAAGGCGCTAGGATGGGCGGCAGTGAGGGGCCCAGAGTGGGCGGCAGTGAGGGGCCCAGAGTGGGCGGCAGCGCGGGCGGCAGGCTAGGAGTGAAGCTATCGCGGAAGAGCACTCGGTCGCACCACGCAGGCACACGGCGCTTCTCCCCCGAGTCATATGCTGTGATCCAGGGCGTGGGGCACAGAGGCAGGGCGTGGGGCGCGGCAAGGGTTGGGCAAGGTAGGACGGGAGAAGGGGAGGCAGAATGAACAGGCCGTTTGATTAGAAGGACCCGACTGCGCCTAATCCTGAATTCGTGCACAAAATTGAGTATTTTTAAGAAGAAGAAAATAACTAACTTCAAGAAGGGGAAGAAAAACACCTACCCAGCGGGTCGGGTGTGCCGCGGTCGAACTTGTAGGTGGGGGGGAAGGCGATGAGCCCCTCCTCCATCCCTCGAAACGCCCGCCCGCCCGCCATCTCTTTGAGCAGCTGGTCGTTAGCCAGCAGAGCAGGCAGGTTGCGGGCCGCCACCTGGTTCCTGGCGTGCTCGTGAGACACACCCTCCACCCGGTAGTTCAAATCGCCCATCCACACCAGCAGGTCGGCCTCTGCTAACTCTGGCGTCTTCATCTCCTCCAGGTCCTGAAAGGAGGGGTGGGTGATGGGAGGTATCGTAAGGGATGTGCGTGCTGTCACCTGGAGCCTTGCATGCTCGTGAGACACGCCCTCCACTCGGTAGCTGAGGTCGCTCATCCACACCAGCAGGTCGGCCTCTGCTAACTCTGGCGTCGTCATGTCCTCTAGATCCTTCTAGGAGGAGAAGAGGTGGGGAGAGAGGTGGGACAGGTTGTGAATGAGGGAGAGATGCATAAGGCAGGCCTTGGACTGAACTACCATGCATACATAACTGCTCTAATAACCTCGCTTTCCACACCTCTATCCCTTCCACTTCTCCCTCCCCTCTCCCCACCCGTCCTCTCTCACCTCCTCCCCATCCCGGCCAATGACCAGATCGTCCATCCATGACGTGGCATCGTCCGACCAATCAAATTTCCCGCCTACTGACTCCCCACCATGCCGCCCGCTCCCGAATGCGCCCCTTTTTGGACTTATTCCCGGTCCTACCCCTCCCCCTCCTGCTGCTGCCCCTGCTGCCCCTCCTCCCCCTCCTGTCCCTCCTGCGCCGCCCACCCCCCCTGCTCCTGCTGCCCCTGCTGCTGCGCCTGCCACTGCTCCTGCTGCTCCTGCGGCTGCTGCTGCCGCCCCCACTGCAGCCCCTGCTGCAGCCTTCACTATGCCCTGCACTGCGGACTGCAGACCAGCTGGTGGTGTGTGATGCAGGGGGGTGGGGAGAAAGGGGAAGAGTAGTGCAGTGAGGAGGAGAGAGGACCGCAACAAAGTAGGAAGGAGGGCAGAGAACGCACACCGCACCTCACCTCACCGGACCTCTCTTCACCTCATCGCACCTCACCTTTCAAGCCGCCACCTGCAGCTTTGGCAGCGGAGGAGGCAGTGAGGGCAAGGGTGGTTGGAGGGCGGTAGAAGGAGAGGTGGCAGTAGATGCAGCGCCAGTCATCATCCCTTGATGCTTCTATCAAATCATAAACTTCATTAAGCCTTCCCGTATGACTCATCAGCCCATAACATCCCGCCTTTTTCACCCTACATCGCACCTTTCACCCCTTGTTACCCACCAATCGCACATGTCATCCCATACCCATGGGACCCACCCACCTTTCAAGCCGCCCCCAGCAGCTTTAGCAGCGGAGGATGCAGCAGCGAGGGTGGTTTGGGGGCGGTAGAAGGAGAGGTGGCGGTAGATGCGGCGCCAGTCCTCGTTGCGCTTGGCCACGCCCTCCATGTGAGCGGCTAGATGGCAGCTGATGACCGCCACGCTGCGCCCACACACACTCATGCGCACCGCCACCGCTCCCTGGGGCCACAGAGAGGGGGGCCAGGGAATGTAAGGGTTGGGCAGCAGAGGATGTGGGCTTGGCACCAGTTGCTACTGCATCTAATCACGCCCTCCATGTGGGCCGCGAGGTGGCAGTTGATCACCGCCACACTGCGCCCACACACACTCATGCGCACTGCTACCGCTCCCTGCAAGAAGGAAAAGGGGCAGGCAAGGTGTGGGGGTTATGGGTTGGCGCCAGTCCTCGTTGCGCTTCGCCACGCCCTCCACGTGGGCGGCTAGATGGCAGCTGATCACCGCCACGCTGCGCCCACACACACTCATGCGCACTGCTACCGCTCCCTGAGAGACAGAGGGGGGGCAGGGCAGGTAAGGTGTGCACAGCAGGGGGGTTTACGGACCATGGTTTGGCACAGGTCACTCCTTCCCCTGGTCATGCCCTCCATGTGGGGCGCAAGATGGCAGCTGATGACCGCCACGCTGCATCCACACACACTCATGCGCACCGCCACCGCTCCCTGGGGGGAGCAGAGAGGGGGGGCAGGGGATATGGGCTTCGCACAGTTGCTACTGCATCTAATGACGTCCTCCATGTGGGCCGCGAGATGGCAACTGATGAGAGCCACGCTGTGCCCACACACACTCATCCACACCGCCACCGTACAATGGGGGGTTGGGCATGGGAGTAGGCATGGGGTAGGCATGATGTAGGCATGGGGGTAAATTGTTTACCTTCCATCCAGAGTAATGGTGTATCAGATATCCTTCAGAATTGTTTACAGCCACGCATCACTTCAAGAAAGCTGTGTTTGCAACCCTTGGCTCACCTTGTTCCCCAACGTGCGGCCAAACCCCCGAGGAACAGCTCCCACCTCCACATCCCGAATGAGAGGGGCAAACGACGCCCTCGCCCTGTGGGAGCCGAGAATAGGGGAACTTAGAAGCGAGTTTGAGAAAAAGAAGCGAAGGTCAGTGCTGCAACCAGGAAGGCTGTCTTCAGAGGTGTGCTTGCTGGAAAAAAAACTGTGTGCTCTCTACCCTTACTCCACACATGCTCACACACACTCACGCGCCTGCACACACTCTCTACCACTCAAACGCTCTCTCACACACACTCACCACACAGTAATAAGAATCCCCGCCATCTGCCTTGACACTATCCGCACAAACGCCCCTCGGGACGCCAGAGCAGCGCCAATCGTTGCCACCCAGTGCGCCCCCAGAGCAGACCCCCGCTCCTGCAGGCCCAGACGCACTGACTCCTTGGCAGCTGCTATGGCTATCGCCCCTGCATTCATCTCCACTTCTTGCAACCCCACTGCTACTATATCTGCTCCTCCCCCACAATTCCCTACATCCGCCCCCCCTGCCCCATCCGTCTGGTCTGCCCCATCCGCCCCTTCCTCCCCCTCCGCCCCGTCTCCTGCTACCTCCCCCAGCCACGCCTCCACACTCCTCTGCACCGCTCTCTCCTCCCCGACGTTCCACGTGCAGGCAGCAAGGCGGAATCTCTGCCGAGATGTAAAGAGAGCGGAGGAGGAGGAGAGGGTGGCACGGAGTGTCGGGTCCACCGGGCCTGGGATAGCCGCCAGCCATGCACTCACCTGCCCCGTGCGGGACACACACACTATGAAGCTGCTGCACCGTGCCAACTGGCGGATTGCTGCTGGCGTCGCCGCTGCAGCTGCCGCCGCTGCCGCTGCTGCTGATGAGCCCTGCGAGGAGAGGGCTGCGTCGTCTGAAGGTTGAGACAGGTCCGATGCGGTTCCAGAGGAAGGAAAAGGGGTTGCTGTTGCTGACGCTGCTGCTCGTGCGGCCTTGGCTGTTGCTTTCGAGCATGGGGGGTGAGAGTGAGCCTGCCATGCCCCGATCTGTCTCCCTGTGCGCACATGCAGCACTGTAATATTCCCATCCGCCGTGCCCACCCATAGCCGCAGCCCCACCACACAGAGACAGCACACGCCGGCCTCCATCACCACCTCCTGCAGTCTGCCGCCCGCCCAGTCGTACTGCCTCAGCATGCCCGACCCGTGCCCGATCCACACCGTGCCGTCGCCAGCTGGCGCGACCGCGTGCAGCTTGCGCTTGGGGGGGCGGGAAGAGGAGGAGGAGTAGGAGGTGGAGGCGGAGGAGGAGGAAGAGGAAAGTTCCTCCTCACCCGTTGCAGGTGTACCTGCCACCACTGGTGCTTCACCATTGCCGTTGGCAGTGGGGGCTGAACCAATAGATACACTAGAGCCGATAGAAGCACCACCACTGGTGGCACTGGCGGCGCCAGTAGCACTGTTGGCAGGGGCTGTGGCACTGCTGGTTGTACCGGATGTAGCGCTGTTGGCCCCAGAGGCAACAGCGCCAGAGGAGGTATCCGCAGCTGCCCTCTCCTCGTCCTTCACCTTCACATGACACACCAGCGCCCGCTTCCTTGCATCCCTAAGGGGAAGTCGATGGGAAGGTGGAGGCAGGGAAAACCAAGAGATTACACAGAACGAAAGCCTGATGGTGCGTAAAAAATAGTGGGTCTTGAACGAAGGTTTCGTGGGGGTGCTTTGCTTGTTCTTCTCCACTTGGGGAGCATAAGTGCATGCAGAAGAGGGAAGATTGTTTGCGTGAATGGGGGCGCATAATCTTACCAGATGGAGATGGAAGCAGCTCCGATACTCCACACCTGCCCTGTAGCTGGGTCTGACACCAGTCGCCGCACAGACGTCACTCCATACACCACGCCCCCACTGCCACCCTCGCTCTCTACCCCAGTCCCAACAGCAGCGCTGCTGCCACTGCCTCCCCCACCAGTGCTCCCCCCTGCAACAGCTACACTACCATTGTCACTCCCACTGCTCTCTGTTGCATTGACAGGAGCGTTGCGTCCTGTCCCACCAGCTGCTCTAGAATCATCACCGCCAGCATCACCATCAACATCAGCAGCAGCAGCAGCTGAGGCGGAAGGCCCAGCAACTCGGTTCCGTGGCAGCTGGCTGTTAGACGAGGCAGATGAGGGCGCGTGCAGGAGCACAGGCACGGAGGCAGGGCATATCACACAAGGAGCACGGAGGGGAGCAGTGCTGCTGAGGGGAGCAGTCGGTGGCAAGACCGCTGGGCTGAGCAAGGAAGAAGCTCGGGAGAGCTCGCTGCATAGGCTGGGCCATGGCCACGCCTTGATCACGCCCCTGTCTCCTGCCGACCAGAGCTCACCATACGAAGTGACTACCAGGGCAGTCACGGTGGTGGTGTGTGCCTGCCACTCTGCGACCAGCTCCACCCACACCTTCCATCCAGGCTCTTTCTCCCCTCCCCCACCTCCTGAGTCGTCCTTGCCTATCGCTGCTCCCCCGCTGGCTTTTACCCATCCTCCTCCCGCCCCCCTGCCGCTGCTACTACCCTGTGCCTGTGCTGCTCCTTCGCCCTCTGTCACACCCTCTCTCTCGGCTCCCCTCTCCCTCACCTTCCATACCAGCACCCTTCCATCCCTGTGCCCGGTGAGAACCATCCGTCCCTTGATATCTGCTACAATGCTCTTGGCTGCAGATACACCTGCCCCAAATGGCACCCAGAAGAACGCTGCTGCCTCTTCATCCCCCCTTGGGTTTCCAAATCCCGAGGCCCCCTGTGCAGTCATCACGTGTTGGATATCCCACACCCTGATCCCATCATCTGTAACCAAGAAAATCATCGAATCTAGGGTTACCAGCAGGCACGTTCGGCTGCCATGGGGTGTGCCTTGAGGCAGGGCTCCAGATCGAGGGCGTGGACGGATCGACAGAGCGATTGGACGACTGGGATCGATTGGGACACGCACAGGAGGGCCGTAGACAACTTTATCCACCTTGGGAGGGCGAGCGGATTCACCAGCGCCGACTGGAACGCTATGGTTCCGAGCCATGCCAGGCGACAGGAAGCGCAACCCCCCTGCTCCTCCTCCCCCTGCTCCTGCTCCTCCTCCTGCCCCTCCTCCCTCGCCTTCTCCTCTGCCCAGATCCAAAGGGGAAGCTCCAGAGCCTCCTTTTCTGTCTCTGCGCCTCCCATTCAAGCCTCGCATGAACGTAAAACCTGCTTCACCCCCGCGAGCCGACATTCTCTTGTCCACTGCCTTGGAGATTTTCGTATGCAGCCGCACAACCCCAGCCCCTAACCCTTTCCCCGCCCCCTCCTCTTGCCCTCGTTCGCCCTCCTCAGCGTCCTCTACCCCCTCTGCTTCTGCGTTCGTGCCCTGTATGGCTGAGGTTGGTGAAAGCGTTGACTTGTGTTGACTGGGTTCCGTCACGCTGCGGTCCAGAGCATGTGGAGGCGAGGTAGAGTAGGAGTCAGAGGAGCCATCGCTTAGAGGGGAGAGTGGATTGGGAGGAGACGACTGTCCGGTGGTAGCCTCACCTTCAGGTGTCACTTCCTCCTGAATCTGCCGCTGTTGCTGCTGCTGTTGCTGCTCCCTCCAGCTACGAGTGTCGATGGTGGTTCCACAGGCAACAGCCAGCGTCGCCACAGACTGCTTGCAATGCTCCGCCAAACTGTCATCACTGGTCCCCTGAAGACTGCTTGCAGTGTCACTATTCACGTTATCACTGCTGCTAGCCGCACCACAGTCGCCACCACCACCATCAGCACCGCCACCAGCACCACCACCTACACTACTGCGGCTGTCAGAGCGCTTGTGCGGCTTGGAGAAGAACCTGAAGCCCAGCTGAGGCGACCGCGCCCGCTGCTGCCTCTGATCCACCACCGATTCTGAAACACATGGCGGGAACTTCACGTCTTGCTGCTGCCACTGCTGCTGCTGCTGCTGCTGCTCCCCACTCGACGTACCATCTGTGGTGCGATGTACTTGAGAGCTACTAGTGGCACGCTTGATAGCATGGTTGGTGTGTGTCGGCGGCGAGGTTACATGTGCGCCTGGCTTGGGGGAATGCGGTGGCTTGGCGGACCAGGGAGGAGAGGCGAGGGGGCTGGGAGAGGCTGACAGGGCACTGGTGGATAAAACCTGGGATAAATCACCCTGATTGGGATTTTCAAACGGGTCGCCGAGAGCAGGTGCCTGCTGCTGCTGCCACCGGTGGTGCCATTGCTGCGGCGACTGCTGCCGTGATCGTTGATGATCCTCCTCCTTCGCCTGGGCTTTAGACATGACATAAGCTGCTGCATTTTCCCGCATAGTCAGGAACTCAGACTTGCCAGCTGAGTGACGCCTACCAATTCTTTTCAAAGGATTCAAAAAGCGGAACGGGTCACTGGTAACGCTTCCGCTCCCCCCTCCTCCTTTCCTGTCAGCATTGGGAGCCAAAGCGTTGTTACCACCAGTTACGGCTTCTGCAACTGTAGCAACGTAGCGACCACCATCATCAGCTTCACCTTCAGCACCACTGCTGCCACTGCCAGCAACAGCACATCGACCAGCGTCACCAGCAACAGAAGCATCACCAGAACTGCCAGTTTCAGCAGCAACAACACCCTCAGCAGCAGAAACAGCAGCAGCAGCAGCAGCAGCGGCAGCCCCATCCGCAGTACCGCTCCTCTTCGCCTGTCTTGCTTCAAGAGCAGCAGCGAAAATAGCCTTCTTCCGGTTGCCAATGTTGATCGGCCCGCTATGGTGCAGGCGACGGGGATGCGAGATGTCCTGCCTGGGCTCTTCAGAATCGTCGATTGTGTCCGCATCAGCAGCGATTGGAACGAACGGCCCAGATAGTACTTTGCCCCTGCCTTCCAGAAGGCCCTCTGCGCTAGCAGAAACGCTCTGGTAGCCACCAGAAACTTGAACAGGCAAATTTTCCTTTAGGACTTGAGTAGGCGCTGTCACAGCTTCCGCAGGAGCAGCAACAGAAGAAGCAGCAGAGGAGTCTTTCGCAGATGAAGACAGGGAAGGCAAATTGCTATCTGAGAGGGTGAAATGGATGGGTATGTGTCTGGCTGAAGGTTTTATGAGAGGGTCTGATGCTGTTGCCGCTAGCGGACGCTCAGTCACGCCAGACGGGGAGCCGAAACCGTCAGCGATAACGACGGATTCTGGCAAGCTCGTCAACGCGCGCTCCCTCTTCGGCGGGGCTAACGAGACCCTTGGGGTACAGATGCTCTCCATGTCGTGAGTCGGCACGGCTGGTTTGAACGAAATGGCATCAAAACCCTCTTTTGGAAAAATCATGGGATGCTGCTTCGCTGTAGTATCAGTGGCAGGAACTGAGGGGGAAGGGATAGGATTACTGGGGGTACGTGAGGTGTTAACTGAGGCGGACGGTAAGGCAGCGAGGGACTGAGAACGGAAGCTTAGTTCGCAAATTTCTTCGCTGATCGCCTTCGCAACATTATCAGAAGCAGCAGGAGAGGGGATTTCAGGAGCCGAAGAGATGCTGACGACGTCGCCATCCTTCGCGAAGGAAATGTCGCCAATGCCGTCGATACTGCGGACTGCGTTAAACGTCCCCTCGCTACAAGACCGGTTCATCTTGGAAATGTCGCGATCCGATGAAACCCGTGAGATTCGCCTTTCGGGCTTATTCTAAAAATTGAATGGATCACAGTCAGCCTGTGGTGCGAGACGCTCGAGTCTTCGTGCGAGTCTGAACGGCTCTATTCTTTAGGCGCGTAAAAAAAAACGACTGATTTACCCTGAAGTAAATCCGCTGTGACCCGATGCGGTGAACCTGGAGTTCATGGCCTCCGTTTATTAAGCGGTGGACTGTTTGAGTCTACGCACGAACCCTAGGGATTGTCTGGTTCCTGCCGACTCGTTTTCAGAGGCACAGGAGCCTCGCCACGGCTTGCGGTCCTGTTAAGAGTCATTGTCAGCAGCGACGGGATTGAGGATGAACAACGATTTGAATTCCTCGTGAAAGCCTGGAACATTGACTCCTAAACCATGGAAAGTCCATATTTTCCTACGGCAAACTACTACTTTTTTACACTCCCTGACGACAATGACTGCTCAGAGCGAAGCCACGGTGATCTTCGAACTGTCAGGCTAGAACCAGCGAGCCAGTCACGACTCTCGGAGACGGCTGCGCTACGGCTAGAGCCATGAACCTGTATCTTTCAGTGGAATGAGCCTGCTCTGTTCTGTGCTACTCTGCACGGGATTCCCAAACATAAACATTCGTTCCCCGAGGATTGTCGTCTTTTCGTCATTCCCGAAGTTGGTTTGGAATGGGGCTGGCGGTCCTGCTTCCACGGAGAATAGTGCGCATGAGGACGAAGACGGCACCTGGATTTCTCAACTACAGTGACAAGCAGCTTGAAAAAACTAAAACAAAATGTACGAGACTTGGATAAACTAGCCACCCTCCCCTTAGAAACTCTCAGGACTCACTTTTACTACAAACAAGGCAGCATAGTTCCCCCTCTAGATACAGCTTCACGTTAAAAACATATACAACGATCATTAGATGTTCATCACATGATGTCAATCAAGCTTTCATCTTCTTTTTTGACTTCTTACCACTTCCGCCAGCATGTTCCTCAGCATCTGCTTTCTGCTTTTTCTTCATTTTGGGAGTCTCGGCCTTCTCTCCTAGTTCCGCCTTATCAGCAAGCCTCTTTTGCTTGGCTTTCTTCTTGGCAGACAAAGATTCTGTAACAGAAAAAAACAAAACACTCAGCAGCTAAATTAACACCAGATATTATAGTGCAAAAAGGAAAGAATTAAATTGAGTGGAGCAGAGGGTTGGGAGCAGGGTCGTTGCTAAGGTCTGAGGGGTGTTTGGTGCATCAGACGGGTCCCCCGGGCAAAAAAAAAAGTTTGTCTGATGCAGACCGGCCCATCAGATTCATCCAAAAAAATATGTCTGATGATAAGCCAAACAGACAAAATATGTCTGCTAGCGACGTCCCTGGTTGGGAGGTGAGTCCAGGCAGCACAAGGTTATTGTAGCTTACATCTATCCAGTCAGATTCATTCCCACAAGAATGTCTAGCAGTGTTAATGAGAAAGTGGTTGTGGAGAGGTCACCTTGAAGGAGCGCTGGAGTGGACTCAGGCTGTGGCACGGCAGCAGCAGACACACACGTCACGGAGCGAGTGATTGGCCGCACTGACGAGAGCACAAGGTACCAGGAAACAAGGAAATAGGGGTCAGACAACCATGCGCTTCGAGTGATGCAACAATGCACTCCTTGCCATGATGCACATGTCTCCCTGTAACCCACGGGCAGGCAAACGCCACGCCCACATGCCCCAGCAACACGCAGGCAGGCAGGCAGGCAGGCAGGCAGGCAGGCAGGCAGGCACGCAGGCAGGCAGGCAGGCAGGCAGGCAGGCAGGCAGGCATACCAATGGGAGGGCGGCCGTCACAGCCAGGCAGAACAGCAACAAGTCCCCCACGGGGCAGTGGGTCCGACACGAGTGCGAGCTCCTGGGGGGATGAGAGAACAAGAAAGTGAGGCCTTGAAGTGCCCATGCAGTACATGAGCGTGCCCAATTATAGCCTCAAAGCTTGAGTCGACTCAAAACCAACCAGTGCCTCATTCAGCAGTGCAAGTGCTGAAAGGTGGCGCGATCACAGCCGCGGATGAGATTGAGTTGAAACCAATCTGGACGCCATTGTAAGCCCCGTGGCACCTACCCTAACCCGCCCTGCACATCGCTCCGCCCCTTCCCCTCCCACTCCTTCCCCTCCTCCCCCTCCCCCTCCCTCTCCCCCTCAACCTTCCCCAACCCCTCTCCCTCTCCCTCCCCCTCCCCCTCTCCTCCCCCCTTTCATCGCATCTCTTCCCGAGGTCCCCAAGAGCCTCACCGTGATTGGCTGTCCTCCCCAAACAAATCCCTCCCCCCCGGTGCGCCTCTCCCCGCGGCAGCTGCCCCTGGTGGCGCAAACCGGCACACCTCCACTCTCCGCCCGTCCCCCTGTGCACCCGCTTCCCCCCGTGCGCCCGCCTGTACGTGGAGCTGCGCGCCGTCGAGCGCGCGGAGGTCCAACTGCGCGGAGACGGCGGAAGTAAGAAGGGGGAATCGCAGCAAAAAAACGGACGGGACGGCAGGGTGCGGGGGGGCAAAGCGGAACAACGGTCAAAACTATGAAGCGTACAGAGTCTAGGTCACGTATAACTGGAATAGAATTAATGGGAGAAATGCGTGATAATAGTGAAGCGTACACTTTTAGCGTCTGGCATCTGCACAAGCCAAAGTTCCACGTCTTCATCCTCGTTACTGCCATCTCCGCTTCTTCCGACAGCGCTAAGCAGCTCTGCGGCCGCCGCCATGGGCGGGCGGAGATTGTCGACGAACCCCCGCGAGGCGAGCTCCTGCGCAAGATCCGTGTGAAGCACGGTTCCCGGCAGGACCATGTCCGTACTCATCGCCATGCCGCCTGAAGCATTAGGTGACTATCCAGAAATTAAGTTCCACGCGCGATTTATTCGCAAAAGCGAGCGACCCGACGCTAGAGTTGTGTGCTGGAGGAACGCGAAGGAACGAATAGAAATGCCGGAAACTCGAGAGGTATTGTGAACCGAGATGGTTCAGGGTTGAAGGTTTCTGGTATTGTTTTAGGTCAATTAGTTCCCCCTGATTGAATTCGAACAAATATTTGTAACATTTTCAACTTACACTAAGTCAAGGGCCAGCACATAAAATGAATCAGAGGAGGTGATTGGGGGTAGAAATGAGGCCCTGCTACCGGTATGTTAGGAAATCTAATAGGTTTACAGCCTAAAGCTGGAAGTCTACTCCAGCAGCATATTAGTGTTCTTGGGCTACAGTTAGGGGTTACTAAACGTAGCGGTTAAGGTCAATAACCACGTCTTTAGCCGGCCGGTAGATGAGGTCCAAAACTCGCCACATCTGCACAAACCGTCCAACCATACCGGAAAATCAAGCACATCAAAATTTTCAAGAATGTCGTTGTTAAAATAAGCATTCACTACACAAAAGCCTTCACCCTGAGCTATCAGCACCCACCTGCAGCGTGCCTCCTCCCCGTCGCTTGTTTACGTTGCTTGACACACTCGCAAACGTCCACGGGTCCTTTGGCGCCCACTGGAACTCAATCACTCGGTCCCTGCGTGGATTGAAGGGGAACAGACCCTTGTTTCAGTCAATTGAAAAAAAAAAAGGGAGAAAAAAAAGGGTCAAAACGATACAGGAAACTTGCAGACAGCAGTAACAGGCAGGAGGATGCAGGGCAGAAGTCATAAGGGGAAGAGGCAGGAGCGCAGCACTCACTGGTGGCCCACGTGTTGGAAGAGCAGACCGGGCGGCACACCGTCCGCTCGAGACGACTTCACCGCCTCCACATGCAGCTGATGGTGCAGGAGGGGCGCAGAGGGGTGCAAGGGGGTGCACAGGGGCGAAAGGGGGCACAGGGGGCCGCAGTCAGAGAAACAGAAAGACCATGAGGAGTGGAAGTGGAGCGAATCACCAGAGAGATCATTACCAGGCCGTCCCAAGGAATCAGCACAACACCGAGGGCTGTTTGAAAGGAAGCATTGCAAGACCAGCACCAGCATGGCACCATATCACAGACACCTGTGTGGAGCGACTCACCAGGTTGACCAGGCCGTCCTCTGCACAGCTGGCGAACAGATGTTCACTGAGGGGCTGTTTGCAGACAGCCATTGCCATCCCAGCCCCAGCATGGCACCACCATCAGAGGCACCTGTGTGGAGCGAGTCAACTCACCAGGGAGCAGTCCCAGATGTTGACCAGGCCGTCCTCTGCACAGCTGGCAAACACTGTGGGGCTGTCGGGACACCACTGCACGCATACAGTAGGTGAAGTAATCGAGAGGGGTGGAAAGTGGTGAGTAAGAATAATCACTGTAAGCAGATGTTGACCAGGCTGTTCTCTGAGCAGCTGGCAAACACCATGGGGCTGTAGGGACACCACTGCACGGATACAAGCAGGGAGACTAGAGGGATTCAGAGTGGGATTCAGAGTGGAGTAGATACAGCTGTTTTGTAGGCGGTGCTTTCCTAACATGACTCATGACAACTGCACCACTCACCACACCACAGCACCGCTCACCTGCACGGACAGCACTGCTGCGTGGTGCCCCCCACGAAACGCATGCGTAGCCTTCGCCTTCCCCCTCGCCTCCCCCTCCGCCTTCCCCACCGGCCCCCCCCCGAGCTTCCTCACATCAAACAACCTCACGCTCTTATCCGCTCCCCCCGTCACCACCAGATTCTCATTCCTCCCGTTCCAATCCACACAGTGCACATCAGCATCATGAGCCTTCTCCACCCTCTGACACGGCCCCTTCTCTCCGCCCGTCCTTGCGTCCCACAGCAGCAGCCTGTGGTCGTCGCCAACGGAGCAGAACTGCTGGGAGTGCGAGGGGTGGAAGCACACGTCCTCCACGGTTGCTGTGTGCCCCTTGAACACCCCCCGGGGAGCCAGGCTAGTGGATTTCGGGGCGGATCCGAGCTTGAGTGGAGGGGAAGGGGAGGAGGACCGGGTTGCAGCAGTGGGCTTGCCTGCACCGTGTGCATCTGCCTCTGCTTCATCATCACCAGGAGCAGCAGCAGCAGCGCCAGCACCACCACCAGTTGCCTCGTCAATGACCATTCCCGTTGGTGCCCCGTCTTCTTTTCTAACTGTTCTTCCCTCCTTGCTCTTCCCCTCCTTTTTTTCCTCAATCGCTTCCTCCTCCTTCACCTCCTCTTTCCCCACTGCACCCCCTTCCCCCCCTGGCTTCTCACTTCCAGCCTTATCCACCTCCATGCCCTCACTCTCGTTCACTGCTTCTGCTGGCTTATCTGCATCTGCACCAGCAGGAGCGGCGGAAGCAGGTGTTTCAGCATCATCACCACCCTCTTTCTTTTTCTCTTCATCCTTGCTCCCTGCCTCCTCCCCTCCCGCTCCCGCATTCTCTCTCCCTGCATCCCCCTCTACCTTTTCCTCCTTCTCTGTCTTCTCCTTTTCCCCTGCTTCAGCTCCCTTCACTGCGTCAGCCTCTTTTCCTTCCTCACCTTTCCCTGTCTTCTCATCGCTCCCCGTCTCTTCCTCCACCTTCGCACCAGCCACAGAAGCATCATCAGCAACACCACTCACGGCGGCAGCATCCTTACCAGTACCAGCCTCAGAGGGAGCAGCAGCGTCAGCTGTAGCAGCTTCACCTGTAGCAGTGTCAGCAGTGGCAGCAGCACCGTCAGCATCTGTCATTTCCACGTCAGCATCTGCTCCCGTAGGTTGTGCCTTTGATTCCTCTCCTGCCCTTCCCCCCTCTTTCGCCTCCGTCCCCTCTTCTTCTTTCTCCCCCTCTTTGGTTTCCGTCCCCACTTTTATTTCTGCTTCCTCTTTCGCTTCTGGACCTTTTTTCCCCTCTGTCTCTTCTTTCGTCTCTGCCCCATCCTCTGCTTTCCCTTCCCCTTCCACAACCTTCACCTCTCCCTCAGAACCTTTCTCCTTAGACTCCTCCTCTCCCTTCGTACCCTCTTCCTTCTCTTTCCCCTCCCCCTCCTTTTCTTTCTCCTCCCCTTCCTTCTCTTCCCCATCCTCCTCCTTCCCTTTCCCCTCCTCTTCCTTCACTACCTTCTTCTCTCCCTCCTCCACTTTATCCTCCTCCAGCTTCCCCTCCTCCCCATTCTCCCTTTTTGCCACCTCCTGCTTGCCCCCCCTTCCCTCCTTTCCCTCCTCTTCTTTCTCCTCTTTCTTCCCGCTACCTTCCAATCCTCTACCTCTCTTCTCCCCCTCCCCTCCACCATCCTCCTTCTCCCCTTCCTTCGTTTCTCCTTCCTTTCCCACACCCTCCTCCCGCTTCCGTTTCTTCTCCGCGTCCCCTGATGTGCTTTCCCCGTCCCCACCCGCCCCCCCGCCTCTACCCCCGCTACGAGCAGGGGAGTCAGCACGGGCACGAGAAGAAAGGGGGGCAGCGGGGCCAGCGCGGGAAGGCACGGAGGAAGCAGCAGCTGCCTTGGCTTTCGGCTTGGCGGTGAGGTGGGGCTTGCGGAGAGCCGCAGTTGACTGCAATGATGGGGAAGGGAGAGGAAAGGGGAGGTTAAAATAGGAAGGGAAGGGTACGAGGGTGGTCACACACGTGGTCGACTTGGTCACGCTTGGTCACACGCGTGGTCACACGCGTGGTCACACGCGTGGTCACACGCGTGGTCACACGCGTGGTCACACGCGTGGTCACACGCGTGGTCACACGCGTGGTCACACGCGTGGTCACACACGTGGTCACACACGTGGTCACACGCGTGGTCACACGCGTGGTCACACGCGTGGTCACACGCGTGGTCACACGCGTGGTCACACGCGTGGTCACACACGTGGTCACACACGTGGTCACACACGTGGTCACACACTAAGAGTAAGTGCGTTATTTAACCACTTGGACGCGATCACTGCGGCACATTCCGCGGACGCAAGGGTTCCTTGACATGACAGCAGCACAGCGTAGCTTGACTTAGCAGCGCCGTCGTACAACACAGCGTGCCCTGCTGCTGGCTCATCTGAAATGACAAGACATGGTTTGCCACGTTCCAGCGCGGTACCTTGTGGTCCTTGCGGCTGCTGATCACCAGCGGGCCTTGTTTTCCAAGTGCTTTAAAGCATCAGAAACCAGCATATGCCTCACCTGCAGCGACGTCACGTGGCCGGCAACGTTCCAGAGCAGCGTGTGTTGTGGTCCTTGCTGCCGCTGATCACCAGCTAGGTGATATTCAAGTGCTCACCTTACAGAATACCAGCAGGACCTGCGCATAAATCTGGAGGCTCACCTGCAGCGACGTCACGTGGTCGGCCATGTTCCAGAGCAGCACGTTGCGGTCCGTGCCTCCACTGATCACCAGCAAGAGCTAGTATTCAGACGCTTCAACGAGGATTGTTTTTTTCCGGAGAATCGATAACTATGACTCACCTGCAGCGATGTGACATGGTCCGCCACATTCCAGAGCAGCACGTTGCAGTCCTTGCCGCCGCTGATCACCAGCGGGGCCACCGGGCTGGTCGCCATGGCAAATTCTGCATCCTCCGTGTGCCCCACCAGGATCTGACAGGCGAGGAGGGGGATATGGGGGAGACAGGGAAGAGTGCGAGGGAAGGGGGGATCGGAGTGCCCACAAAATCAGCCGGCTGATTACCATTGCAAACTCGGCATTTGGTGTGCCTGAACAAAATGCTACAGTTTTGCACCAGCTCTCATACCCTTCACTCACCTCCTCTCACTGACCCAAGGGCACGTGACATACCAGGTCAGGAGTGGAAGCTGGGGTGTTGAAGGAAGGAGTGCAGAAGGGGTGGCGTTCCACGTGCCACATGAGCACGTCAGGGCTGTCCGTGTGAGTGAAGATGATGTTGCGGTTCTGCACCAGCTCTCGGATGCGGTTCACCTCGCCCGGATGCACGATCGTCTTGAACTTGCGCACAAAGGGCGACCGCCTGTCGTACTTGAACTGTTAGTGCGGAAGGGCAGAGAGAGAGAGAGAAAAACATTGGAATGAGAGGGAGTGATTTGGGTCCAACCAGCGAATGTACTCGAAATCGCTTGTTACGGCTTGCAAACGGGGGGGGCTCGAGGGCATAGAGCTTTTACAGTCACTCACTCAAAGAATATATATGCGCCAGCCAGCCATGCATGTTTTAACCCTGAACCATGCATGCACCATCCATGCATGCATGCACCAACACTTTCGTCACAGCATACCCGGCAGATATCTCGTGGAGCGGCGACACGAGGCTTGACGACATATGCATTGGAGACCACAAGGGTGTTGGGCACTGTGCCGTCCGTCTGATGGGGTTCAGAGGGACAGGGGGAGTGTGTCGTGAGGTAACAGAAACACCGAGGATGTTATTGATTGCAGTCTGGGACACGAGGAATGAAGGCGAGGGAGAGGGCGGGGGAAAGGGAGTGGAAGAGGGATGAGCGAGTAGAGGGAGATGAGAGATAGGGAAACAAAAGGTTTAATTTTGGGTGGACGAAACGAGAGGATAGGAGAGGGAGACACAGAAGGTAAAGCACCAGTAGATAAATTTCCTTCCACGAATATTTATCAGCAGATCCCTCCAGCGATGCATGGCCATTCATGTTATTTTCAGACGCCGCCAGCCGTGCACTCAAGAGAATGCTATCGACTACAACAATGCACGGCATTGATGCACGTGGCCTTACGAAAAGGGTGTACCTGCTCGGAGAGGTAGAGGCGTCGCTTGTACTTATGCGTTCGGTCCTCCACCAACGGACCCCACCTGCCGTCGCACGCGCATGCGAAAACAGCACACGCACATGCGAAAAGACAAGTTGGTTTCGAAGGCGGAGAGCCTTTAAGGTGGTTATCCGGGTGAGCAAAAGTAGGGGTCGCCATTACGAGAATAGGGAGCATTTATGAAGGGAACACGCCTTCCAAGGAAATAAGCTTAATCCGTTGTCGCTTACTAATAAGGGCTGTTAGCTTTGGTTTGGTCCGAACCTGCAAGAGAGCGACGGCCAGACGAGGTGGTGGTTGGCGAACCAGTCGTACAGCAACGGCATGTTTCGCTTCCATTTTCGCCGGTCGTCGCCCTCCTCCTCGTCGCTCGACTCGTCGTCGTCCCATGGGTCCTCCTCGCCCCGCCGCTCCGCCTCCTCGTCGTCGCGCTTTCCCACGCGACGCTCGTCCGGACCCATTCTTGCGGAGGGATAGCGGACGGGCAGGAGAATCAAGTCTGGATGTTGAAGAAACACGGAAATGGCGGACAACTCCTGCAATAAATGGCCAAGAAGTTGTCGACAGTCCCCAAGCTCGAAGCTTTGGCAGGGACATTCGGCGTTTTGAGATATGACCAGCCTGGCAGGGACATTCGGCGAAATTTCAAGCTCCACATTCTGATTGGAGGAATACCTGCAGTACAATGTATTTGTCCAAAAAATTCTTATCAATGACAAAAAAAGCCATTTATTCAACTAATTTTCTGGTTTGGCGCACAGATACACTTCAGTGAATTAGTCATGATGAAACAGCTGATGGAACATCAGCATCTGCAGTCTTGGCAGCAACTGGTCTTTTAGAAACAGTCTCGGGCGGTGGAGCACCAGTGGCTTCAGCATACTTGTCCTCAAGCTCCTGTAGCAGACAATAAATTATATTTATACACAAAACACTGTAGTGAACAACCAACAGGATGCAAACGTAGATCGACTACTTACGATGAGCTTGCTGCGAATAGTGTCGAGAACTTCCGGGGTCATTCGATCGAAGTAAAGGGTCCCCTGAAACCACAACAAACAAGTAACACTTTCATTCAAGTTCACCTTTATCAGGCACAAAGCTCTTTATCTGTTCAGGTCACACAATAAGCAACAAAGAGGTCATGAGTCATGGAGCATACCTCCAGGTGATCGTACTCATGTTGAAAAATCCGTGCCTGCCATTCTTTCAGACTGATGCTAAATTTCCGACCGTTAATATCCTGAGCATCCACCTTCACACCCATTGGCCGCTGCAAGCAACATAGATAGCAGATAACACACAAACAAACAAAAAAAACACACACGAAAGCAATCAGGCGCCATTCTACCAGCACCAGCATAAACGACAGACAAAAAGTATATCCAACTCTGCAGAACTCCTGAAACGGACATGCTCACCTCGACATCAGCATAGATCTTAGGGAAGGAGAGGCAGCCCTCCTCGATAACATCCCGTGCCTTGGCGTACTTGACAATGCGCGGATTCACAAGCACCATCTCGACGCCCTTGCCCCTCTCGCCCACCGGGTTGTAAACCATTAGGCGCACGTTCACCCCCACCTGTGGCGCTGACAATCCTACTCCTTCCGTTCTGATGGAGGGACATGTGTGTGGGGAGGCGGGGTGTTGGGGGGTGGGAGGTGGGGAGGGGGGAGAGCACTATATCAACACCCTTGCCCCTCTCGCCCACTGGGTTGTACACCATCAGGCGCACGTTCACCCCCACCTGTGGCGCTGACAGCCCCACCCTGAGCACAAGAGGGACATGTGAGACGGGAGAAAGAGAGGGGGGGAGTGAGGAAGGGAGAGTGTGGGGAGGTGGGGGGAGAGAGGTGGCGGGAAGAGGGGGAAGAGGGCGAGGGGGATCTTCACCTGTGCATGACACCATCACCTGTGCATGACACCATCACCTGTGCATGACACCATCACCTGTGCATGACACCATCACCTGTGCATGACACCATCACCTGTGCATGACACCATCACCTGTGCATGACACCATCACCTGTGCATGACACCATCACCTGTGCATGACACCATCACCTGTGCATGACACCATCACCTGTACATGACATCACGCCCTCAGCTGTACATGACATGACACCCTCACCTGTACATGACATCGAACATCTCCGCTACAAGCTTCTGCAGCGACTCATCAAAGACGTTCACACGCTTGTTGGGCGCCCTCAAGCGCGGGTCTGGATACAGCACTATGTCCAGGGGTGACTCATACGATATGGGGCCCGCTGCATGGGTGGATGGGAAGAAAGGTGAGGGAGGACGGAGATGGGATGGGTGCAAAGAGGGTGGTGTGGGCTACAGCATTATGCCGAGTGGTGACTCAAACAATATGGGGCCCGCTGAACAAGTGGATGGAGAGACAATTTGGAGATTAGGGATTGTGGAAGAGGTCACTTGATTCATGGGATGATTTTGAAGGAGCACAATCAATTCAGAGCAAAAGAGCGGAAAAGTAGGTATTTGCCTGCAGTATGCATGGTAAGGATGGACAGAGGGTAGATGGAATGGAAAGCAGACTATAGACAGAGGAGTGACAGCAAAGGCACTGACCAACGTTCTCCTCGTCTTTGATTGACTGCAGCTCCGAGAGAAAGCCCCTTCGCGCCCTGGTGACGTGCAGAGGGGTGTGGGCTGCGAGCGAGCGAGAGGGGAGGGATGGTGGAGACGAGAAGGTGGGAGAGAAAGGAGCATCACTGACCAACGTTCTCCTCGTCTTTGATTGACTGCAGCTCCGAGAGAAACCCCTGCGCGCGCTGGTGACGTGCCGAGGGGTGTGAGCTGCGGGCGAGAGAGAGGAGAGGGAGGATGGAGACGAAGAGAATGATGAAGTCGGATGCAAGGGAGGGATGGGAACAAATGGGATGGGAGCATGCGTGCGGGTGATACGACAAGAAGGGGTCAAAGGAGGAGAGGGGGGATAGGTCACATAGAATAGCAAACTCGGGCACTTATAGGCAAGCGAGGACGGTGAGGGGAATGAGGGGAAGTGCGGGGATGAGGGGGATGAGCGAGTGGGGAGTGGATGGTGAGGGGGTTGAGCGGGATGGTGAGGGGGGTGAGTGACCTGTGACACGCGCATTAACGGAAAGCCTAGATTCGGCACCGGAAACAAACCAGACGGATTTTGCACGATGGAAGGACGGGGTGATCCGAACACGGAGAGCCGTGGATTTGATCCCGCTCCCGATCTAGAGCCGTTGAATCTCTCTGCAGCTTCGCAACGCACGGTCTGTGGCTTTAAGGAGCTTCGATTAGAGCGCGGCGATGCAGCGGCATAAAGAGCGGTCCGAGAGGGTAATCTGCGGTTGAGAAGATTATTCACCGTTGCCTCCCGTCGCAATTGATTACCGAGTTGGAGCCTGCCACGTGGAGGAGTCAACGGCCCGAGAGCTAAGACCAACGAGAAAAGCGCAACGGAATGAGAAAGAGAGTAGATTAACATGTGATTGCTGCACCGACGAAAGAAGGACCGGTGGAAACTGGAAGGAGCTGATTACGGCGAGGAGGAACGTACCCAGAAAGACTCCTTAAGAGAGGACCTCGACGGCAAAGAGTATTAGCCATAGATTCAAACGCTGCCGAGAATGAAGCTTTTGGCGAGAGCTCCTTTCAAGGGAAAGATGGAATCTAATTAGTCGCTTGTCCGTCTGGTCGAGAGGCAAACGAGCCTACACAGCTAGTACGCACGGCTTATCTGTGATAGAGGTTTCCCAGCAGAGTCCAGGTTCAGATTTGACCTGACAGTGCTGTGTGACTTCGTAAGACCCCGAATAAGTGTATCAACATTTTGACAAAAACGAACAGGTAACATTATCGGAGATTTTCTCTAAGAAAAACATTTTTCCTTGGCGCAGAGGGATATGGGACACCCATTTCCTTTTCCATCCCATCTCATCCCAGCCCCCCTCAGCCCTTCCGCATTTCACGCTCGTTCCCAGCTCCACTTTCCTTCCCCAAACCCATCACATCACACTGTTCGAGTCGCAATGCGCTCTACCACATCACATCATCGTCGTTACGGCGACTCGAAATGTCCCTCTGAAATTCGTTTCGCCTCGAAGCCCAAGCCCATCACACTGGGCCATTCCAACCCTCCGTCTCAGAGACCACGGCCACCAGAGTATCGCCTTCCGCCCCTTCTCCACGATCGGTTTTTCCAATCTGCCATATGCCTAAACTGTGCGTCACGCGTCGCTTTTCTGAGCACAGGGTGCTATATCAGAAAATTTCAGCGCCAGGGAGTGACTTTCTGATAAGGACGCCATGGCCTCATGGATAGTAGCAGCAGCTGCGCAAACTCCGCCCAGCCTCCTGCTTCTTGCAGCCGCGCTCCATCCAGAACGAGCAAGCCTTTTCGGCAGGAATGCCACGGCCATCGTTCCAGGAATCAATGTTCGCTTAAATGGGCGTCAGGGAATCATCACACATCGGAAACAGAGTAGCTCCACACTCCCTACAGCTAGGGCATCCCCCCACAATCAACCGCCGGTGACTGTGCCACTGGAACGGGTTGGAGTGGAGCCAATCACGCCGAGATTAGATGGGTGCCGTCGCAGGCTGCATCGTGTCCCACATACGCCGCCTTCGGGACTGGAATCGCTAGTGGCGGACAGGGGAAGCAGCGAAATCAGCGAGGAGAACACGAGCACCAGGAGTCTTACCGACAGCAGCCAGGGGAGCGAGAGCAGCGGGAGAAGCGGGAGCAGCGCCGGGGCATTCCCTGTGGTGGTGGGGTTGTTCCCAGCGAGCGGCGGTGCTCCAGTGGGGTTGTTTCCAGCGGACGAGTGGGACCTATATGAGGCTGCTACCACCGGTGCCCAGGTGCGAGTGGTGGGGCCCGCAACCATGGTAACCCGAGGGGTAACACCTAGTAGCATCATCCCTTCTGCTGCCCTGGTGACTTGGCACTCCCAGGCTAAGGTAACCGAGGCCGGGGAGGCTTTGAATCACGGAAGCGCCATTGAATGGAAGCATGATAGTGCTGGTGGTACTTGGAGAAAGGGCCGGGGCTTGTATGATCAGACGCCTGGCATCAAGCAGACGCATGGTGATGGTTGTGATGCATCGTCAGCAGTGGCCTTCCCACTGACGAACAAATTACCTGTGCTGGGAAAGCTGCTTCTGCAGTGCGGCACAGCAAGGCATGTGGTGCGGAGAGGTGAATGGGGAGCAATGATAGCTCGCAGGTACGGAGTCTCGCTGACGGACCTCTCCCGAGCCAACCCGGGTCTGAGGCTTGGGAAGCTGGTTCCAGGCCAAGCCATCAACCTCCCTGCTACAGCCAAACCTCTTGCTAACCCGACTATGGCTTTCTGTGCTGTGGTGCAGTGGATGCTTAGAGCCATTGCTGCAGTGAGGGAACTGGTCCTCAGGCTGTTTCAGTGGTTGCAACAGCAGCTGTTGCAGCAGCAGCACCAGCAGCACTACCAGCAATGGCCATTTTTGGGGAAGTTTCAGGAGCTTCAGAGATGGTCGCATCAGCAGCAGCAGCAGCTATTGTATCCAAGACAACGGGAGGATGAAGCTACGCAGGATGACGAAAATGATAGTATGGAGGATGGGGAGGAAGAGGCGCTGAATGAATGGGTAGAAACCGACACCGACGAAAATGACAGTCGCTTTGCAACATCTGAAGAAGGGCTGGAGAACCAAATCAAAACAAGTGCTAGGGTAGCAGTGGAAGATTTAGCTTTGCAGCCCTTTGCGAGCAGGACTCAGCTGCTGATGCAGAGATGGATGGGGGAGACACCAGTACAGCAATGGGTGCAATCTGTTTCCGTCAGCTCTGCCTCCTCCAAAACTCCATCACTGTCCCTCCAAAGGATGGAGCTGCCTGCGAGCCTCCATGTGTTTCTTCTGCTCTCTGCTGTCATCCTAGTGATGAACATCTCAGCCGCGGGTGTGTGTCGGCAAGATCAAGCAGTGAATGGAGACTCAGAAGCTAGGTGACAGCTAGCATCATGCTGTTCCCATCCTATTGTATATGGTATGTCAGCTGCAGTATCATCTCTGAATGCACTGAATATCTCCAAAAAATTGACACCTGTGAGGTTTGCCAGGTAGGGATCTTTATTGTAGCCGCCATGAAAGGATCACTGATGTAAATCCTCCAGAGAGTTGAATCCGGAGAGGTAGAGAAGACATGTAACATGCTGGCATTGATACAAGCATACACGTGACATTGCAGCAACGCACTAGAGACGAAGCCCCATGTCGAGCAGCTTTGTAATACCGCAACCAGGCAATCGACCCTCTCGGAACAACGGACGGCTGCTGTTGGTTCACATACAGCTGATCCAACGGCTGTAAGAATGTAGGATGAGACTCGATTAACGCAGCCGCCGAGCCTCACGCTCGGATTCCATAAGAGTGAGGACGTCTCCTGCGACATTGATAACAGTGATGGGGTGGGGCACATAAAACGGAATTAAAGTGGAAACAACACGATCGCAAGGCTATCAGATAATAAAGGCTGCAAAATCTTGCTGAGCACTCGGTAACAATCCCACAGACTCCTAAATGAATTAAATGCGTCTAGTATAGCTCGGGGAAGAAACAGTAGGCTGAACTGTCAAGGTAATCACACCGAACACCTGAACGATCAAATCCGCCGATAAGCCCAAGATTACCGCGCGAATGGACCGTGCTAACAAGTCAGTCTGGTCGCTAGATACGAGGAAAACTGGCTGGCTACAGTTTCGAATGAATGTAAGTCTTACTCTCAACGGAGCAGCACGACTGTTGCAGTGAGGTCGAGATGAACGTTACCCCAGGATAATTCCCCCTCAACTAAACGGGCTGGCCTGCACTCGTGAAGCGAGCCCGATGAGAAGCTGCTGCTTCCATCAACCGAGGTGTAACAGACTGTCGCCCGACTGTCACACAGTGCCAGATGGTCCGATCTATTAAGCCAGCAGGGAACGATTTCGCAGCCGACGCGGGAGTTCAAGAAACCCTAACCTCTACGTCGTGACAAAACCGTCGATGCTGCAGCTACTCATGTTGGCGCGCGGGACGCCTTCTCACACACATTAGCGCAGAAGTCCCCTACACCCACACACGACGCGCGCGGCCCACCACCTTCCTCGTGATCTTCATCGGGGAACTTCACGCGCACCTGCATACCCTCTCAGACGACTCTACAATCACCTCGCTATATCGTCAAACACCCTCGTTACTGTCACACACCTACGCGCACGGGGCCCTTGACGTTCCTCATGATGTAGCGATCCTCATCGATGAACTTCACGCGCACTTGCGTGACTTGACCGCGGGACCCCGTGCGACCCACCACCTTCTCCACAATCGCCAGCTTCATTGGGGAATCCTGCACACAACGGCGGATGCAAGAGAGGTGATTGAGTGAGTTTTGAGTCGACTCATTAGTGATCTCGTGCGACCCACCACCTTCTCCACTACTGGCAGCTTCATGTGAGAATTCTAAACACGACGGTAGTAAAAGAGGTAATCAAGACGTGAAAAAAACGTCGAACAACGACGCACTGCAAATGGCAGCAAATGACAGAGAATAACAGCGAATGTGACAGCCATCAAACGGAGGAAAACGACGGTGACGGAAAAAAGAGACGAAAGAGCGACGACGGAAACGACGATCTACACGCAGGAATAGAGAGGTAATCAGCGCGCGATCTGAGTGCGTGAAGTTAACTTATCAGCACAGCGAAAAATGCGTGGTATCAGGGATCACGCGGTTGCAACCACTGCTTCGAGCTACTATCACCCAGGAATGGACGCTGAGCTTCTAACTGCTTAACTCCCCACTAAACCTCTCAGTTACATCATCATAAATTGAGAGATGCACTTTCCCTGGGCACTATCTAATATATGGACCACCAAGACATCGCGACGCGGGCTCACCATGTTGACAGGAAGCGCTAGCACTCGGTTTAAGAGGCGGTGCCGGCAAGGGCAGGCGGCAGCAGAGGTCTAGCGAGAGGAAGATTAGGGAGTATTGCAGGAAGGGAAAAGGAAAATGAGGTAAGTGCGGAGCCATGATGAAACCCTAGCGCTTCCCCTCCCCCAGCCCTCCTTCTCTCTGAGCTCCGCCCGCTCTGCCAATTTGTGCTGCTCCGCGCGCGGGGGAGCATGAGAATGTGGCGATTGGGGGGAAAGGAGTCGGGGTTTTGCGGAAGGTTCGGCGGAGTTGGTTCATCACACGTCATGGTGATTGCACTGTTCCTGGTTTGGGGTCCAAAGCTCAGTGATAATTTAGATAAAACGTTGTTGTGATGTGAGCAGTAGATTATACATAGTCGATATAGAAAATACAGGTCGAGAATTTTGATAAGATTCATTACTAAGCTTACCGACCTCTAGAGCATTAGGGCTGTTGGGCTGAGATAGCCCCTTAGGATCTTTCAAGGGAGAACTCTGGATGGATAGTGTTGTAATAGCGGAAGCGTTTAACAAAAGTTTGTGAACCACCTTGCGCTGGTATGTGAGGGCAAAGTAGATTGATTATAGCAAGGAAGTACAAGATTATATAATAATACAAGGAATATGAAAGGATGCAGTTTGTAACTACTTTACTGTTGCTGTTGCGG